CGCAATGATCAAATCATCTACATAGACTAGAACATGAATTACTCCTTTCTTTCCAACAAAAGAAAATAAAGAGTAATCGGAAACAGACTGCACAAATCCATATCGTCTCAATGCCCCAGACAATTTTGCAAACCAACATCTTGGAGCCTGTTTCAAGCCATACAAAGACTTCTTGAGTTTGCACACCATATTGGACGAACTCGAAAACCCAGGTGGCAACCTCATATACACCTCATCCGGAAGATCTCCATGTAGGAATGCATTGTGAACATCCATCTGATGCAATTCCCATCCCTTAACTGCTGCGACTGCTAAAAGAGTGTGCACGGTGGTTAACTTGACCACAGGAGCAAAAGTTTCTTTGTAGTCAATACCTTCAACCTGGTGATTACCAAGTATAACAAGCCGAGCCTTGTATCTCTCTATACTGCCATCAGACTTGCGCTTGATTTTATATACCCACTTGCATCCAAGAGCCTTTTTATGACGTGGAGGACTAACAAGAGACCACGTACCATTGGCTTCCAACTCATCAATTTCTTCTCGCATGGCCTTCCTCCAACGTTCATCCTGAAAGGCCTGTTTGAAATTTTTAGGCTCTATTTCTTCATCAAGTGCTGCGAAAAAACACTTATGTTTGTCAGAAAATTTCTCATAAATGACATATGAGGAGAGTGGATATCTGCACTTTTCTCCGATCTGTGGACCAGCCACATGCGTAACATAGTCCGCAAGCCTCACATTTGGGCGCCTTTCCTGCTGACCACGTCCCAAGGTCTCTGCTGTGTTCTGGAGAGAGGACGGTCGACCGCCATCCGTGGAACGGTCCACGGGGTCGACCATCTGTAATGGTTCCTGAGGGTCTTCTTTCTGCCGCAGAGACGGTCGACCGTTCTCCTCGTCACGGTCGACCGTTTCATCATCCCTCTGGAGGTGATCTTTCTGCCCTTCGGACGGTCGACCGTGGCCATCAGGACGGTCCACCATGTCGACCGTTGGTTGCACTCCCAGAGGTCCATCTTTCTGCCTCTCGGACGGTCGACCGTGGACAGCGGGACGGTCCACCAGGTCTACCGTCTGTAGCTCACTTGCTTCACTGGTCTCCTCCGGTCGACCGTTCCTCGCGGAACGGTTCAGCTGCTCTTCCGCAGTCATGTCATCTTCATCGTCGAAGTGTTCAACTGGAGAAGAAACACTTGCTCCTTCTTCATTCAACATTTCACCTGTGGAAATCAAGTAGGGAAAAATGTTTTCACAAAACACAACATCTCGGGACACGCTTATTTTCCCAATGTCCGGAAAATACACGCACCATCCCTTCTTTCCTCGTGGATAGCCCAAAAATATTCCAGGAATACTTCTGGGTGCAAATTTATCTCCGTCTCTCTTCAGGTTGTGAACGTAACATCTGCAACCAAAAATACGAATGTGAGTTAACGCAGGGGCCCTTCCATAAAGCTTTTCATACGGTGTAACCCCCTCTAGAAGAGATGAGGGAGTCCGATTAATCAAATATGCCGCCGTTTGTATACATTCTCCCCAAAATTCTATCGGAAGCCCCGCTTGAAATCTCAGAGCACGTCCCACATTCAGAATATGTCTATGTTTACGCTCCACCCTTCCATTTTGCTGTGGTGTAGACACACAAGATGTCTCACGAACAATTCCCTTCTCCAAAAATATTCATTCAAGCACTCAAATTCTGTACCATTGTCACTTCTCACACATTTTATTCTCTTCCCAAATTGACATTCAACCATGGCACAAAATTGTTTAAAAACACTCCCTATAGTTCGTTTTGAATCAAGCAAATATACCCACACTCCACGCGAGAAATCATCTACAATAGTCAAAAACAGTGTAGAACCATCCAAACTTGGTGTTCGATAAGGACCCCACACATCACAATGCACCATATCAAACTTGTCCATAGATTGATAAAAACTGATAGGAAAACTGGCACGAGTTTGTTTAGCACGCAAACAGATATCACAATGACTATGACTACTTTTATTTGAACCAACTACAGGAATTAAGGATAATACATGTGAAGAAGGATGTCCTAGACGTTTGTGCCAAAGGTCAAACACATTCTTCTTAGCAGCACTGCACGCCATGCTCCTTCCTTCCTTCTTTAGGTAGTACAATCCTCCTTCATGTCTACCCACACCAATCGTTGTCCTCAAACTTAGGTCCTGTAAGATGCACAAATCATTGGTAAACTTTGCTTCACAGTTCATATCCCTTGTCAACTGTGACACAGAAATTAAATGGCAATTCAAGGTTGGAACAAACAACACATTCTGCAAAGTCATAGTCATAGTCANCCTTCCTTCTTTAGGTAGTACAATCCTCCTTCATGTCTACCCACACCAATCGTTGTCCTCAAACTTAGGTCCTGTAAGATGCACAAATCATTGGTAAACTTTGCTTCACAGTTCATATCCCTTGTCAACTGTGACACAGAAATTAAATGGCAATTCAAGGTTGGAACAAACAACACATTCTGCAAAGTCATAGTCATAGTCAGATCAACCTTTCCAGATTGAACAGACACAACTCGTTTCCCATCAGACAATCCAATTTCACAAGGAGACACTCCCACAACATCATATAATAACGAAAGATCACCTGTCATATGATTAGACGCACCAGTATCAATTATCCAACGAGGTGATACAGGGATACCTGAGAGTTTCTGTGAGTTATCTGTAGGGGAGAGCGAGAGTGCATGGCGAACAGCGTTCCACTGTTCAGGTGTCAGATCCTCAAAATTCGGGAGCGGGGATGGTCCTTTCTCTTCTCCTTGAACTGCATGGACTTCCCCTCGTCCGCCCGTAACGGTCGACCGTACAGCCGCCACGGTCGACCGTCCGCCACCTCGTGCAGCACCACGACCTCTTCCCCGGCCGTTTCCTCTTCCTCTTCCAGCCTGGTCGCGGTACACCCATCCCTCTGGGTACCCGATCATCTTGTAGCATGCCTCAATATCATGTCCTGTTTTCCCACAATGTGAGCACATGAGCTCTTTGACCTCCATCTTGTTCTTTACGGCAAACACGGATGCACCTGCTTCACTGCTTTCTCCTTTGTGCATGCCATGTCGTGCCGTCTCATCTTGGACAAGAATGTTATATATTCTTGACACCGGTGGTATGGTTTCCTGGGCCAACAGATTTGACCGCAAAGTCCCATACAAAACATTGTTCAGACCCATCAAAAATTGATGGGAGCGTTCCCTCTCACGCATCTGCGTGAGCTTCTCCTGCAAGTCACACGTGCAATTCCTACACGTGCAGATCGGGAATCGCTCTAAATCTGCTAGATCATCCCACAACTTCTTCATCTTTCCATAATATTCCATTATAGAAAGATTCTTCTGTTTGCATTCCGCCAATTCTCGCTTCAACTGCTGGACCCTTGGTCCATTAACCACAGAGAAACGATCCTTCAACTCGCTCCACAGATCTGAAGCCTTTTTCATAAAAGATATGCTGGATCTCAAGGTTGGATCAATCGTGTTCCGGATCCAAGAGACCAACAGTGAATGGTTTGTCCACCAATCGTCAAAATCTTCTGAATCGGGATCTGGCATCTCAATTGTTCCATCAACAAATCCAAATTTCTTGCGAGCTCGTAGAGCCAAGCGTAGAGATTTGGACCACTCATCATAATTATCTCCCTTTAGAACGACATGGGTCAAGATCATACCCGGATTGTCGCTTGGAGACAAATCGTAAGGCGAGATACGACGACGTCGCACTCCAACCTCCTCCTCCTCTCGTTCTTCATTCTTCTTACCGGAAATGATCTTCATTGGCGTTTCTTCAGACATACCAGATGACAGAGTTCAAGAGTTGGATCCAAAACAGCAGCGGTTAGAGATTCTGCCGTCGGGACGGTCGATGTCTTCGACCGTTATGAACAAACGGTCGATCGTTCCGGTCTTCTCGGCAGCAACAGCGAGCAACGATCGATGGACGCGATGCCGGGCGATCGTGCGGAAATTCCTAGAGTTTTGGCTCTGATACCATGAAAGAATTGTTTCGGAATCAAAATCTTTGTATTCCTTTCTGTCTTTTACAATTTACAATCCAGCCGTATATATAGCAAAGAGTCCTAATTAACAAAGGAAAAGGAATCTCTATACAAGGCAACTACCATAACTAATATATACGGAAATAAATGCTAATAAATGCTGAATATTCTCTTTCCTCTACACTTTAGATCGGTTTTCTACCAATCCCGGATCAGCCCAAGTCCTCAACAGGTCCTCCGCTAGTTTCAGATTAGTCCAAATGCTTACAATCTAAGAACTATTTGAGACTATCGATCTTGAATCGGACCAGTCTCAAGGACTTGTTCAGTCTCAGTCTTTCGTGTCTCGATTCCAATCGATCTCGATCCAACCTTTTTGCTCTTCTCTAGCTATGAGTGGATAAGGAAATCTTCATCTTGTCTAAGGAAACTTTCTAGCTAGATCCCAAACTTGTCTCCTTAAAAATAGTTACAATTCAATACCATGTAGAGGTTGAAAGTGAGATTGGAGTCCCACTTCAAGGTAAAAAGCATTTTTCAACAAAAAATGTATTTTTTTTTCACATTTTTTGTTAGACATGTTAACTGTCATTTTTATCAAATGACTGGAAACAAAAAAAAAAGATCTTTAAAAAATATTCAAAAGCATGGATGAACTGCTTTTGAAAGCAATTAATTTTAGAATTCAAGAATCACTTAACAGAACCTCATCATTCTTCTAATTGCAGTATGTAACTACAGATTTGCCCAAGTTGAGGCAGGCATCAGCTTTGTATAGCAAGCAGTCAATTAGAACAAAGTGAAAAAGAATACAACACATGCTCTTCCAAAGCCACGGGGGAACTCTAGAGATCGTCATCGGAGCTAAAGATCTCTATTTCTATCATTTTCGTCTGTTTCACTTGCTCCTCTTTCGCTCTACTATTTCTTCCTTCATCCGATTTTGGTCTCTTTTTTTGCACTTCTTGACCTGCCCCAACTTCACTTGGATTCTTTCTCTTATTTGCAGCTAACCTGAGAGAAGTATAAAGTTTTTTTGGAAAACCCCAAAATGCAGGGGATAGCACTACTTATACGTAGTAAAATGGAGGGAGTTGCAGCATTCATCCTATGACTTTTTACCTTTCACCTGGCTTGCTGCTTGATAGTTGATTCTTTGCAATAGAGCTTTTTGATTGTTCTGTAATCACCGTAAAAAATGGCCGTGAAAATTATGAGGGATGGTTTCAAGATGGTAAGGTAAAAAATAAAGAATTAATCAGAGCCAGACCTGCAATTTTATTGAGAAACCGAATTCCTTGAGAGTATGTGTTTGTAGTAACCTTCCCTGCATTGCTGTGGATCAATACAATTCTCAGCATGACAGTACAAGACTCAAAAGGTTGCTTGAATTCAGATTCAGAAAAAAAATAAAGGTTGTTCTTTGGGGCATATCTTACTACAAATTTTGGACAAACCTCAAGGCCTTCTTTAATTGTTCCGTGGAAAATAATTTCACCGGCGCTTTAATCTTTGTAGAGTTTGGCATGTCCGCTAAAGGGTTGACCACATATATTCCTTCGGACTTGAGATCACCCCTAAAAGCAGTCCTCAGGTTCCTGATGATTAAATTCAAATACAAAAAAAGAAGAATTAGATTTAAGAAATCCTAGGTAGAAACCATAAACTAAAGCCTTATATTTTCCAAGTCAAATGTATTCCAATGATAAGAATGTCACTCACCCTCCCTGAATTTCATTCCTAGTTACAGTGTACTTCTCAAGTGTTTTCTGAAAGAACAAATATATTAATGTATAAGATAGCAATAAAAAAACACTGAAGTAGAGAAGTTGAATTACTATAAATGTTCTTTAATAACCTGTCTGTGGTAGCTGCAATACATTCCTTTCCGTCTGCAAGTGTAAAATGATTTCATAAGTACTGATGCATAATAACTCCTATTACAAACTCATACAGATCTTGAAAGTTGAAACCAACACAGCATCTAGTGACTTCGACAAGCACAATGCAGTATAAGGGTTTTGTTAACAAGCAATGGAGTAAATTTAGTTCAACTTTAGTTTCAAGAAATCGGTGAGAGTACAGAGTTAGTGAAAGTACTTATTGATCAATTGCGTGCAGGCCACTCCGTCCTTCCTTTTCCCCTTGCAAATCCCATAATCAGCAGATGTGCCCATCTTCAAGATGTTATTTACTGAATATACACTCAAACAAAAGCCATTCTCCTGGAAAGAATGAAAAAAAAACAGATAGAGTTCTTACACCTTATCCCGTGAAGGGAAAGAATGAACCAAAAGGATCTGATAATGGTACCGAATTATCCTTGCGGACACCACAATTGAAAAGCGCAAACACGGCCCCAGCCTTCTCCTTGTTATTCCTCTTATAAGCATCACCAAATAAGAAGACTGAGACGGTCTTTTCATCTAAGCACCCCATTTTCCATATTCCGTATGGCTTTCCAGTAGAGCTAGTCCTTGGCTGCCCTATCTCAGTTAGGACTCCAATTGTTGCCCAACACCCCGAAAGGCTGTCTCCGGTGAGCACATTTCTAAGACATTAAAGCATGAAGTGAAAGTCCACAACAACAACAAACAACAACCCAATAAATTGCACCCAAGGTAGGGTCTGGGGAGGGTTAGTGTATGCAAACTTTACCCCTACTTGGGAGTAAAAAGTCTGTTTCCAAGAAACCCCGGCTTAAAAACATATGTACGAGCAAACAAACCACAGTAGCACTAATGAAGTACAAATAATAGTTGCTTAGCTCATTAACACTATGTTTGGTTGAAGAATTTGGAAAGAAAAGAAAAGAAAATGGTTTTCTAACATTTTCCATACCAAGATGGGAGGAATTTGGTTCTCTCCTCTTAATAATTTTGTCTTCTCATTTTCTTTTCCTTCCACTTTTCTTTTCTTTTCCTCTCTAACCAAACATCAAAAATTATTTTCGCTCTCATTTTCCTTTCTTTCCCCTTTCAATTCCTTGAACCAAACATGGTGTAAAGAATTATGCTTACTTTATTGCAGGTAATCGAACAAATCTGATATCAGACAAACGGTTGCTAAGCTCGACGGGTGAGACTAATTGATCCCTGATCCACAATGCACATTAGAACATCAGACCTCAACTCTCCAATTCCAGAAATACATCTTTTGGAAGTTTGAACAATTCTAAAATCCAAGTACAAGTGGCTTACCGAATCCGTAAACCAGAAAATCTTTCCACCCCTGGATCTCCAGAGGCCATGGACAATTTGGGTCTGGATTTGAGTTTCTTCTTAGCAGTCTGAGCATCGTAATCCATACAGTCCTGAACGGCATCTCGGAAGACGGACATGTCCGTCTGCCCAACTCTCTTAGGCGACCCATCATCGGAGAGGTAACCTAATTAAAAAAAAAAAAGGAACCGTTCAGTGGCAAATCAAGAACCCGATTTCAAGAAACGGAATAGATTTCAACAAGAAAAAACATTTCCCGGAAAGGAGGAGTGACCTGGAGAGTGGGACGATGGTGAAGCAGGGGGGGTTTCCAAAACCCTGTCTTGGAGCGACAGGAGGAGATCCAGGTCTTCATGATTCGACATTGCTTAGCAGCTTTTCGAGATGATGGGATGAAGAAGAAATGAATGGCGAATCTGGGACGAGAAGGAGTGCCATAAGATGGATGCAGAATGGGTTTAATTCGGTGGGAGGGAGATTTTGGAGTTTGGAGGGAAGTTTTTGGGCATTTGTGAATTTGGGATTTGGAAAACATCTTCCCACCCAAAATAACGTACGATATGCGGGCGGACAGGGGATCCGGACCATTGGAAAAGGGTTCATTTATGGGAACTCGGTGCTTCGGGTTCGGGTTCCATTCTTTTGTACTCCGGTATTTTTTTGCAATCATTGATTGATTCAAAACATATACAAACAAAAAAAACAGTCTCTGTCCAGATTCATTTCTTTTTATTTACGGAGTACTATAACTTTTTATGGATATCAATTTAAGACTTTGATGATTAATATCGATATGTATACATTGATACATTTTATAAAAAATTATTGTTTCAACACTACGTTTTAAACAAACTTATAAATATTATATTTATATCAAAACACAATATTTTTTCCCGTATATTAGGGTCAAAGTTTACATATTTTAACCAACAAAAGTCAAATAAAAAGATAAAATCTCGATGAATATACTAGTATGGAATAAAATATACACCTTCCGTCTAAGAATTGCTTTTCAATGCACTATCTTTTCATTACTCGAGGCAATGCTCTCTTATTACATACACGCGGGTTCCAGGCCTGGGGGTGCTCCGGTGTCCCGTTCGTAAAATTGACGGTTTATATCTCCCTAATCCCTAAACCCCCAACCCTGCCCGACCGAACACGCCCTCCCTACCCCCTTTAGTTGCACCCCAAGTTAATTTTTATTTAAGTATTGTCTAGTCCAATTTTTTGTTATCCATGTTGGACATTCGTGGTTTTCATACGCCAACTTGAGAGAGAATATTAGTGTAAATTTTATGCAAATGAGCTTAGATTTAGTTAATGGACCATATTTAGGTCTTATTGCAAATGTGTCTATGCATTGCTTGAATGTTAACAATAAACTAGTTTGATCGTCTTTATTGATTTGATCGAGTGACATGAAGTCCACCCTGCAAGAGTAATGGAGAAGTGTCATTGCGTGTCTTGTGAAAATATGAACATATATTACATAACAATAAAGTCAATAATAGCACTCAATATAAATAAATAAGTAAATAAATAAATAAAGCAATTCAAATTGTGTAAATTTCTACGACAATCTTTGTGAGCTATAGAGCTTGTAATGTTACACCACATCCAATGGTGTAACTTCATGAAAATAGTTAAATTAGGGCACTTTCGGAAATTCGTTTGTAAAATTGATACTCCGTAGTTTCTATTTTCTGAATCTCCCCCTAAATCCCCAAAGCAATTTCACCCCTACACACACTCAACATGCTAAAAGCATGGCCCAACGTGGATATCATGGTCTATACAATGAGCAAAAGACTCTATTGAGGAGCAAGCTTTAGTAGTTAAGTCATGAAAAATGAACTAAAAAAAGAACTTAAAACAGACAACTTATTGTTTTTTAATTAACCATAATTTAAAAAATACGGTAAAAAAGATACGAGTAGACGGAGTAGTTCACATTAATTACGTGTAATTCAATAAAAGTATGGTAGAGTTTTTACCCTTGGGATATGATCTTCAATTCAAGTTTGAACCATATCTTTGTATGTCAGTAGTCATTTGTGCTTACAAGAAAAATGCAGCATTAGTTTAGAAGTTAGGATATGAACAGAAAAGTTTTGTAAAAAAATAATAAGAAAATATTTTCTTTGGGTGAAACGGAAATATTAAATTCAATATATCTTCATTGCTAGTAGGTATACTTTCCCATTAAAGAAGAGGTCAAGCTTTCAATACACAAAAGTATGCTTTATTCACCTCAACATGTTTAAATTCTCTTTTTATATCCGTACCAAAATTAGGGGTATTTTTGATAGGGAGAAAGACCAAAGTAGGATTAAAACATTGAAAATATACCAAAATAGGACTTTCATATTTTTATTTCCGAAATAGGATTTACTTTACCAAACATGGTCATATACATTACCACAAAAGTATAGTAATGTGCACATGTACACTGTCACATTACCACAGTGCAAAGTCACATTACCACAGTGCAAAGTCCTATTTCGGGGAAAAACATGAAAGTTTTATTTTGATGCTTTTTTCTATGTTTTAGTCCTATTTAGGATAATTTCTATTTTTGATATGATAATTCACATTAAAAAATACTCTGTAGTATAGCAAGTAGAACAATTATTTTCAAACATCCCAAAAAGAAAGTGTACAACTAAAGAGGTAAAAAAATGGTGCAATTTGATTTTTTCTAATTATTACCATAATAAAAGTATGTAGCTAGTTTAATTAAAAATAATAATAAATGGACGCTAATTATTACCATATTATACCCATCCATTCCCCCCATCTCTTTCGGACACACACAAATGTATGCTTATATATCACACGCCCAACAATCTTTGCTTTGGGTTTGGAACTTTGATTTCCCCTTCCTCTCATCTGAACTGAAACATTGGTTCCTGCGCATCACCAGGAACCAAAAAAAAACACAACATATTACATAATAATAATTTCAAAAAAGAAAAGAAATATATAAAATAATGAGAGCGGCGGCCGCATTATTATCATGCCGGAGTAGTCTGGTGTTGGCCGTGGTTTCCCTCCTGGCGGCCGCCTCCGCGCAGGAAGGCGGCCCACGGAGCGTCACCTACGACCACAAATCTCTGATCATAAACGGGACCCGGGAACTGATCTTCTCGGGCTCCGTCCACTACCCGCGGTGCCCCGCGGATACGTGGCCGGATATCATAAGGAAGGCAAAAAAGGGAGGGCTGAACACGATCCAGACGTACGTGTTCTGGAACGTTCACGAGCCCGAGGAAGGGAAGTTTGACTTCCAAGGGAACAATGACCTTGTGAAGTTCATAAAGGTGATAGGGGAGCAGGGGATGTTTGTGACCCTTAGGGTGGGTCCTTACCTTGAGGCTGAATGGAACTTTGGAGGGTTCCCCTACTGGCTTAGGGAGGTCCGTAACATCACCTTCCGTTCTTATAATCAGCCTTTTATGTACCACATGAAGAGATTCACCCAAATGGTCATTGATCTGATGAAAAGGGAAAAACTTTTTGCTCCTCAAGGAGGCCCCATCATTTTGGCTCAGGTCATTCTTTTTTTCGTAATCAAGAAATTATTTCGTAACGATTTTCGATCTTAGATATCAAATATAATGATCGATCAATGTATGTTGTGAGCAGATAGAAAACGAGTATGGCAATGTGCAGCTCGCATATAGAGATGATGGGAAGAAATATATCAATTGGGCAGCAGATATGGCTGTGGGTTTGTACAATGAAATCCCATGGATCATGTGCAAACAAAAGGATGCCCCCAACAGTGTGGTTCGTTTATGTATTTAACTTTTCACGGTTTCCAATGCAACATTTTGTAACGGATGATATTAATTCGTACAAAATGCAGATCAGCGCGTGCAACGGAAGGCATTGTGCGGACACATTCCAAGGATCTAATGGGGCAAACAAGCCTTTGCTGTGGACGGAGAACTGGACGGCCCAATACAGGGTTTTTGGGGACCCGCCATCCCAGAGGGCGGCGGAAGATATTGCCTTCTCCGTGGCACGCTTCTTTGCCACCGGGGGTAGCCTCGTCAACTATTACATGTACTATGGTGGGACGAGTTTCGGGAGAACAACCTCGTCCTTCGTCACCACCAGATACTATGACGAAGCCCCCCTTGATGAATTTGGTCTCAAGAGGGAGCCTAAATGGAGCCACCTTAGAGATGTCCACAGAGCTATTAAATTGGCTAAGAAACCCATTCTCTGGGGAAATCGATCTGTTGAAAAGATAACCGCCGATCTTGAGGTATATGTGTGTGTGTGTGTGTGTGTGTGTGTGTGTGGGTAGTAATAAGATTAGTTCACTAGGAAAATGCTATTTAACCCAGGAATGACACACAAAGATTGACACCAAGAGCGATAGATGAAACACAATCACATACTCATTGTCTAAGAGACACTGGCAGCGTCAACCTTGGTGTCATCCGTGGTGCGATTGTAAAACAAAAACATGTAGAATACTGTGTATTTCTAAGAGATACCCAACTTCTAAATTTTATTTTATTTTATTTTAAATTTCAGATCACAGTTTTTGAGAATGAAGAAATGAAACTTTGTGCGGCCTTCTTGACAAACAACAACACAAAGAACTCGGCCTCGGTTAGCTTCCGAGGCCGGAATTATCATCTGCCGGAAAAATCCGTTAGCATTCTCCCGGATTGCAAGACCGTCGTTTATAACACTCAAACGGTACGTGTATACATTTCGTTCACACCGTGTTTGGATATATATATATGGGGAAGGGAAGGACCTGATGATTTGAACGGTTTGAACAAACACAGATAGTTTCACAACACAATGCCAGAAACTTCCACCCTTCCAAAATTGCAAGGAATTTGAAATGGGAGATGTTCCAAGAGCCCATACCAAGCTTTGATGAGTTGCCGATAAAGAACCAGGTCCCGCGCGAATTCTATAGCTTAACCAAAGACACCTCCGATTACGCCTGGTACAGCACCAGGTATGCAGTGCTAGCTTGTTAATAAGTCATCTAAGACCTGAATCAAATATGTGTATAAAACAATGTGTTAAGTTGACACTATGGAATAACCCTGCAGAATTCATTTTAATCGCCGTAACTTGCCGATGCGGAGCGACATCCATCCAGTTCTCCAGGTTGCAAGTCTTGGCCACGCAATGCTTGGGTTTGTCAATGGCGAATACGTTGGTAAATATATACTAATGGTGTGATTCTACTATTCTAGTAGCCATTTATTAACTGTACTGCTATGCTATAATATAGGATTCCACCATGGAAGCAACATTGAGAAGAGCTTTGTGCTGCAGAAGCCCATCAACCTGAGGCCAGGGATTAATCACATCTCGCTCTTGGGCGAAACGGTCGGGCTTCCGAACAGCGGAGCCTACATGGAGAAGAGGTTTGCCGGGCCGCGAGTAGTGACACTCCAAGGCTTGATGGATGGGACCCTGGATATCACCATGAATGCCTGGTCTCATTCCGTAGGTCTCTTGGGTGAGAAACTTCGGCTGTTTACAGATGAGGGTGTCAATAATGTAACATGGTCTCCATTGTCAAAAACATTGAAGCCCCTCACTTGGTACAAGACATACTTTGATGCGCCGGAAGGGAAGAACCCGGTGGCACTGAGGATGGAGAAGATGGAGAAGGGCATGGTCTGGGTCAACGGAAGGAGCATCGGTCGGTACTGGGTCTCTTTCCTCTCCCCGGTCGGGCAACCGACCCAATCCGAGTACCACGTCCCGAGGGCGTTCCTGAGACCGAAAGGCAACTTGTTGGTCGTTTTGGAGGAGACCGGAGGGAACCCGGAGACGATACGGGTGGAGACGGTGAACCGCGACACGATTTGCAGCATCGTGCCGGAGTACGCCCCTCCGCACGTGAAGTCGTGGGAGAGGAACGGGGACGAGTTCCGGCCGGCGGCGGAGGAGCTCAGGGCCGGCGCGCGGCTAAGATGCACAGAGGACAAGATCATCAAGAGGATCGACTTTGCCAGCTTTGGAGACCCAGAAGGCGCTTGCGGGAGCTTGTACGAAGGGAACTGCACGGCAACCAACGCCCGCGAAATTGTTGAGAGGGAGTGCCTGGGGAAGCGCCGGTGCACTGTTCCGGTGGACAGAAACAGGTTCGTGGAGGACGATGGCGTTGGGAAGGGTCAATGCGGCGGGCACATCTACAAGACTCTGGCCATCCAGGCTAGGTGCGGACGGGATCTGGAGTAATTGTTAGCTAATCACATCACTAATGTCCCAAATAAACACTTTTGTCAAAACCAAATATTGATGTGAGGATAAGAAAAGGATAGAATTTAACAGGTTCCATTCATTCACTTGTTCTTTCCCAAACGAGATTGTTATTCCATCTTCTCATTTCTACTCAGTAACAAATAAGTAGTAAAGTGGGATGGGGAAAAAATAAGAATATAATCCCAAATCCCCAAATTTAGCTTCTGATTGATTGGAAATTGAAGGGACATAGCAACTACAATTCGATGAGCTCTGAAATTACCGTAGGAAGGAGAAGGGCTTCGTCTTAGTTCGTCTCCCGAATGCCGTGACATTTGAGGAGCCTCTGCCTCCGCCTGGCTCCTTTAGGCTTTAGTCACCCGTTTCTTCCCCCTGCCGGCTGCTGCCATAGCCGATCCTTTTTTTTTCCATAGCTCTATTCTTTGTTCGACTAAAAAAAGTCAAATAATAAAATTCTTGAAAAAAGTTTGAAAGAATTGAAAGGAATCAAAGAAATGGGAAGGATTAGAAAATATTGGAAAAAATAAATTATAAAAAAATTACTTAACTAAATGATAATTCAAATAAATAGGTGAGAAAATTAAGTGTGAATATAGAGAAAAATTCATTCTTATCCGTGTCCAAGGTATTATATAAATTTTGATATACCGGAGTATAATTATATTGTATATTCATCATGTATAAATATACTTTTTAAATAGTTGGAAGATTCTTGAAAAATTGAAAAAAAGTGTGGAAGATGTTGGAAGAAACGGGAAAGACTTAAAAAATAGAAGAAATTAAATATAAAAATTTGGAAGTTATTTTTTTTTTTTGAACTCAAAAAAATAAAGCCTAACTTGTTCACTTAGGCTATGGGGTATGAACATATGTTTCCCTTCACCTTTTCTTCTTTTACCAACTCATTGCCACATCAACTCTTCTTTTTACTTCTCCTTTACTCCTCTTCAGGGGTGTAGTTCACCTTCTCCTTCTCACCCCTTGAATTATTTTAATAATATTTTTAACATATAATTTAATTTAAATTACTTAAACTATGAGACGGGTTAACACTTAAACTATGTACTTCTCTACTTATTCTTATAACTTATTTCTTATTTAAATCAGATCAGATTTGATCAAATTAAAAACAATTTTAAATATAACTTCAATCAGACAGATCATAACTTATTTTAATCAAATCAAAATTAATCATACCAGGTGAAGAGAACATGACTTAAAGACAAGTTCTAATTTTTTCATCAACCCTCTCCATCCCATTCATTTTAGAAACAAGACGGGACTAGGTACTATGTAAAATGACCCGAGAAATTTACCTAAATAGGACTAAAACATAATGACTTTTCCAATATAGGACCATATATTTTTATTTCCCAATGTAGGACCTTTGGTCATTATCAAGTAGTCATTATTCAACTTAATGTCTATCATTACTGGACATTATTCCTTCTACTAGGTCATTATTAAGTTCTATTTAGGCAATAAAAAAAATTAAGTCCTACATTATGAAAGTCATTATGTTTTAGTCCTATTTAGTGCAAATTTTACAAATGACCCAACCCATGTTCAATTCACACCTAACTACGAGTATGTAACAAATTAAACTCAATATCCAAATTTTGATTTGGCTTAGATCATAGTATGATGTGATGAGTAAAATAACGATGCGATTCACTAGATTAAAAGTTATTAGATATGATTTGATAGATAAAATAAAAATTTGTAAGATAAAAGTGATTTTTTAATTGAAAATCAATGTGTTTTTTAGAATAATTAAGAGGTATAAGTGAAAATATTTTATAAGATGTATTATTGGAAAATATGTTTTTTAGAGCATCAACAACAGCGTCATCACCTCATTAATTGTCATGATGGGCATGTAATGGCAAAGCATTCCACTCTTCAAACCGTGTCATGGTCATTAGCGTGTCAATGCTTAAGTTTGTTTTTTGTTTTTTATTTTAACTTTAATTTATTTTTTCTGAAATTAATTTTTTTCTATTTTTTTATTTTTAAATTTTTTCTAAGTAAAATAATTTTTAATAATTAAAATATATCAAAAAAATTAAAAGTGGTAAAAGTAATGATTTGCCACTGCAGAGTTTGTTAACTCACTCAAATGTCACACGTTGATTAGAATTTTTTTATTGATTGTAATATTCTATGTCAGTGTATGAAAGCAACATTTTTTATTTTTGCCTCACGATGCTCTTAATCTAAGATATCATGGTTTATGAAAGCAACATTTTTTATACGTAAGTAATTTTGGATGTCATTTGCCACATTAAGCAGCTACTCAAGCACTTCACTAAAGATGTTTTTAGGAACCAAAGAAATAATTTTCTTTTAAATTTTTTTAGTTTTTTCTGTTTCATTTAAAAATATTTAAACATCCAACTTTTACTTTTGAAAGGTTCTATGATCAACTTAAGGTTGACATGGACTTTTCGTACATGTTTGTTATTTTTATTTTTTATTTTTTTTATCTCAATACTTAAAAAAGTGTTTATCTAGTATTTATGAATGACTAGCATACACATCCTGGACTTTATGTCCATGAAAAAAGTTGCATGAAAGCCCAACATTTTTGGTATGGAGGGCGTAAATCATACTTCTTTTGTTCTGTACTATATTAAATAAAATTATCTTTCACTTCTCGATAACTTTTCTTTTTTGTCTATTTTTATTAATTACTACGTATTTCATAAAATAAAATATTTTATTGTCTCTTACTTTATACTCCCTCCGTCCCGCTGTATTCGTCCACTTTTGATTTTTGGAACTGTTCATCTAAGCACTTTGACTCATCAAATTCTCTCAATGTGTAAGCCTAAATATAGTCATGTGTGATCTTGTTTGATTTGTCTTAACATATAGATTATTAATATATAATTTCTATAATTTTTTAATATACAAATTACAAGATAAAATGGATTAAAGAAGTGCATTGGATGGTGTGTAAAAATGAAAGTGGATAAATACTCTGGGACAGGGGTAGTAAAACNCCGTCCCGCTGTATTCGTCCACTTTTGATTTTTGGAACTGTTCATCTAAGCACTTTGACTCATCAAATTCTCTCAATGTGTAAGCCTAAATATAGTCATGTGTGATCTTGTTTGATTTGTCTTAACATATAGATTATTAATATATAATTTCTATAATTTTTTAATATACAAATTACAAGATAAAATGGATTAAAGAAGTGCATTGGATGGTGTGTAAAAATGAAAGTGGATAAATACTCTGGGACAGGGGTAGTAAAACTTTTGATATAGTTTTCTAATATATACGGAGTAATTTATATGTTCTTATTTATATATCAAATTTTAAATAAAATAGTTTCAAAAAATATAAAATTTGTATCATAATTTTAAAATTATATTCCCTCAGTCCCTAAACATTGTCACTATTTGACTTTTTAGTTAAACTCTGACACTTTTTGACCATGAATTAAATGTAGGTTAAAATAATTAAATATTATAAAAATTTGATATTTTAAAACTATATTATAAATTAAATCTAATTTTACTAAATTTACATTATAACCAAATACAGTTTTTCCATAATTCATAATTAAAAAATATCATAATTTAATAAAAAATTTAAATTGTGACAATCTTTTAGAGACAAAAAATACTAATCTAGTTTGGGAGTTAAAGTAAACGAGTGGTAGGTGGGGTAAAGGGTGTCATCATGTCATGTGCTCGGGTACAGTGAGGAAGAGTATGTAGTGAGTGTCCTTAAAAAAGAAACTGGTTTGCTTTTACCTACCTCTTTGGTATCTTTCTCCATCCTTAATTCATTTTCCCATGTGAGACCACTCTCACCTTTGGCATAAGTAGGTCTGTCTCAAGTAACCTACTTTCTGGTGGACAAAAGGTTCAGTAAGTGCACCCTCTAAATAATTAAATGCCCTTCGCCCTTCCCAATCCAACAAGAGCAATGTTACGTACACAAACAGAACCATCACAAACTCCACGATTATTTATTTTTTTCATTGAAGTTTACAAATGGTAAGTTTGTGAAGTTTGGGTTTGTGAATCAAGCATTTCCCATCCAACAAATGGAGTTAATATGCAGTATTTCGTATCTCTAAATATTTTCTTCAAAACATCTCCTGGCTTGAATAGTAGTAACTAGTAAGCTAACTTTCCAGAATTCATGGAGAAGTTCACACAAGTTTGAGCTCAAGCGGAAGTGAAAATATTAACTCTTTGTGCATTCTTAGATTGAGAATAGTATGAATAGATACTACCTTGTAATAGAGTCAATAACATTTAAAAAAAGTATTCTCTTCATCCCAATTTAACTTATAAGACTAATAGTACCTGTGTCCCGTAATTTACAAAAGAGACCAAAATTCTTCCTTTTTTTAAAAAAGTTATTTGTAAAATCTTTATAGTTTGAAGACGATGGTGCACATATGCCACCTAAATAATTTTCAAACATGAAATGATATTTATATCTTTTTCCATATCATGAAAAATAGAAAATGAGAAATAGAAAAGTGCAATAAAATACACTTGTAAGGGGTAAAAGGAAAAATAATAGAAAAAGGTAATGAAAGAAAAAATTCTTTTTTATTTCAATAAAAATTAAAATAAATAAAATAAAAAACTCACAAAATTCACTACGTCTCAAATTATAATTTTTCACTTATTTATTTTTCAAAATTAATAAAACAAAAAAAGTTGGGATTAAAAAAGAAGAATGGAAAAATGAAATAAAATATGGAGTAAAAGAAAAAGTTAGTTTTTTATTTTTTCCTTTTGTTTCAATACCTTTTGTATCCTTTTTTTTATTTCGTACAGAGCATTTAATTTCATTTTTATTTTTTGTAACGTTTCCCATAAAAATTATTTTGTTTTTATAAATAAATAAATGAACAATTTAAATTTAAGATGGAGAGCCTATATGTTATTTTATTTATTTGAATAAACAAGGAAATTAAAAGTAAAAAATATTATAGCGAAACTACACGACAGATATATATAAGAGCAAAACTGTCATTTTAAGTCTAAGAATAGATTAGGGGGCGCGTGTGCACCAATGAGAGAGTTTTGGTGCTCCTTTTGTAAGCCATGGGGGGGAGGCTTCCGTGCTATTAGCATTTAAACTATATATTCACTACTCACATGATCACATTTTGTTTCTTAGAAGTTTTGATGCATAAATAGGTAATTTTATATCAATTCTCAAATAAATTGAATTTAAAATAAATTAAATTTAACATAGCAAATCGAAATAGATGATTTAATTTGGGAGGGAGGTAAAACCTCTTGGGGGTAAACCAATAATCAAGTCAAGCAAATCTCTAGATCACACAACACAAATAGAACGATCAGGTATGGCACAAAGATGGTACATCACAACTTAGTGCTAGATATGACTTGCATAGTACAAAATAATGCCTATTGGGTCGATTATAAGAAAATTGAAGTTAAGAAAGTTATAAACTACACAGTAAAATGTTGTCGCAGTTTGGAGTAAAAGCTCATATGTTTGCGGGGTTCATGTCCGTGTAACAACTCATCCACTCAATCATTGTAAAGATTATATCTGCGATCATAATACATCACATTGTGTATTGACTTAATCTACTTATGAACGTCTTGGCGACAAACTCTGTTTGCGCCGGTCATTAATATTTCCTGCCCAATCAACATCACTAAAAGCCATATGTTCGGCCACACCACCCTTGCAGTACCACAACCCCAAATTTTATAATTCTTTGATACGGAGTATATTTCAGTATTCTTTAAGATGAAACTCTTTTGGATTTGCATGATATTGCACATACTCCAATGCTATACTAAATGTCGAGTCTACTGGTCGTGAGGTACAAGAGCGAGAGTCTCGATGCTTCATCGGTATTTTGTCGCATCAATTTCCTTGCCATAGTCATCCATGCCGATTTTTTCATGCGTTAGTTGGACAAGGTGTTCTATAACTTTTATTATTACTCATGTCAAACTTTTTTTTAACATATTTTGTACGTACCTTGTTTGAAATATAAAAATGCCTTCAGCAGTTTGTTTGATTTGTAACCCGAGAAAAAAGATTAGCTCAACTGGTCATGCTCATCCCAAACTCTTTTTTCATCACTTTAACGAACTTGTAAACACGTGACTAAGATGTTGTCCCAAACACAATATCATCAACATAAATTTGTGCAAAAAGGGTGTAAGAACCGTACCTAATATAGAAAATGATGTTATTGGCTCCCCCTCGCTTGCAGTCCTCTTTTGCAAGATATGTACGTACGTGGTAAGCCTCTCGTACCAAGCACGAGGTGCCTGCTTCAGGCTATACAGTGCCTTATAAAGCTTGTACACATATATATTTTGTGTTTTGGATCTTCAAACCCTTTTAGTTGTGCTACATAAACTTCCTCTTTCAAATAACCATTCAAGAAAATTGTTTTTACATTCATCTGTTACTATCTCATGTCTAGCACACACACTATGTTTATGAGAATGCGTGTGTGTTTGTGTGTGTGTGCATGTGTGTTTGTGTGCCACCCTCACCATGCCGCTATTCATGTGATGGGGTGCGGCCCCTTGTTGGGTGATGGCCATCCAATTGAGATGGAGAGCTTTCCTTTTTTTACTTGTTTCAACTAATCAAAACAATCCATGTCTTCATGTACTCCATTTTTTGGTCACGCTTCCTCTCAAGTTCTAAAACACATATTTTTTCGTACTCACACTCATCCGCAGATCCGCTTACGAGGTGTCTGTGTGGCACCTTACCATGTCTTTTCAAGCTCGCCATTACACGTAGCCTCTGAAAATAAAATTAGGAATGATATAGTGGTCCAATAGTTCAATCCATGTCCTTGGCCATACATTGTTAGTGGGCAATTTGTGGTTTAATATGTGCGTGTGCACAATGTATTGGAAGGTTTGAGTAGAAGAGTTTGAGGAAGATAGGGGAAGGCCTCTCAATCCCCGCCCCATATATCTCACCAACTCGCTTCTAGAAGCAATAAATCTTTCACCGGTCCCCCCATCATCGTACCCACCCTTCCTACCTTCCCACTTTTTCTCCTTTCTCCACATCTTCTAATTAATTACTCCCCTAATAAATATACATAAACAAATCCCCCCACACACATACTAACTATCTATCTGCTTCTTCCTCAACAACTCATCTGTCTTTCTTCTCTTCTGATCTTCTCTCACCTATCCATATATATATATATATATATATATATATATATATATATATATATATATATATATATATATATATATCTAGCTAGCTAGTGGCCGGCCGGCCACAAACTGGAAAAGAAAAACGAGATAGGGCGGCCGGCGGGCGGGCGGGGGGAGATCAAATAAATGGGAAGGTCACCTTGCTGCGAAAAAGCGCACACAAACAAGGGGGCATGGACGAAAGACGAGGACGAGAGGCTTGTAGCTTACATCAAAGCCCACGGGGAGGGCTGCTGGAGGTCCCTCCCTAAGGCCGCCGGACTCCTCCGCTGCGGCAAGAGCTGCCGCCTCCGCTGGATCAACTACCTCCGCCCTGATCTCAAGCGCGGCAACTTCACCCCGGAGGAAGATGAACTTATCATCAAACTCCATAGCATTTTAGGCAACAAGTACGTACTTCCTTCTTCATTTATTTTGGGAAATTAAATGAGTACAGTTCTTCCTTTTCTCACAAAAATGAAAATTAGAATAAATGAAATTTGAATTTAATGCAAAAAGAAAGAAGAGTAGTTTTAATTTGACTGATAGGAAAATACAATTAATTTCACAAACAAACAAATGATACCCCATAAAAGGCGTTGCATTCAAAATAAAAAAAAATAAGAGGTTTTTTTTGTTTTGCCATAAAAAAAGCTTTTTTTAATGTGATATCATATGTTATTATTTTCTAATGCAGTAACACTGTCCAATGTCTACTTGTCATTGTTCAAACTAAATGTCCACCATCACTGGACACTGTTCCTGCCACTAGACATTATTTAAGCACTATTTAGAAAATTACTCCCTCCGTCCCCCAGTTTTTGTCCACTTTTGAATTTTGAAACTGTTCATCTAAACACTTTGATTCATCAAATTCTCTCAATGTGTAAGCCTAAATATAGTCATGTGTGATCTTGTTTGATTTGTCTTAACATATAGATTTTTAATATATAATTTTTATAATTTTTTAATATACAAATTACAAGATAAAATGGATTAAAGAAGTGCATTGGATGGTGTGTAAAAATGAAAGTGGACAAAAACTGGAGGACGGAGGGAGTAAAAAATTTAAATGCTACATTAAGAAATTATATACGGAGTATGTTTTAGTGCTATTTAGTGCAAATTTAACTAATTCGTTATTTTTTTAAAATTTTAAATTAGGTGGTCTCTAATTGCTGGAAGATTACCGGGAAGAACGGACAATGAGATCAAGAATTATTGGAACACACATATACGAAGGAAGCTCTTGATCAGAGGAATCGACCCCGCCACCCACCGGCCGATCAGCGGCGGCCTGCAACCCACAGATCTGTTACCCGCCGCCGAAAATTATATGAATACCGGTAAACATTTGGCGTCCAAAGGAGAAGGAGATGATAAGGTGGCGGTGGTGGAGGGCGGAGATGGGTTGTGTCCGGACTTGAATCTTGACCTCAGAATCAGCCCCCCTTATTTCACCTGCCAAGAACCGCCGCCGCCGCCGTTGCAGTTTGCCGCCGGATCGGCTGGCGGCGGTCAGCGGGTCAACCCGATGTGCTTCGCATGCAGTTTGGGAATACTGAACAGCACCGACTGTAGTTGCAAAGGCTATAACATTGCCGCCGCCGCCGGCGAATGACATCAACGGCCGGTGGCTGTCAGTTCGATTCTAGGGTATATTTTTGGGATGCTCTGTAATTTGCCTCTAATTTTTAAACCTCCATAGGAGAGGAGTAATATTTGATTCCAATGGTTAATATATTAAAATTAGTTTCTTTTTTTAATAACTCCGTATTTGTTTTAAAATTAATGTGGTGGACAATTAAGATTCAATATATGGACTATGGAGTAGTTATTGAAGTCAGAGCTTAAGACAAAAACAAGTTGATTTTTCAAAGGAAAACATAAGGTTTTTCTTCAAGTGGTCAATAAAGAATGCAAAAAAGCCCAATGTGAAGTTCGATTACTAATGATGACAATTGTGAGATGATTTATGCTCTACATAGGCTATCACACACATCCAATGGGCCTTAAGCTAAAATTAACATATGAGCCCTTAATTCATTATTTCCTTCTCTTTTTAGGTTTTTCAATTTTCACAATGAAATTCAATTCCAAGGAAAAATGAAGACATGCACTAGAGGATTTGTGTACTTTAACTTTTTTGAATTAAACTGATCAAAATTTGAATATTATTTAAATAAAAACAATATCATCTATAAGTTTTAATTGATTTTATTAAATTTATCTTGTAAAAAACTTGCATACTTTTATTTTATTGTATTAGCATACAATACAAAATTAAATAAGAGTAATTAATGATTGAAATTTATCTATTTTTACTCAAAAATTCAAACTAAAAGTATACAAAAAAATGGAAGGATTATAAGATTTCTCTATGGTTATATTTTAGCTTCAACAAGCACCAAAAAGGGATTCTGATATATGAAGATATCAAAACTCATACTCACTCCGTCTCAAATTAAATTGCTTGTTTTCTATTCACACGGTCAAATTTTATTTATTTTCTTTCCCTATTTCTTTAGTCAATTGATAAATAGGATAATCATGTCACCACTAATTTTATAGATCTTTTGATCTAGTTTTTAAATATGTAATTTTTTTAATTGTACATTATTTTTTATATAAAATGATTTGAAAATACTTTCAGTAAAACATCGTAAACCAAAACAAGAAATTTAAATTCGAACGGAGGAATATTTCTTTTACTCCCCAAATTCACCCTCATGATTTGCACTATTGCATATTTGCATACATTTGCACTTTTGCTAGATACAAGGTAAAAGTCAAAGCTTTACAAAGACTAGCAATGTTTTCAATGTATTTTCAATGTTTTGTCCCCTTTGTCTCGAGACAAGTCTCGTTAAAGTACATTAGCAAATTGCTTCGTAGATTAATTTGGTCTCCTTCGTTGTATCCCAAAAATTTTACCTTGTAACAGGGTAGATATGAAACTTTTTAAAAAGCGTTTCCATAGATCAAGCGCTTTGAATGTTTATCCGATTTATTTAACCAACCATGTTCCAGATTATGTGTGGCTTGATCCCCTTCGTTACGGTGCGTAGGCAACTCAGAATGTGTTATATTTCTAAGTGGAGTCACAATTATAAAAACTTTTTTATTGTCCGACTTATCACTTATATGTTGGAGTTCTTTGATATTGTTTTGCTGCGGGAGAGAACTCCCAACACTTATTGTTACCAGAATACTTACTCTATAGACTAAGGCTCTGTTTCGTTCAACTTATGTTTTCTGATCTAATTTGATGTTTTGTAATTCTGATATGATCTGATTAGATCTGATCTGATCTGATCATATTTGATCTGATTGGATCCGATCTGGTCTAATCTAGTCTGATTTGATCTGATTAATTATGATTTAATTTAAAATTCAAATCAATAATTTGATTTGAAATTATAATAACGTTTGAAAATTGTAATGATAATTCATATTATAACATAATCAACATTTTTTATTTTATGATTTTTTTAATAAAATAAAATTAGTTAATTCATATATTAGAATAATCATTCATATTATAATGTAATATGCAGTAATATTTTTTATTTTATGATTATTTTTTGTGAAATAAGAATATTTATTTAATATTTTAATAATTAGTTCATATATACATTAGAATAAATATTTAATTTATATTTATATTAAAAAGTAATTAAATTTAGATAATCAATTTAGAGAAGAGATAGTATTTTTATTAAAATATCTCATTCTTATAAAAGATCAAAACTTTAAAAACTCATATTACAAGTAGCAATAAAAATATATTTTAAAAGTAAAATTAGATTGACATTGTCAATATATTTTTAAAATAATTTTTCCGACGTTTAGTAATTAAGGATTACTTTCTCAATTTTCTATTTAACTTGTTTCTAAAGTTTATTATTTTTCATTTTTAAGAATAATAATAATAATAATAATAATAATAATAAAATTAATAATAAAATTATTAATAAAATTAATAATAATAATAAATTTTTATGGGATCTGATCTGATCTGGTCTGATCTGATTGGATCTGATCTGATGTAATTGGATCTGATCTGATCTTATTGGATCTGATCTAATCTAATTTAATCTGATTGGATTCGATTTGATCTGATCTGATCTGATTTTAATAAGAATAAGAAAAATAAGAAAAAAATATGTTCAACGGAACAAGGCCTAAATTATGTTAGATAAATGAGACACATAAAAAAAACATCTAGGACCTTTGATTCTTGATAGTATTTAGATATTTTCAAACTTGATTTCCCGCCAGGGCTCCTAAATATGACATGTTGCATTTGAAATTTGAAGGCTAACCTTTAAATGTGAATTTTGATACCATTATTCCTTAGCTATTGATAATATAGAAATAAAATACGGGGTTTGGTATCGTCATTTATTGATAGTTGCTGATGTAGTAATAATATAATGTATATACTATATACATATTGCTACGAAAACCACAATATATAGTTTTAATCTTTTCCAACTATTTTATGTAATTTCCATGTTTAAATACTCCATTGTATTATACTCCGTATTTAGATTTACCACATTAACATGTGTTACTCTAGTCACTAGCGTATATAATACCAGGCATGTCATGCAAGAAAAATCATATAAAAAAGGACCATATATGATATATGAAGATCATAGTTTCATTTGACAAATCCTGGGGGCCATAGGGCCCTGCTTGATTTGGTTCATGTTTGTTGTAGTTGTTTTTCCTCACCATCTTCATATGTTGAGCCTAAGTCTTATGCACCCATACATTCCTAAGAGTCTAATAATTAAATGGGAAGCACTTGATTTTGGCTTACAACATTCATAGAGTTTTCTCCTTCTAATGTTTTTGATAGTTGAACTTGCCTGAAGCCTCTGTATTGTTGCTTGATACCCCAGGAAGGTTTACACGCTTGAAGCCATAACATAATCTCTCGAATCCCTTGTGTGGTAGTTTAACATTCCTTGAGTGGCCGCATTACTACTAAAAGCCCCATTGAGAAAGTTGTACATGCCTCGAGCCACCACGCATCTGTGAAAGGCCCACCCTTAAGGTTGAGCATGTCCAGAGCCGCTGCACTACTGCTAGAAGCCCCGCTTTGGAAATTAAATAGGTCTTGACCCACAACATCTCTATTAAAAGCCCAGCCTGAAAATTGAACATGCGTGTAGCTACAGCTTCACTACTATAAGCCCTTCCTTGATTGTTGAACATGCTCAAACTTAGCACATTGTTACTAGAAGCCCCAACCTCATAATTAAACTTTATTGGATCCAATCCACTATTGCTAGAACTTCCAACTTCAAATTTAAACACCCCTGGAGCTACCATGTCAAAGTTAGACGCACCAGCCTGAACTTCATTGTGTCTGATAGTCGGGTCCTGACAAAGGGGAAATACATGTTGTGCTCTAGATACTGAAGCCTTGCCGGTTACAATGGGGATATGAAAGACAGGAACTTCTTTAGCCGCTACCTGATGATCATCTGTAACAGATTGAGCCGTAGTTGACAATGAGGCACCACCCACTTTCTTCATCGCCTTGATTCGGTGATTATCTCAGCCAAGTGCATGTTAATCACCCAACCGAAGTCGTTCAAATCCATGATGCTTAAGGGCTCGATAATATGCTCACCATCCAGGATGCGATGCATTAGCGTGATCATTAGCTTCTCTCGATTCTCTTTTTTCAACTTAATCACATTGGTGCTCAACTTGTGAATTCTCTCATGCACGAAACTATATTGGTTCAACATCCTCCTCGTCTGCTCAATGTTTGGGAGGCTCCTGAACCGGGCAAAGTGTGTTGCATCCCTTCGACTGAGGGCCACACGACTAGCTCCTTGTCGAAGGCGCTATACATGATTGCGCAAGCCTCAACGCTACATAGGATCGTTAGCTGCTCGAGCTTGTTTAACAACCCCTCTTTCTCTTTTTCTAAGAGGCCTTTCTTTGTGCCTCGTTGTTGATATATGCCAATCTTACTTTCATTCTTGCCATTTTCAATTAATTATGTAATATATTAGAAAGTATTAGCTAGGAATATATGGTGCTTTGATTCATTTAGTGGAGAGTATATATAATGATAATGATGCTTTGATTTGATTCCATTTTATTTGTTGGTGGTGTTTGAAATTCAGCGTGTAATGATTTAATATTGGCACCTTAAATTAAATTAAAATGATATTAGATATTAATACAAATGATACTAGAGATCTAATATCCCTATTACTTTGACAAATACTAAATTTTACATTGATAATAATTATTTAATTAAATTTAAATAAAATTCTTCAATTTGTCAAAGTAAAAGAACTTTTAATATACCTCCTAAATTGAGAGAATGTACCCTCTGAGTATAATATCAAAAATCTTAAGGGTCTCAGAGTTTATTTTGGATAATGTAAGACTTGAAAGTTGTTATCAAAACAATCGAGGGTACCCCAGAGTATATTTCAAATTATGTGAGACCTGCGAGTTATTTCCAGAAAATCGACCTTACCTGAAAGTAATTTTTAGAGTTTCATTCTACCTGTTTATATGGCACTCAAAATTAATAAAGCATGCACGTAGCTAGGTCTACAACCTACACACGGGAGATTATAATTAGTTAATTATTTCAAGCCATTAAATAATAGTAGTTACATCAAGTAGGGGAGGGCACGGATCGGGACAGTTTGGGTTTTATATCGTCCCGCGTTTCGTCCCATTTCTTTCAGACGGTCCGAAATGGTTCGGGCCACAAGCTTGTCCCTCTCTATCCCTTAGTATTTGAGATCAAAATAAAACAAAATTGGTTCAGGTTATCCTAAATTGTCATTATCCAAAATTAGATATAAAAACATAACATATATAAGGGAAAGACAACCCATTTTAACTTGCAAAGTAATAAAAAAAATGATACATTTATTTAGAATGTTTTAAAAAGACCAAAACAAGAAGGAAATATGAAAATGATATATTTATTTAGAATGTTTTAAAAATGATATATACATTTTTTTTATTTTTTATTTTTTTACAGATATATACATATAAACTCGACAACGGGATGAAATGGGAAAATATTTGTGTGTCCTGATTTTGTCACATTTTAAAATGGTTCAGGATGGATTTGGGAAAAAACTTTATCATCTTAAATAGAACGGAACATTAGTGGAACGTGACTGAGATATTTCGGGTCGAGAAAACTATTTTTAGATTCTTACCCACCCCTAACACCAAGGTCGTATGAGAGCATTGAATTGGTAACATGTTATTTTAAGAATCATCCACGACTCTCATAGTGTTCTTGAATCTTGAGCATTTGTCTAGTTTTGACTTTTTCTCTCAATTATTTTTAACCTTTGACCTATAATTAAATAAAATATATATCGTATATAATTAGATAAAATAATATTTTGAAAATATTTGATATAATAAATCTAATAAAACTTTTTTGTATTAATATATAATATTATTTTTATTTTGAGGTTAAAGTTTACCAATTTTGACTAAAAAGTCAAAAGTGGTAAATGAAAGTTTACATAACTCTTGAATATTTACTTTAAATTTAAATTAGAAATTCACGATCATTCATAAAGGGGTAATCATTTTCTATAAATATGACCCTTGTCAGATTGTAAAAAAAGAGGAAAAAATTGTTAGAAAAATGATTTATTTATCAATTACTATTTTTTTGATTATATATAATAACGAAGAAATAACTTATTTATTTCTTGTGTTTATTCAATGATATGATGATGATGAAATATTAATTCATATATTTTCAATGTTTTGTCCCCTATGTCTCGAGACAAGTCTCGTTAAAGTACATTAGCAAATTGTTTTCTAGATTAATTTGGTCTCCTTCATTGTATCCCAAAAATTTTACCTTGTAACAGGGTAGATATGAAATTTTTTAAAAAGCGTTTCCATAGATAAAGCGCTTTGAAGGCTTAACCGATTTATTTAACCAACCATGTTCCAAATTATGTGTGGCTTGATCCTCTTCATTACGGTGCGTAGGCAACTCTGAATTTGTTATATTTCTAAGTGGAGTCACAATTATAAAAGGGTAATTTATCTAAATAGGACTAAACATAATGACTTTCTCAATATAGGACTATATGTTTTTATTTCCCAATGTAGGACCATTGGTCATTATCTATTAGTCATTATTCAACTAAATGTCCCGCATCACTTGGATATTCTTCTTCTCACTAGTCATTATTAAGTTCTATTTAGGGAATAAAAAAGTTTAAGACTTTAAGTCCTACATTGGGAAATGACTTATGTTTTAGTCCTATTAATTGCAAATTTCACATTATAAAAACTTTTTTATTGTTCGACTTATCACTTATATGTTGGAGTTCTTTGATATTGTTTTGGTGCGGGAGAGAACTCCCAACACTTATTGTTACCAGAATGCTTACTCTATAGATTAAATTATGTTAGATACATGAGACACATAAAAAAAAAATTTAGGACCTTTGATTCTTGATAGTATTCAGATATTATCAAACTTGATTTCCCGCTAGGGTTCCTAAATATGACATGTTGCATTTGAAATTTAAAGGCTAACCTTTAAATGTGAATTTTGATACCATTATTCCTTAGCTATTGATAATATAGAAATAAAATACGGGGTTTGGTATCGTCATTAATTGATAATTGCTGATGTAGTAATAATATAATGTATATACTATATATATACGTATTGCTACGAAAACCACAGTATATAGTTTTAATTTTTTACAACCATTTTATGTAATTTCCATGTTTAAATACTCCACTGTATTATACTCCGTATTTAGATTTACCACATTAACATGTGTTACTCTAGACACTAGCGTAATATAATACCAGGCATGTCATGCAAGAAAAATCATATAAAAAAGGACCATATATATCATATATGAAGATCATAGTTTCATTCGACAACTCCTGGGGCCATAGGGCCCTACTTGATCTGGTTCATGTTTGTTGTAGTTGTTTTTCCTCACCATCTTCATATGTTGAGCCTAAGTCTTATGCACCCATACAATCCTAAGAGTCTAATAATTACATGGGAAGCACTTGATTTAGGCTTACAACATTCATATAGAGTTTTCTCCTTCTACTGTTTTTGATAATTGAACTTGCCTGGAGCCTCTGTATTGTTGCTTGATACCCCAGTCTGGAAGGTTAACTCGCTTGGAGCCACAACACAATCTCTCGAATCCCCTGTGTGGTAGTTTAACATTCCTTGAGTGGTCGCATTACTACTAAAAGCCCCATTGAGAAAGTTGTACATGCCTGGAGCCACCGCGCATCCTGTGAAAGGCCCACCCTTGAAGTTGAACATGTCCAGAGCTGCCGCACTACTGCTAGAAGCCCCGCTCTGGAAATTAAACATGTCTTGACCCACAACACCTCTATTAAAAGCCCCAGCTTGAAAATTGAGCATGCGTGTAGCTACAGCTTCACTACCAGAAGCCCCTCCTTGGTTGTTGAACATGCTCAAACTTTGCACACTGTTACCGGAAGCCCCAACCTCGTAATTAAACATTGTTGGATTCAATCCACTATTGCTAGAACTTCCAACTTCAAAGTTGAACACCCCTGGAGTTACCATGTCAAAGTTAGACCCACCAGCCTGGACATCATTGTGTGTGATAGTCGGTTCCCGAAAAAGGGGAAATACATGTTGTGCTCTAGATACTGAAGCCTCGCTGGTTAGAATGGGGATATGAAAGATAGGAACTTCTTTAGGCGCTACTTGATGATCATCTGTAACAGGTTGGGCCATAGTTGATGACGAGGCACCACCCACTTTCTTTATCGCCTCGATTCTGTGATTTATCTCCGCCAAGTGCATGTTAATCACCCAACCCAAATCATTCAAATCCATGATGCTTAAGGGCTCGATAATATGCTCACCATCCAGGATGCGGTGCATTAGCGTGATCATTAGCTTCTCTCGATTCTCTTTTTTCAACTTAATCAGATTGGTGCTCAACTTGTGAATTCTCTCATGCACGAAGCTCTCCTGGTTCAACATCCTCCTCGTCTGCTCAATGTTCGGGAGGCTCCTGAACCGGGCAACAGTGTGTTGCATCCCTTCGACCGAGGGCCACACGACCGGCTCCTTGTCGAAGGCGCTATACATGATTGCGCAAGCCTCAACGCTACATAGGATCGTTAGCTCCTCGAGCTTCTTTAACAACCCCTTCTTTCTCTTTTTATAAGAGGCCTTTCTTTGTGCCTCATTGTTGATATAGGCCAATCTTACTTTCATTCTTGCCATTGTCAATTTGTTATATATTAGAAAGTATTAGCTAGGAATATATGGTGCTTTAGATTCAATTGGTCGAGACTATATATAATGATAATGATGCTTTAATTTTATTCAATTTTATTTGTTGGTGGCATTTGAAATTCGGCGGGTGCGGATTTAATGTTGGTACCATTAATAATTGGTAACTCCTTGTAATATATAGTAATAAAATATAGGATTTGGTATTAATGTCTTTAATTGATTACTATTCATATGGTAGTTTTTTTAAATTACATGCTCATATAGCAATAATATAATGGACTCCATATGTACAACGTACTTATTGTTACAAAAAGGGACAATGTTTTTCATTTTTTAAAATTATTTTTATTTAATTTCCATGTTTAAAAACTCCATTGTACTTCCCTAAAAATTAAAACTCCATTCTAGTGTACTGTACTATGTATATAGATTTACAACATCAATATGGTCATATGGATCAATTTCTCCATTTATAGTGTATTCATTCAAAATTTAGTATGCGTGTCAAATTAATTGATTATGGTTTTAGAATGTTGAATGAGATTCTTTGTGTATTTGGTTACTACCGAATAAATTGAACAGTGACAAATCCAAAGGTAATTCGAGGCATATTCTGATCAAGAAAACTATAAACGGTGTGGGATTTTGGGCAGTGGCGGTCGGCGGAGCCAGGGCGCATATTTTGGGAGGGCACAAAAACAGAGTATAATAACATTAAAGAGGACGCCTAATTTGATACCAATCAATTGCAAACTCAATCGCTATACCAATTCAATTAGGACACATGCGATGGCCTATTTATAGATTTTATAGTTACAGTTTTACGAAGCACTGTAGGTATCCAATTGAACTCGTGCCAGAATTTGACATCATTTGAAGTAGTGTTAAATTAGACTTACTCAATATTAAATAACTAAAAAGTCTACTCAAAAAAATGACCAGAAAATAATAAACTAAATCTTGAGCAAGTATTCACATAATTAAAAAATACTCCCTCCAATCCTAAAAATCTTTCATATTTTGATTTTTTTATCAAACAGTGACACTCTTGACCATAAAGTAAATATAATCTAAATAAACAAATGATATAAAAATTTGTTATATCAAAACTATATCCTAATATGAACCCAATTATGTTTAATTTATATTATAATTAAATAACTTTCCTCAAAAATTTTGTTAAAAAATGACACTGTTTGACCAAAAAATCAAAATAAAAAAGGTTTTCAGGAACGTGAGTATATAAGTTCATATCTATTTTCTATTCTTGTCATTTTAATTTTTTCTTTTCATTTTTTATCATTGTACTTATAAGTGTTTCATTATTGTAATTATACAAAATTTAAGTTTCGTTTGCAATTTTTAACTTAAACAATACTCAATTATTTCAAGAATAATTTACCTAAATAGGACTAAAACATAATGACTTTCCCAATATAGGATCATATGTTTTTATTTCCTAATGTAGGACCTTTGGTCATTATTAATTAGTCATTATTCAAGTAAATGTCCATCATTACTGGACATTATTCCTCCCACGAAGACATTATTAAGTTCTATTTAGAGAATAAAAAAGTTTAAGTCTTAGATTAGGAAAGTCATTATGTTTTAGTCCTATTTAGTGCAAATTTCACTTATTTCAACCCCGACTTTGCAGATTCTATTCGACGAAGCCCAACTCAGGAGGAAACTAGTGATAAAACCTAATACGGAGTACTCCGTTATCTGATATCATCCTGAGACAAGCTTGACGGCTTGAGACAGAGCATCAAGGGACTGAGGGGGCACATCGTCCCTCGATCCACACCGCCGGTCTTTGGGCATACTTTGCCGGAGCTCCGCCGGGGCACGTTCTCCGGCATGCCCAGGGGCGGATCTAAGTACAAGTTAATGGGGACAGTTACCCCCAATGAATTTCAAAATTGTCCAATCTGGTACCCTAATTTTTTTAAAAAGTAGTTATGCCCCCATTGAAAAAAATAAATTGCCCATAATAAAAATAAATTTTAAGTAGAAAATAAAATATCTACCATTAAAAACAAAATATTTAAAATTTAATTGAGTCAAAATTAAAAATTATTTAGAGAAAATAAAATTCTTAGGATATATTTTTTTTAGATTTTTCATTATTTATTTAATATGTTATTGAGTCAAAATAATGTTTTTTTTGGTAATTTCACATTGCTATTTTGAAGAAAAAACAGAAGCACTATCCTCAAACCCCGTAGTAGTCTCGCCCCCAGTCCTTGTGATTCCTTGTAGTAGTCTCACCCCCTAATTTTAAAAGAGCGAGTCTAAAAATTTTAAGCCAATATGAAATGACAAAACAATACTTCCCTCGTCCCATAAAAATGTTCCCATTTTGAATTTTAGAAAAAGATATTTTTGTGTTGACTTTTCAAAAATATTTTTGATTTGATGGGTAAAAGTAAAATGTAATGAGTAGATTATTAGTAAAAAGGTATGATGTAATAGGTAGATTAAGAATTAGTATGGACAAAAGTGGTTTTTTAATAGAAAAGGAAAAATGTTTGTGTATGGAACAAGAAAAAAAAGAAAAGAGAAAGATTTTTTATGACAGAGGGAGCATTAAAAAATTAAAATATATTGTTACGCAACTATATTTACCATTATTATTATTATTATTATTATTATTATTTGAACAAATCACTTCATTTGTTTACCAAACTCCAAAAGATTTACAGAGATAGCATCACAACTCGTTCCCTACAACACCCTTATGAAGCACTACTTTTGTTCATAATAGCTTGTATATAATTTTTAATAGTAGTTATTGTCTCATCTTCTTTCAAGATATTTTGGGGAAGTTTAGCATTGCGTGCTTTCCATAATATTTTGCGGAGTACATAGCAATTAAATAGCCATCCATGTTGCCAAAGCCACCTCCCTCTTTGTCCGTTTCATAGCTACATTTATTCAATAAGTGATTAACATCTTCTTCATCTCTCTCACATAACAAACAGTATGCATCAATGTTCATGAACTTCTTCAGCCTCATTCTTGTTTGGATCCTCCCCTACATGTTTAACCAATATATGAATCGTCGCTAAAGTACATCTCTTTTGTTCTAGACCCATTTACTCCGGTAAGGGGTAGTCTTTGATTGCATCAGCCAGCTATACCCCTTTTTCACCTCATATTATCCATTACAGCTCATTCCTTCTTCAAATTCTTGTCTTATTTTATGAGTTTTCTCTAGTAATGACAACAATTTAACTAGTCCCAAAGTTGGACAGTCTTCAAGTATCTAGCATGAATCCATATAACCCACAATATCTCTTTATTATGGGCTATGTACCAATTTAACTTCATAATTGCAGCTTTATTCCAAATAACGATATTTCTGATCTAAATCCCCTTCTTCTTTGGCAAACAGACTTCCTCCCATTATATTGGTGGTACGTTTTTATATTCTGCAATGGCACTCCAGTGAAAGCTTCAACATATGGCATTGATCCTATTTATGACCTTTTTAGGGAGGATGAAAATTCTAGCCCAGAATGTAATAATCCCCATGAGAACTGTGTTTATCAGGTTCACTCTTCCTACATATGAGATGTGCTTGGATATCCAATAGGTGATTATTGCTGATATACTTTCTATTAATCTGTCACAACCTCTACTTGTGATTGCAGCCTTATTCCAAACAACAATATTTCTGATCCAAACCCCATTCTTTTTGGAAAACAAGCTTCCTCCCATTGTATTGGTGGTACATTTTTATATTTTGCAGTGGCACACCAGAGAAAGTTTCTACATATGACATTGATCCTATTTATGACTTTTTTAGGGAGGATAAAAATTCTAGTCCAGAATGTAATAATCTCCATGAAAACTGTGTTTATCAGGTTCACTCTTCTTGCACATGAGATGTGCTTGGATCTCTAACATGTAATTTTTGCTAATATACTTTGTATTAATCTGTCACAATCTCTGCTTGTAAGTTTAGAAGCTGTAATTGGGCTCCCCAAATAAATGAGAGGTAGTTCTTCTTTTTCCATTTTAGTAATATCCAGGATACTTCTTTGAGTTGACTCATTACATCCTCCAAACACCACCTGTCATTTTTCATTGTTAACCCTAAGACCTATTCATCTCTTGAAACTCCGGATAGACTCATTGTCTGCTTTACTGGCTATTATGAGGTCATCAGAAAATACCAGGTTAATCACTTTCAGAGGAGACCGCATGAACTTGAAACCCTTTTCCTTGGTTTGGTGCTGAAGAAGCCTTGTTAGGTATTCCATAACAAGAACAAAAAATAGTAGAGATAAAGCTAAGAGTCTCCCTGCCTAAGTCCCTTTCCCCCCCTGAAAAATCATGTGTTTCACCACTAATCATCAAAGAAAAGCTTGAGCTTGTTACATATAACATAACCCACTTCATGTACTTCTTAGGGAAGTTCATCTTGCCTATAATAATATCCTGTAATACTTTCCAACTGATAGAGTCACACTTTCTAAATATCCAATTTTAGGAGACATCTAGGAGAAATATTCTTTCTTTTATATCCCTTAGCTTCTTGGAAAGTAACACATTATGAAGCTCCCTTTTATGAAAGTTCCATGGTTCCAATTAACAATCTTAGGTAGAACCTTTTTCAGTTTCTTGCTCAAAATATTTGAAGTGACCTTAAAGATCACATTGTAGCATGAAATTAGTATGTAGTCAGATGGATATTTAATTATCTTTTTAGGGATATTTAGGATCATCATCATCATCGGCAAGGTATTATTTATGGTGATCATTATTAAGAGTAGTATTTTGTTAGGATATTAGTTACGTTTTACGATTGAGATTCTCTAGATATTGAATCTATTAAAGTCTCTGTCACCATAGAATTATAAATCAATGAATAAAAAATATTTTTTCCTAAACCTTAATTTCTCTCTCTTCTCTCTCTCTCCGTCTCTCTCCTCGTCTCTAAATGAAAGCACCAGTTAGATACGATATCGTATCAGGATAAAGAAGAATTTCGAGCACATTCGAGCTCCAAGAACAAAAAAGACGAGAAGAGAGAGATTATGTTGCAGGACTACATTTACCATTATTATTATTACTATTATTATGATTATTATAGATAAAATATTATTTATGGTTATTATTATTAAGAGTAGTAATTTGTTAGGACATTAGTTATCCTTTATAATTAGAATTTCCACTTTACTTAGTTACTTTTTATGATTGAGATTTTGTAGATATGGAGCATATAAATGTATTCATCACTATAGAATTATCAATCAATGAATGAAAAAAATACTTTTTCCTACACTCTAACCTCATACGATACCAAGAACAAAAGAGACGAGAAGAGAGAGAGGGATTAAGGTTTAGAGAAAAGTATTTTCTTCATTCATTGATTGATAATTCTATTGGATGAATCTATAAAACTAATATATAAAATTTATATACCAAAAAATTACATAATAATTCTAATTCCTTTGTCTCGGAGAGCTTTTCAATTTTCACGTCTTACCTGCCCCATAAAAATTTCAATTTCGTCTAAATAAATATAATTGTCCTTACTTTTCTTAAATGTAACTAAACCTTCCTGAATTACTTCTTACGCCCTACACATATTGACATTTCTCAAGTCCTACATACTCGTTTCAATTATTATCGTTTTATTACCTTAGTCAAACTTCTAAAGTTTTTCCTCCCAATAGTCAGAACTGATAATGTTTTACACGATGAGAGAAGTACAAAACATGAGGTGAGATGATTATATATTTTATAAAATGAGTAAATAAAGTGATTAAAGCTTGACCTTATGGATAGTAAACATGTAATTTAATTTATGACGGAAAGAAGATATAATCTCATGCGAAGCACAAATTAATAATAATTTAGAATTTAGTTGAGTGAATTTAGTATGTTGAGTGATTTAGTTTTTTGGCAGATAGTGACTATCACTACCTTTCAACTAATAAAGAGTATAGAATATTCTTAGTGATCTTTCTGTCAAGTATGAGGGAGTATGTCCTCGAGGATTGGACTTATCCTTTTTATACAAAGTTGAATATAATTACCCTCTCAGTCCTAAAATTAACTTACCAGTGTATTTTATACGATGTTTGACTGAACTATTTTTAATTTAATTATTGCAAAAATTAACGTGAAATTTAAAATTAAATTTTATATACTCCCTCAATTCCAAAATTTTTGTCTTATTATGCAAAACGAAGCAAAGTTTTAACTTTTTCAACTTATTTCATTTAGAGATTAGTATAGAAAAAATAAATTTCATATTTAAAAATTACGTCAATTGTTCTTTAAAATAATCGAAGAACTTTTTATTCTAGACGTGACAAAAGTATTTTCTTTTATCAAATAATCGATAAAAACTTACAAATAAATAATAATAAAATTTGATTTTTAAATAGTAAACTGTGACATTCTTTTCTCATCTCATTCCATATGCTCCACCCGCATTCATTAAAGAATTTTTTTATAAACCTACACCTTTTTCTAATCTCCTTAAAAACTACAAAATGTCAATTTCAGAAGATCTATGACGAATAAAGTCAGTTCAGGATTTTCAATATGAGAAGTTATCACGTACCGTCCCCAAATATCGAACCATCTGTCTAGTTCAATACAATTCAATTTCTTTCCGATACTTTTTCATTTCGGTATTTTTTTTGTTTGGTATTTCTCAATTTTATTCGGAGATTTCAGCATCTTTTCAATACTTGCTTCCCTCTAGAGGGTGGTCATAGTTAATTGGAGTTTTTCTTACATGCACCAAGACCATCTCCAACAAGCTCTACCAAACTCAAACTCAAAATGCAGTAAACATCAATTCAAACAGTAATTTATCTCCAATCCATTACACCAAACTCAAACTCAAAAAATATTTCCACTCTATATTTCATTTTTTAACTATATTTTTATACTTTGAAAATTTAAAAACAAATAATTTAGAGAAGCTACAATAAAAATCAATAAATTAACCCACAACAAACAAATACACATCAAGCACACACACAAAAAAATCAAAATAAAAAGGAAATGAAAAAAAAATAAATGGCGTAAGGTACAGGAGAATATGCAGTAAGGTTGGAAATGGTCTAACACACTTAACAAGTCAAATACACAAATAGTTCTGTAAGATTGGAAGTATAACAGTTGAGATTTGGTTGGTGGCCTTGCTACTTGTCGGTTGCTTCTAGAAATATTGGTTGGTGAGAAAAACTGTAACTTTGATTGGATCATACACATTGTACGCCAAAGGCGAAGTATGTACATGCACCTACTACAAGTTTTGTCTATGTGAAATTAATTTTTGGTTTACAATATGGTGTGCAAAACAAATTTTCAATTTTTATTGACTTTTCATGCTGACATTTGGTAAGCATTTCTAGAAGAAATCAGTTGAAAAAAAACATCTTTTTTGAAAACATAGTTAAATGTCATCTCATTAAAGTTGAATCTATACTCTGGTCTCTAGGCTCCAGTTAAAATCAAGGCAAAGTAAGCTTCATACCATGCAAAACGTTCATCACTTCATCAAAATAGACATTATGAAAGACAACAAGCAATTCAAGCAAACCACAAATCTCTAAACAAGGTGTGTGTTTAACTTAAAAAGGGATGGGGTGGAAATAACTAGGTTTCCCTTGCCGGACCCTTCTTGGCAGCTTCGGCAGCAGCTTTCTCAGCCTCAATCTCGGCTACAATGGCATCGATTTCTGCTTCCTCTAGTTGCTTAAGTCCATGCTGCTTTGTCATCACAGCTACTTCTATGTTCCTTCCACCACTCTCGACCACCTTTTTTCAGACATCATTGAACAGGTCAGGTCGGAATCTCAAATAGATGAAACATGAAGCTGTTATAATGTATCACCATAATAGCCAAAAACATTAGCAATGCCATAGGCAAAAGAAAGTCTTTTAAGGCTTGTGTTCAAAATCACCATAACTGCAAAACTATGTTTCCATTGTAGTGAGCGTGTGTCGAGTTCTTTGGGGGTGGGGGATTGGCGGAGGGTTATTTGTCAAGCGGGTAGGGATGAGCAGAGCAATTTGTAGACATAGGAAATAATTGTGCCTTAAACCATCTTATGCCTTGAGCAGAAAAAAAAATCCCCCATAGAATGTTGTGGATGGTTTGTTTTATGAATGCATGAAAGTCAGGAAAAGTGGAAGAAAAAATGGATATAATTATAAAGACCAAAATGGAGAATAGAACTTTTATGTTCACATGCAATGAATAAGAAGACAATGAGTATATTGAAAGGGAGAATCAGCATTTAACTTATATGTATGGATTTTTTTAAATTGTCGATGTACTTTTCACCTTCTTTTTCCCCAAATTGAGCTGGAGAATTCATCGATAGTGATGGAATTTAATTGTTTATCATAACATTTGTCATCTAAGATAATAAGACCATTTCCATCATTTATTTTTTCAACCACAAACATGTTTCTCTACTTCCAAGTATGGGTAAGGTCTGCATACACACACCAACCCTGACAATACTAGGAGGATTATACTGCATTTGTTATTGTTGTTGTTGCTGTCAACCACCAAGATGTTGATCAAACATCACTTTTTTTAAATTCAAATATTCAATTCCAAAAAGAAAACATGAACATTATAAAAATTACTGCTTCATTATAGTTGCAGGTGGAAATTGCAGTTAGAGTAAGGTCAACGTTCACACATCCTCCATACTAGTAGGATTCTACTGGGTTTGTTAATTGCTGGTATTCTTGTCAACCACAAACATGTTTATCAAACATCATATTTTTCAAATTCAAAATATTCAATTCCAAAATGAAAAAAACATTAAAATTATAAAAATTATTGTGAAGTTGAAGGTGGAAGTTGACAGTTAGGGTGGTTGTAAAAATAAACCTAAAAAAGCAACTTCAACAACGCCACGTCAGTGCCACATCAAAAGTTTAAACCCATCAACTTCTTTGAACCTATTTTTATAATAATAAACCTACCAACAATAAAAATAAACAAAAAATAAAAAAGAGGGAAAGAGCTGTTGAAGGCATTGCATGTAGTAGGAAAAAAGGAGAAAGTTGGTTTGCAGACACATAAAGCCCACCTAACTCTAAAAAGTAAAAACCCAGCTCCCATATTTTAAACCCAAGTTTAAAACTTTTCGCAAACTCAGCACTTAGTAATGGTTGTAGCTAGCTTTATAGTATTAAAGTTGCATCCTAAACATACCATTACAAGCACCCTTAGGTGGCAATATCGTTTTTGAAGTTTTCTTTTTTTACGAAACAGAAACACAAAAAAATAAAATTTAAATTTTAGAAATAATTAGGATAGTTTGAAAAGTATTCAATTATTCAAATTTGGTTAACTAGAGAAGTAAACATGTTTTTCAGTTTCCAGTTTCCCAATTTCATTCCACATCTTTCCCACATTTCCACGTCAAGTATTGGGCATTAACTAAAATGCCCAATGTGTTAGTGTTACCTCATCGACTTCTATCACGAGATAGTTAGAGACATAGATCCATTTAACAAACACCAAACATAAGGTAAACCCTGTAACTAAGTTCCCGCACGTCTTAACCCTACAACAATTAAACAAGCAAGTGACCACACCAACTATAATCCCAACTACATCGCGGGTCTGAGGGTCAAGATATATGCAGCCTTACCTCTATGGCTCTATAAAACAAATACGAAATAGATACCCAAAGCTAAACCATCGTCAAAAATAACTTTAGCTCCATTGGCCTATATCATCAGGGACATCAGGTACTCTGATAGGAATAAATATCATCAGTACCCATTGGCAATGGCACGTCGTAACCCTAATAGGGAGAAATATCATCGGGTACTCTATAATGAGTATAGCAAGTTATACAACTCATCTAAGTCCCAATGTTACTCTTTTGAAGAGGCATGCAATATCATGAAATTAGTCAACTAGATTTTCGATACCAACCTCCAAACTTATTAAGAAACTTTATCGATATGCTAGATAATTGTTATATGAAACTTCAAAATATAAAAATAATAAATTCAAATGAGCTCTGAATCAAATAAATAAGAGGCCCACAATATGAAACTTACTTCAAGCAAAGCACGAATGGCGAGCTTTACAGTTTCCTGGCCAGAGGTTTCCTTGTAGTTCTTCTCTAGAAACTCTCGAATCGAATTGGAGTTCCTCCCAGTTGCATTGGCCTTCCATGCTGAAAAAGTCCCTGATGGGTCTGTTTGATAAAGGGATGGGACACCAGTGTATGGATCAAAACCAATGATCAAGGTGGAAAGACCAAATGGTCTCACACCCCCACTTTGAGTGTACTTCTGCTGAAGTCCAGCAATATAGCGAGTTATGTACTCAACAGTTACAGGATCTTCCACAGTGAGCCTGTGACTCTGGCACTCGATGCGTGCCCGATTTACAAGAACACGTGCATCTGCTTTGAGTCCAGCACATGCTAATGCAATGTGATCATCTAGGTTCACAATCTTTCTTACAGATCTGAATAATGAAATATGCAAAAGAAAACATAAATACCGGTTTCTAAGCAGCAGACAACCAAATAAACATGAAACAATAAAGTGAAAAAGAAATAAAGGCATTCCAAGGTGCTGCAATAAATAGGATCTATAGCTCTATTACCTATATACACAACAATGGATGATATGATTGGGTTTTTTCAAAAAAGACGCATCCTCCATAGTTAATAAAATTGCAACACCTCTGAATTTCCTCCTCTAGAACAACAAAACCCATATAACCCCAAGTAAACTGGAGATTGGGAATCTCCGTTAAACCATTGATGCATTCACAACTCACAATTTCATAGAAAGTAAGAAGCAAATGAAGTTTAATGTGTCATTTTGTTCCAGTCAACAATGACCGTTTTGGCTCCATTGGCAATGGACGCTAGTTTCCTCCAGTAAATGAACAAATAATTCATCTTCCATCTCTTCTTCTCTAACCATAGCACACTTACATGACATATCGCTTTCTAGTATATACATAGGTATTAAGGTACTCAGCCAAATTTGGAACATCATTGTAGGGTTAGATCACTGTGTTGTTTTAGGAGAAAATAAAATAAAATAGCTCACCCTAATTTTGGATGGAAACACTAAAAATCCCTAAAACATAAATTAAAGAATCATGTTGATATATATACACACACTAGGAACGTTAATTCCAAAGTTAACCTGGAATCCTGTAGTTTAGGGGTGGACTTCTTCTCGACGCCGAGGACGACAGTGTCCGTACCTCGAACCCCAACGGCGGCGTTTCCCTTTCGTACGGCTTCCAAGGCGTACTCGACCTGGAAAAGATGGCCGTCCGGCGAGAACACGGTGATCGCTCTATCGTATCTGGCCATGGCTGTTTGCTATATCAGTTTCTTCCGATCTCTGCCTCTTCGATGCGCAGACACTTTTCTAGCTATCGAGATCTGAGAGATCTTGGAAGACAAGTAAACGGAGAGAAAAATCGAGTCGTAAACGACGCCGTTCAATCATTCTCCAACCCGGCCCATAAGAGTGTTCCGTTTTTACCATAATCTTTTGACCTTAAAAAAAATTCCCAACAAAACTGAAGTATAGCATTTATTATTTAAAAAAGGAGTTTTTATATTTTTATCTTAAAATAAGAGTTTTAATTGTGATATTTTGACATTTGACATTAGGACATTATATAGTGGTATTTCATTGTATATTTTAAAATTATATATTGACATTATTAATATTGTACTCCTAATAAAATATATGAAAAACTTATTTTAATACTTTTTTGGCATTTTATCTAGAAAAATGACTTCAGAATGATTCAAACATTTACAATGATCCGTTATAAAATTGATGATTCTATTATTCTTTATTACCAATCCGTGTCCTTCTTATCTGTCTCAAATTAATTCTCTTACTTTTTTATTTTTCTAATAAAGTAAAAAAGATGAGGTTAACTATCTATCTCTCAATCAAATTTCAACCGTTTGATTAAATTTTTTTACACTTTATTTCTCAAAATTTTGTGAAATTAAACTTGGACAATTAATTTGAGAAGGGGAAATAGTCTCAAATTTTGTTAGGGTGGTGCTAAATTTATTTATTCCATGTAAATATAGTCGACCCCCCCCCCCAGCTGAATGCCATCTCTTTCGGCAGCAAAGTGTTGTCATTTGGGCTTCCAGAACATCAGTAAATACACACTCACTGCAACAGAACGCAAATTTCTCTACAACTATTTGCCAAGGCGAAGGTATGGTACGGGAATGGATGTTTTTAGGTCTTCCAAGCAGCTAAGTAACCACATGAAAATGGGAAATATCCACGGCGCGCAGAAGCTGTTTGATGAAATGACTGAGAAAAGCATTGTGGTTTGGTCAATCATGGTCCACGGGTACTCAAAGAATGGTCTTTACGGGAAAGCGTTTGAGTGTTTTACTGCAATGAGACATTTTGGCCTGGTTCCGAATTCCTTTACCTTTGTGGGAGCTCTGGTCGGTGTCTCTGGGTTGGAAGACATTGCACTCTGTCGTGCCGTTCACGGGTTGATAGTGAGGATTGGGTGGGAGTTTAGCTCTGTTGTGGCTACTGCACTCCTTGATGCTTACTCAAGATGTCGGTTCGCAGGTGATTCTTACAAGGTTTTTGATGCCATAAAGTCGGAAAGCGAAGTTCCATGGAATGCAATGATAAAAGGATTTGTGTATAATGAGCTCTTCGAAGAGGCAGTTTTCTTGTTTAACCGTTTCCGGGAGTCTGGTTCTATTCCTAATGCTGTAACATTAATGACTCTTACCCAAGGCTGTGTTGCCTTAAAATCTCAGCATCTTTGTGAATCCGTTCATGGTTTTGGTATTAAATTTGGTCTTGTTTCTGATATAGAGGTCAGCAATGCTATTCTTTTCATGTATTCGACTTTGGCTGACTTAAATCTTTGTAGAGAAGTGTTCGATTCAATGGATGATAAAGATGTTATTAGCTGGTCAACACTGATGGGGTTATTGGTTCAACTCGAATATGCCTCTGATGCTATAAAGCTTTTCTTTCAGATGAGAAATTTTGGAACCAGGTATGATGCCGGTGTCCTAGGTAATCTCATTTCAGCTTGTGGGCTTGTTGGAAATTTGAAAATGGGGAAGTCTGTTCATGCTCAGACTATCACTAATGGTTTTGGATTCAACATTCATCTGGCTAATTCCATGATAACAATGTATGCAAGATGTGCAAATCTAGATTCATGTACAACTTTGTTTGACAGAACACCTACGAAGAATGTTGTTTCATGGACATCTATGATTTCAGGGCTTTTGGTTAATAAGAGGCCTAGGGAAGCACTCGATTTGTTCATCGGTGCAAGAAATCACGGAAATTTATATGCCGACCCAGTACTTTTGGTAAATGCACTAAATGCAGCCGGCGAACTATGTCTATTAGACTTTTGCATGCAGCTCCACTGTTATGCTTTCCAAGCTGGATTCATATACCATAAATGTTTGCCAAATTGTCTCATATCAGTTTACTCAAAATGTGGTAATGTGGAACTTGCCCATAGTGTTTTTGTGCACATGAGCTCTCTGTGTGACATTACTTCTTGGAATGCGATGATTTACGGGTATGGGATCAATGGCCATGGAAAGACTGCTCTCTCACTCTTTAATGAGTTTAGGAAGTGTGGAGGAATCCCTGATTCCAGCACTTACCTGTGTGTTTTGAGCGCTTGTAGCCGTGCAGAAATGGTCAAAGATGGTTTGTTGGTTTTCAGTACAATGCTTGAAGATGACAATTTAAAAGTTTCTAAGGAGCACTGTTGGTGCATTGTTGATCTGCTCTCTCGCGCCGGTTACTTGTCTGATGCGAGTGAGTTAATGGATGGAAGCAGAGACCGAAATGCTTGGAAGGCTTTTTTGAACGGGTGCGTGCTTCACAATGATTTGAAATTGGCAGAGATTGCTGCGAGAAAAATGGACGGATTTGCCCAGACAGACCACGGGCAGGATGTCGTGCTTCTGTCGAATATGTATGCATCAGTTGGGAGGTTTGAGGATGCTGAAGCCTTGAGGTTGAACAACATGGCTGGGAAGAAACTGATGAAAGAACCAGGGTTAAGTCTTCTCAGTGGTGGCTGACTCTTAGGAGTTGAAAATGCTATTCAAGACATGATCTTTACTGAATGAGGGAAGATGTTGAGGTTCTCTAGGAATGTGCTCCCTCCGTCCCAAAAAACTTTGACTTTCAAATGAAAGAGAAATCGTGTGATTCACATGTTTACCACTTTTAAAATGGGAAGTATTTTTTGGCACGGACGGCGTAATATCAAAACAGAAGCTCTTGGCAATGGAATCATTGGTGAAGAACTTCCATGGGAGGGCCTAAGGGAAACTATACCCGAAGCATTAAGGGATTGATATTGGCGTTAGAGGTCAGATATTTTTGGTAATATATGGACTCTTTATAACCTTGATTGGGCATCCATGTTTATTCTTGGTTATTATCTTCTTTGAAACAAAATTGAAGAGAATTAGGGAAGAGATACATGCAAATATTTTTCATATAAGCCATCTTAGACATGGGATTATTTTGGCTTTGTTTGGTAACATCGTTTTCGATTAGCATTAGCGTTTTGGATAAAATTTTAATGGTGTAGATTAATTCTGAAAACGCTAACGCTAAAGACTATTGCCGGATAGCTTTTTCAGAATGCTAATGCTAATCTCTAACGGTGATGCCAAACGGGACCTTGTTGTTATACTTGTATTATCCTTGTAATAAAAATACAAAATTATCCTTTAGAATATTGCTAAAATGAGCAAATTAGGGAGGACGTGTCATTAACCAATTAATTATCCTCCCTATTAAACACAATCATAGGCTTTAGCATTTTTTGCTCATTTCTACACTACGACCCGTAATTCCCTCGTGGCTAACTTTCGGCTGAAAGTTGCTGAAAAAGGGTGTCATTCACTAGAAGATTAGATTAGTGAACCAAAAAAAATTGTAACATTACAACTGTTCATTTGTTCATTTTGACTTTTCAAAGTTAAATTAGATAAAATTTAATCACCAATTAAGTAAAAATTATGCTTTTCCCACTTATATTAATGTTTTATTACTGGCCGTGAACGAAAATTAATAAAAATGAGATTGTTTAATTGAAAGTATGATAGTAAAAAAAGAGAAAGTATATGAGTCACAAATAATTTTAAAATAGAAATATGAGCCTTTTTGAGTTCCACGAAAAATAAAATATACTCCGAATAACATTAATGTGGGACAAATGAAATATTTCATATCAAAAATTACTCCGTGATATGAATATTATTTTATTAAATTTATTATGGAAATATTTTTTTCAAAATTGTGCTACAAAGTATATATACTCCGTATTACTTTACAATGTACTGAATTTTATGTAATTAATGATCAAATTTTTTTATGGAGTACTTTAATAAATAATCAAAGTGAACAAATAATTTTGGATAGTGCTATTCTCATCTCACTTTGTACCTCATTTTGTACCCTAAAAATATACCTAACATAAAATGTAAATGCAACAGTGACATGATACCATTTTTACACTTACATTTAATGTAAGGACAAAGCCTTAAGAAACAAATGTGAGGTACAAATAAAATTTTCCAATAATTTTAGTAGAATTGGGTGACCAATAGAAATGAACAATAGCTCTGAGTGGAAGATTATTGTATTCGATGATCATTATCCCTCGAGATGCCAAAAACAAGATTAGACCATTGTTTTCCCCCATTAGCTGCTAATTCAATGAATGATGAATCGAAATCTACTTGACCCTGTCCTGAATCACATCCATGCCCATCTCCGCCTCGTCGGTCGCCTGAACTTCGTAGTGGATCCCGTCGAGCGCCCTCCGGAGCCCGTCCTTGGACGTCGCATACAGCATCTTCGCCCTGATCCGCGATCCCGCCGGCGCCCAGGCAATGAAGAAGATCTTGCTCTTCCGGCAGTTGTCCACGGTGACAAAGTCGAAGTCGAAGACGGCGTACCGGCAGTCGTCTTTCGGGAGGGAGGCCGCCAGATCGTCGTAGCTCTCGCCGGCACCGCCGACCTTGTCGACGGTGACCTGCCGGGACTTCTCCTCGATCTTGAAAACTATGTACTTGTGCACCTTCTTCCACTTCATCTCCATGAACGAGTTCTTGCACTCATCCGTTAAGCACATCCCTGTAGTCGCCTGTGTGTATCAAAATTTTCACACACATGAACAAATTAAAATTAGTAATCATCAAATTAAATCGAATCATGTAATATATGGGTAAAAATTAACTTATGGTGAGAATCAAATCAAAGGAAGGTAATATATAAACCATCTTGAAAGCCATGGCCATGGTGGGTGGGTTTCTTCTTTTGGGGGAACGGAGGGAGGAGAGAGAGAGTGAGCTTAGACCTCGTGGGACGATCAAGTTGTTTGAGGTCTCACAGGTTGTCTTTTTATAGAGCCTGATTGTTCCCTCATCCTTAAAGAGTGTTTTCAAGGGAGTATATTTTGTCCTCCCTAATTGATTTTTTAATTATGAAATTTGTATGAATAAGATTAAAATATAAGTCATTTTCTAATATAATATTTAAACTTTTTGTTCCTTATATAGCACTTACTATTGTCTAGTGTGACTAGTGAGAAGAATAATGTTCAAGTGATGCTAGACATTTAATTCAATAATGACTAATATATAATGACCAATGATCCTACATTGAGAAATAAAAACATATGATCCTTTATTGAAAAAGTGATTATGTTTTAGTACCGAGTACTATTTAGGTAAATTACCCTTTTTAATTTTGAACAAAAGTATCTTTTTAATGGAAATTGGTATTTCCTTCTTACAAAATGTTTTACACTTTCGGTAAAATTAAACAAAATTTCAAATTCTTTTAATTCATTTTATTTGAAAAAAACTTTATGTGATTTTTTGAAATTGAAGAATGTAATTCTTTTTTAGAAAAGAAAAACATGAAAGAAAATTGTTTTATGAAACTTGGAACTGTTGGAAGGAGTAAAAGAGAACTATTTATCAAAGGATAAACTGTTTCTTAAGATTAAAGTATCTTAAAATAAACTTATAAGGTCTTATAAGGAAACATTTTTCTCTAGAGCACACACTCGATCAAGCTTGACCAAGAGATATAACTCCAGAGGAAACAATAAAAATAAAAAAAAATATGTGAGAAAATCTATAAAATTAGTATCCTTCAAGGTGCACTATAGAAACAAATTGGTGAATATTACTCCTATAGTTCTTGCCAAATAATCCATTCAAAAATTCAACTTTGTTTAATGTTGAATAGCAAAATTGACCCTCCGCAGTGGGGTCGTTGCCCATTGGTTGCTCTTTCATCTCTTTGGATGCTAAAAGATTTCCTTCCCTTAAGATCCTTTGTGGTAGTTTTGACTGTGAAATTAGAATTCGTGATTTCCTGTTTGAGTTTGTTTATCTATTTTAATACTCCGTATATTTCCGCAAAATACCGTCTAATTAAATATATTTCTCGTTCTATGGCTAATCTTTTTGAGTGGCCATTGATTCAAAGAATTTGATTAGAAAAAAAAATAAAGTGGAAAATAGTCTTTCTTATTTGGTTAGAAAAAAAAAGAAAGGAATAGTTAAAGGAAAAGAAAATGAAAAGACAAAATGTACCAAGTGGAGGAAAACCCAAATTCTTCCATTTTTGTGAGCAAAATGAGAGAAAATCATTTTCTTTTCTTTTTCTTCCAAATTTTTTGAACCAAACATAGTCTAAATATCTACAATGGAAGACTCTCTCATCTAGTCCTGACTCCAACTCATCTCCCAACGTGAATTGTAGGGTGCTAGTTTAGATGATTTTGGGATCAAAATTTTGACATCAAGTCAACTAAAGTTACACCCTGCAATTGACGTAGGTAGGGAGATGAATCGAGATTATGACTGAAAGGGAGGGTTTACGGGGGGGGTGAAAATTAGAAAAGTAGAAACTATCAATTTTACGAACAGAGCACTGTAAGTGTCTCAATTAGGACTGTTATGTGTAACCACTCAAAGAGAGTGACCATGATCAGTGATTAAATAAATGTGATTCTTTTGAAACTAGTTTTTTTTACTGGGGCTGATTCTTTATATGATTGGAAAAAGATTTTTTTGAGTGGGAACACCAATATACAAACACAAGAAAATTATACTCCATAACTATCTTTTACTCAGGGCAACTACCCCCATATCAATCATAGTGGATCTGCCCATGTGTATGAAATTTAGATTTTCTTATACATTTTCTATAGATTGATAATCACATTTTTTTACAAAATCTAATTTATATAATCCTTTTATGTACTAAGATCATTAAACTAAACATGAATTTTAGCACCCAAAATTGTTTCACTTTTTGTTTTTGCAACTATCTATGACTAGTATCAGTGGCGGACTCAGGAATTTCGGTGAGTGGGTTCACATTTTGTGCACAAAAAGAAAATGTTGATATTTGTATAGCAATAAATTTAAAACAAGGTAAAAAAAAGTATCCATAAATAGCATTTTGAGATAAATATTGCAAGTTGTATGTAATATTTTTGAAATACTGTATAAAAAAATATAATACGTTCATTGCTTTAACCAAAAAAGAAGAAAAAAACTAAACAACTAAAATATTAATTCTAGAAATTTCTTCAAATACTAAGTATATTTTAGGAATCTTTTTAAAACAATTAAACTTGTTCATACATTTCAAAAAAAATTGAACGTTTTGTAATTAAGTTTCGTAACTAAAGTTAAATCAGTTTTCGAAATCTAAAAGAATTAAAACATAAAATTCTACACAATTATAAAAGGTATTCTCTGTTCCATTTTTTAAAAAATAGCATCTAATCACATATAAATATACTCTTCTTGGATGCCTAAATCTACATATAATACCTAATTACATACTACTACTAATAAATAATTTTTTTTGAGTGGATGCAATTGACCCCACTTGCAGAACCGTAGGTCCGCCCCTGACTAGTATTACCTGAAAAATTCACCAGGTGCCGGCGGATGTTGCGTAGTTGGCATACGCATGAAGTATCCCGAGTTCGGCCTTTGCAACTACGAGGTGCAGGTTTCACTTCCAGCCACTAATCTACGATTAAAATCTAATTTATCTCATCTCAGTGACCTTTCAGTCGGGTTAAAAGGAACCCTCGAAAATAAAGCTCATCCTTTTTGTTCCAAAATTCACTAGGTTGTAAGGGATTAAGCTATTTGTACCCTAGGTTTGTACCTCAATTTGTACACCACAGGTTTACACATTCATTTTAAGTCAGTGTAATGCTATGTTGATAGTTCACACAAACACAAAATATTAGTGTAGACTTTTGTTAACACACCATCATTTTATGTCAGTGTGAATCATCAAAATGTTAGTATACACTTTTAGTGTAATTTTGAAGTACATTTTTTGGTATAGGTGTAGCATGTTGGGTTATAAAATATGAGCCCCGGCCCAATATTGAACATCGCAATCTCATTTTGGTACTTCTCAAGTACCACAAAGACTTTGGGTTGATATTATTGTCCGCTAGCTTTCGAGATTTTTTAAGTCCAATGAATAATGACACTCCACTCTCTCCACACATCGGATAAGTATTGGAACAGCAAATCAAGAAATAAAAAAAATTCATAAAGAACTTCCAAACACTAATATCTTAGAATGCCTTTAAATCAGATCAATTTGAAGAGTTTTTTTTCTCTATGAGCCTCTTTTGAAATAATGTTACTGATTAGTGTTAGCGTTTTGGATAAATTTTTAAGAGTGCAGATTACTTTGAAAAGGCTAGCGCTACACGCTGTCCGTAGATAGTCTTTTCAAAACGCTAACGCTAATAGCTAACGCTATTCCCAAACAGGCATTATCTTTATATTAAGAACTTACAAACACTAAATTCTTAGAATGCCTTTAGCGCAATGGAAATGCTCCTAACGCCCGCAAGCGTTAAGGTGGTTTTAACACGTGGGAGTGTTAAACACATCCCCCTCCATTGTCATCTTGGAATTAAACATTTTGTGTCAAATGTTTAATGCAACAAGGCTGCAATTTTGGCAGTTGCACCCATCCCCCAACGGTCCAAATTAAGGCTGTTGAAATTTTTTTTAGAAAAAAAAAATTAAATTTTCAACTTTAAATAATGCTTGTTTTTAATTTAAAAATTACACACAAAACAAATTCTCATTCTCTCTGTAATTTTTTTATTTAATGAATGTAATTTTTTTAATTAATGCAATTTTTTAATGAACTATTCTTGTTTGAATTCTTTTAAATAATTAAATTTCATTAATTTAATTTTAGAAGATGTGTATTTAAAATATAAAAATAAAGGTTTGAAGCCCATTTCAAAGCACCATTAGCTTCAAACTCATTTCTACAAAAACTCTGATGTAAGTTAAAGCTGAAGTCACAGAGAGAGGCGGTTTGAAGCTCCAATTTGAAGCCCCGAGGCTTCACGGGTTTTTCTAAATAGTCAATTATAATTAGTGGTTTTTCATATTTAGTCTATATTTATCTAATATCATGTTGAGAGTATGTAATAATTGAGTACTATTTCATGTTTGGTCCTCCATCTATTTTTCCGTCTTAGTACCGTTAGACAAAGACTTAACTTGGATGATGTTAAACTATTAAGGATTGCGAATATAATATTTCATAAATATAAACTCAATATGGAAAATTTCTAGTTATAAAAGACTATTTAGAACATTTACTTTTTCTAAGCAACTTTTAATATAGAAATTAGTAATGATGAAAAGTGTATGATTGTAGTTTACTTGTAAAAAAAATTAAAATTTGTACACCATACAAACTAGTTTACCAAAAGTTTCATTTTTTTATACGAAGTTATTATGTATGAATTAGAAGTTATTATTCTTTTTTAACAACAGTACTTGGATAGAAAAAGAAAAAAATAACTACCTCCGTCACAAAGTATTTGTCCTTTTTCATTTTTACACACCATCTAATACACTTATTTAATCCATTTTATCTTGTAATTTGTATATTAAAAAATTATAGAAATTATATATTAATAATTTATATGTTAAGACAAATTAAACAAGATCACACATGACTATATTTAGGCTTACACATTGAGAGAATTTGATGAGTCAAAGTGCTTAGATGAACAGTACCAAACGTAAAAACTGGACGAATACTCCGGGACGGAAGGAGTATGTGTTAGAGAGTATTATGTTAGGGGTGCAGATCCTCTCGGTGAGAGTTATTGTGGTAGTCTCCAATCTATCGGTGGAATGTATGCTAACTAAAATAATACTCTATAGTACATATCTTTTCTATGCAAATATTGTTGTTGTTAAAATGGAGTAATAACTTCTAATTTCTTTTAGGAAAAAGACTAAAGTAGAAGTTAAAAAATTGACATAGTATCAGAATAGGAGTTTAATGTTTTTATCTCAAAAGTAAGAATACAATGCTAATACTTAGTACCAAAAAATACAGTGAGATGTTACTATACAATATCTTAATGTCACATTGCAAACTTTTACTTTGCGAAAAAAATGAAACTTTTATTTTGAGAATAAATGCTACAGAGTATGTTTTACCCCTATTTAAAGCGATTTCTTATTATTTTAAATTTCTATCAATATCAAACTGATTCTCGTATTAACAAATTGAAATATTGGTTTACTATTTTTTATGGCATACAAATTTTAACTTGTTATAAATAAACTACAATCATACACTTTAATACTCTCTCCGTCCCTGAGTATTTGTCCAGTATTCCTTTTTTTGGTCGTTCCACCCACTTAAGTAAAAATAACTCCTTATTCTGGTTCTAATGCGCTCTGGAGAGTAGCGCACAATGAACAGTGTCACACACCATTGCCATACCTCCGTTCTTGGGACATCTCCCCTATCTTCTCTTGATTTTGTACACCATCTTGTTGTACTCATTTATCCGCACAGCATTGCTATCAGAATTTTGGATTTTCTTTGCTTCAGTTTCTCAATCGAAGCTTTCGGACGCCGAGTTACTGTTCATCATCTTTCTTATGGTCTGGCTGAGATGGGTCACGGTTCTAATTTCCTTTCCATTGATGGATTTCCTTTTCTTCATTCCTATAATTTCATCTCCGACTCCGGAGATGGTGTGACGGTCGCAGGATGTGACAAATTGCCCTTATCTTGGAGATCTTCAATTGAACCCATTCGCTGCCTCCATCTAAAGAGCACGAGTGCCTCTTTCTTCCTCTAATTGTTTTTTATTTGTTTATAACTGCAAGATAAGACTTGCTTTGTATAGGAATTGCTTATGGAACTAGATCTTCCTGGACGATGACCTCTCTATTTTCCGATTTTGCAGGTGGGTGGGAGGGATGGGGCAGGTCCGCTGGGTGATTAGGCATTAGGGGCATTTGTGACATTTTCACTCATTTATTCATTTACCTTGGTTTTAGTCCCAAATTGAAAGTGGACATAAACTGGGGACGAATGAAGTATTTGTTAGTTTCTATATTAAAAGTGGTTTAAAAAGAGTAAATTTTCTAAATAGTCTTTTTTAACTTATAATTTTTATTATTTATTCCATATTTATCAAACTTATATTCACGGTCCTTTTTTATTGGTACTCTTCCATGTTTATTCCTTATCTAATAGCATTGAGACAGGAAAATAGACGGAGAACTGAACATGAAATGATATCCAATCAAAAGGACTGTCAACATAATATTTGACAAATATAGACTAAATATGGAAAACCACTAGTTACAAAAGATTACTTAGGGTCCGTTTGGTATATGGAATTGACGGAATTGGAATTGAATTGGAATTGAAATTCAACGGGATTCAATTTCATAGAATTGAATTCTGCCAATTCTAATTCATTTTTTGCACTATTAATTCCAAATTCATATAATTTTTGTGCTACCAAACACCAGAATTAGAATTGAATTTCTCAATTCTAATTCCATACTTTGAAATCCGTTTACCAAACGGGGCCTTAGATAATTTAGTCGTCTCTCTATTTGTATATGTAGAAAAATTTAACTGGAATAGAACATGTGGAAAACTTTTTGGTTGTGCAATGGTACTAACCACCAAATGGTATTGAAATTTATCCAATCCCAATATCACAACGTTTAAATATGAGTGAAAAATTTTAGAAGTACCACCAAACACAACCTACTTATCGCCCCACACGCTAATTATTACTCCGTATTTATTACCCAGTTTGCTGCGGATACTAGCTCACCAGTTCTCGGTCCAAACCCGTTGTGGCCATATTGTGAGGATTACGATCCAATAAATTAAAATTTAAAACGGAGCAAAGAACAACCCATTCGAGACCATGTCCAGTCTGAATTGAATTGGGTCCGGGCCTAATTCAAACTTCAAACCCTATTTCCGAAAAGGATTCAGTGAGGCCCAAATCCACAGTAGGAGAATAGTCATCTTGACTCATCTGGAAAACCCTGGCCGTTGGATTTCATCGAAAACCGATACGCCAATAGAAAAGAGGCCCACCACTCATATTCCATCCGTTACAAGACTATACCCCTAACCCGCCCCGCCCCGCCCCAAATAAACGTGTCACTCTCTCCCTATATATCCAACCCTTTGCCTCCGTAGAAGCATCTAGCGAAAGCCTTCTAGGGTTTCTGATTTCGAAAGAGAGAAAAAAAAAATGGCGGATAGTGATCAGGCTAGGGGGAAGGGGAGTGTCAAGTGGTTCAATGAGCAGAAGGGTTTCGGGTTCATCACCCCCGACGACGGCGGCGATGATCTGTTCGTCCACCAGTCCGGCATCAGATCTGAGGGTTTCCGCGTCCTCGGCGATGGCGAGGCCGTCGAGTTCGATGTGGAGCATGGCGACGACGGCCGCACCAAGGCCGTGAACGTCACCGGTCCCGATGGCGCTCCCGTCGAAGGTCGCTCCACCGGCGGCGGTGGAGGAGGCGGCGGTGGCCGCGGAGGAGGCGGCTACGGAGGCCGCGGAGGCGGTGGACGCGGAGGTGGTGGCTACGGAGGTAGCAGCGGTGGCTATGGGAGCGGAGGTGGTGGCTACGGAGGCGGTGGCGGATATGGAGGCGGCGGTGGCGGCTATGGATCAGGCGGTGGCGGTTACGGAGGTGGTGGCTATGGAGGTGGTGGCCGCGGTGGAGGCGGTGGCAGCGGTGGAGGCTGCTACCGGTGCGGTGAAGAAGGCCACTTCGCCAGAGAGTGCACTCAGAGCGGCGGCGGTGGAGGAGGCGGCGGCGGCCGCTACGGTGGCGGCGGTGGCGGATCCGGCTGCTTTGGCTGTGGCGAGGAAGGACACTTTGCTCGCGACTGCCCGAACAGCAGCCGTTGATCCCTTCATCCATCAACTCAGAGAGAGCCTATCAGAACCTCTGCATTGCTCTGCCCTGTAGTTTTTATCTTATCATCTCTTTGTTTTTACTATTATCAATCTGATGTGTCTGTTATTATCGATCTGGGTTGTGTTTAGCCATCCCTTGATCATCCTCTTCAAGATCTAGCTGACTAGAAGAACCTCCAATGGTGTTATCTATCCTTAAACCTGGTTTTGTTCATCTTTTAATGGAAGTGTCTTTTGAATATTACTGATCTTTATTCTCATTTCTGGAATCTTTTGCTTTGAATCTACATATGCATGTTGATATTAAAAGTTTGTAGTATAAAGCAGTGCAGTGGGTTCTTCTTCTTATCTGCGTTTGGTTGCTTAGCTTTTTCATTTTCTTTAGAGACTGAACTTTTTTAAAGGTCTCGAAGAAGAAGCTGTGGAAAGCTATTTCTTGGTTAACGATGAAGAAGAAAAGTGGGGACATAATTGATTGGGACGTCTTTTGAAAAGCTTTTCAATTTCTGGAAAAAAGTTCTATGAATAGACATGTTGGGAAGTCCCATGTAATACAGTCCACATGCATAGTCCATAGGAACCCCAATGGAAAGTGAAATCAAAGATTTTGGTAAATGAACAGTTAAAGAGATTTTTTACTTTATGGTTTTACTGTTTGGTTACTGCCAAAGTGCCACCCCCCTCCCAATATGGGTTACGTTCCAAAGGGAGTATTTTTACGGTTTTACCCTTCATGAATTTCTCCAAGACTCCCAACGTCCATTGTTTGACCTTAAATCATCATTGCCTTGCTTCTGATGATTGTTACCTACATAGACAACCTCATGTTTGTGTGATGAAAATTTCTCCAAGACTCCCAACGTCCATTGTTTGACCTTAAATCATCATTGCCTTGCTTTTGATGATTGTTACCTACATAGACAACCTCATGTTTGTGTGATGAAAATTTCTCCAAGACTCCCAACGTCCATTGTTTGACGTTAAATCATCATTGCCTTGCTTCTGATGATTGTTACCTACATAGACAACCTCATGTTTGTGTGATAAAAATTTCTCCAAGACTCCCAACGTCCATTGTTTGACCTTAAATCATCATTGTCTTGCTTCTGATGATTGTTACCTACATAGACAACCTCATGTTTGTGTGATGAAAATTTTTCACCAACACATTCATATTTAAGCGTGGACAAGGTTTCAGTTTGAAATTGGAATCGGAACGGTGGGTTTGTTCTATGGTTGTACCTGACTGGACATCTCGGGTGGGAGCGGTTCTACATTTCGTGCCATATGCCTAGGAGCTATGGCCGAGTAGGCTGGCAGACATAGGCACGGGATGGTGAGGCTATTTTTTTTCCTCTTCTCTCCTATAAATATCCTACACAATCTCGTAATTTTCATCAATACATACATATTTGACGGTCACTCGTAGTTTGTTTGGAGTGATCCCAAGTCGGAAGGTAAGTTTTTGAGCGTCTCCGGTGACTAGAGTGGGTGTGATTACCGATTGACATTGCACCACAATAATATTAATAGCAATGTTATTTCTTGTGGTAACCATCTTGCTAATAAAAGCTAACTTCCGAGTATGGATGTCTCTTAAGCTTTCAATGAAAGCATCAATTTGATTGGTTAAGAATCACATAGCAAAGTCGACTTCAGAGTCGGATATGATGTAGAGTGTTATGCAAATATAGAGAGAATGTAGAGAGTGCAAAAAATAGAGAGAGATTACAATAGGGGTACCACTAGTTTGATTCTTTGTCCACTTACAAGTATAGGAGAGGGTAACTATACTAAATACACCGAAAATGGTCATAGAACGTGATTGATACTATTCAATCGTGTAATTTTTAGATTGAAATGTGTCTTCCCCGCCCATTTTATCATCTAACGTGTGAGAGATTCTTCCTATCAACAAAGGTATCCCTTTGTCAGAGCTTGCTCTTGAGCCCCATTAGAGCCTTAAGAAACATGTAGGACTCACTCACGCCAGAGAGCAGCGAGTGTCCTTGGAGTTGGGATGACCTCGGATCCCATGTCGCAATTGCTACATCTGTCCATGCTCCATGTGGATGTATGTTGACAGGATCGATCTTGGTCAACCATCAAAATTGAACCAATGAAAATAATTTTGGTCAAATTAAAAACCGGTAAACGAAAAATCTTTTTGAAATATAGGAATTAACTTTTAATATAAATTATAAACAAGGATATACACATTTCTTTTTCTTTTCGCCCTTAAGAAAATCTTACTTCATACATTTCTCTCATATATACTTTTAAGAAAAGCAATACCTTGTGCATAAATTTTACTCCGCATTTAATTTTCTAAATGAATTTTACCTACTAGGTACTATACTTCTTCATATTTCAACACCATCCTCAGGATTCTTGAAAGTCAAACAAGATGTCGGTAGGCGTTGCGCAGTTGGCAAGGTAAGAAATGCCAAAGGGATAAAACTCGAATTCGATCTCTGGCAACTATGTTGGGAGGAAACTATGCTAGGCATAGAGCTTCTGCAAGTACCATGCGCAGATTCCACTCTTTGCATTAACTACGATCAAAGTCCAATTTATGTCACCTTAGTAATCATCTGGTTGGGTTTGAGGCCCCCTCCAGAATGAGGCTCGTCCTTTTTTTTGAAAATCAAAGAAGATAGTTAAATGGGACAAAAGGGGTATCATATACTCCCTTCGTCTCTATTTTGATAACAATTTTATTTTCTCTTTTCTCTCGATAACTTTTGTTCATTAGAGTGTTTTCATTAATTATTTGATCAAATAAAATATTCTTGTTACCTCTTATTTTCTTGAACTTTTGATATAATTTTTTAATATGTAATTTTTATTTTTTATTGATGTACCAATTTGAAAATAAAATACTTTCAAAATTAATGGGAATCTACCTCATAATTCTCAATTTGTAATCAAAAGTAAGACGAAGGGAGCATTTTTAATTATTACATAATAGCTCGCTCATGTTAGTCGTGTCACATGTGCAAACAGAAACTTGTTTGAGAGCGAACAAAAATTTAAACTTAAAATAGCCTTCAAATTTTCAATTCTTTTAAAACATATCCAAGAATATTACTAAATAGTATTATCTCCGTAAGAAAAAGATTCCTATTTTGATCAAATATTAACAATACTTGACTACAAATTACTCCGTATTTAAAAAAATTATTGTTCCATTCAAGGGAAGAACTAAACTTTAGCAAGTAATGGAGTAGTTATTTTAACCAATAGAGTTGGTATTATAGCACACGCATGCACTTGAATAGCACATGGCATTTTGCTGTCATTTTTTTTGTCAACGAGGTGACAAAGGTAAGGAGTGCCAATGAAGTAAGAACCGAGTAGGTTCCGGGCTATTGCTAGGTGTAAGTTTCACTTTTCGCTACTAATCTGCAATTAAAATTTAATTTATTTTCTCTCAGTGACTGTTCGATCATGTATAAATTGGTATACTATACATGCTATGGTTGTAAGATTTGCTAAAAGTTGAATTGATAAAATACTACTCCCCCCGTCCCCTAGTTTTTGTCCACTTTTGACTTTTGGAACTGTTCATCTAAGCACTTTGACTTATCAAATTCTCTCAATGTGTAAGCCTAAATATAGTCATGTGTGATCTTGTTTGATTTGTCTTAACATATAGATTATTAATATATAATTTCTATAATTTTTTAATATACAAATTACAAGATAAAATGGATTAAAGAAGTGCATTGGATGGTGGGTAAAAATGAAAGTGGATAAATACTCTGAGACGGAGGGAGTACTTTAATGGCTAAAATATCGTTTCCCAACTTATTTTTAACATCTTCTTTGAAGATGATCTTAAAATGTGACTATAGAATTACTTGTGCAGCTAATAGCATGAGCGTCCCGGTAGTTATAAAAGGTGTGCTAAACTTCTTCTATTTTTAAAAATTATTTGTAAAACTCTCATGGTTTTTTAAATAGTGCATAGACGCTTATTTATGCGATTTCTTTTCCTCTATCTTGAAGTTCCACTGTTTTATTTTCATTTTCCTTAATTCTACTAATACATAAAATAAAATATACGCTCTCTATCTCAAGTCAAAAAATTTCATTTATTTATTTATCATAACAAAATAAATTTTTTAGAAAATGTTACAAAAGAAAATGAAAAATAAAAAATGAAATAAAATATATTTTTTTTATTATAATTAAAAAACATAAATAAAATAAAAAAATAGATAAGATAAACTCACTCTATCTCAAAATAAAAATTTTAACTTAATTTTTTTTAGAAGTAAAATAATTTTTTTGGGACTTTAAAGAAATGAAGAATAGAACGATGAGGTAAAATATGGAGTAAAAGATAGAGATTGTTTTTTTATTTTTTCTTTCTTTTCATTACTTTTTTCATTTATTTTTTCTTTTACTTCGTACATAATATTAATTTCATTTTTCTATTTTATATTTTCTTTTTAACATTCTCCCAAAAAATCTTTTATTTTCAAACACACATAAATGAAAATTTTTAATTTGATATGGAGAGCGTATATTTTTTATTTGTTTGTATGCTAAAGAAAAATAAAAATGTGAAAATTCAAGATAGAGGAAAAGACATGGCATAACGGTCATTTTAACTCTAAAAATAAGTAATGAGGACATCTATGTTCTATTAAGAAACCACAAGGCTTTACAAATAATATTTGAAAATATGGACTTTACCAATGCTATAAGCCCTTAGATTACTCGGTGATACATTCTTATGAGTTTCCACATAAAAAAGGATAATGATAGATATCTACTAGAAGGGTGAAACATTAGCTATTAACTTGAGTTTTTTAGTTAATTATGAATCGTGACTTTATATGGAAGTGATTAATTTTACATGACTTTTGACTATATGGTAATGTGGTCATGATTGACACTGTAAATGGATTTTAATTCTTATTTCGAAAATAAAAACATGAAACTCTTACTTTAATATATTTTTAATATTTTACTCATATTTTAACATTTTTCTTTGATCCCAATGTCACACGGAGTAATAGAAATCATTTAAGTCCAAGTAGAAGTCAAAAGTAGAATGGAATTTGAAATTCACCCAACTTTTTTCATTAACATAACCCACCCTAAGCACAACAAACCCACACCCATGAATACTTCATTTATGCTATGCAACACTAGTCAAAATGTCAAATAGACATCAAACGAGAGAGAAAGAGTAAAACCCAAACCTTTATGGGCCTTAACCTAGCTGGGCAAACAATCCATGTTATATAGTTATAGAAGCATGGACACAAAATAAACAAGCCAAGGAGATCAATGCCAAAACTAAAAAGGCCAATTCAAATGTATGATCAATGAAGAGAAACAAACATGTGAATATGGTCATATGCCAAGTTCTACCAAGTTCCCGTATTAATATGATATTGTCTTCTACGTGTGAAAACGCGGTTAATATTAATGATTTAGGTTAGACTAGACAGCTTTACTCTTTAGAGTATTACAATATCTTTTCTCTCCTTGTGACATCTTGGAAGTCCGCCGCATCGATCCTCAATTATTTCATTAGGTTATTGATAAATCGTGCAATAAGTATTTTTTCTATGGATTTGTTAACAAAAATACATACATGAATACAATTGATAAACTATTGATGCAGGTTCATGGACACTCATGTGAAGACATTGGCATAAAGATTGACCGGTGTGGAGAATTTGTAGCTATAGCCGTTGTGGCACCCATTGAAAGATAATTTTTAAATTCTATGAAACTATTTGTCAATTGTTAATTTTCTTAATTTTGCAACTGGTTTGTAATCTCCAATTTTAGATATATCTATTTTTGTTCGGTTTGCTTAATTATTCTTATACGTGTTAATATTTTTGTTCTCCGTATGTTTTATTGTTGGTTGCAATGTAGTTGGAAATGGTCCCTCTTAAAGCATCACTATTCATTACCTTCTATTCTTCTTATATATCATCTACTTTCAAGTTTTAATATCACATCATTTTTTTCAACTTTCCTCACCATTCTCTAATCATTCTCCTACTTTTTAATTATTATTTTCAACGTCTCATTATCAATTCTCCCTATATCTATAAATATATAATTACATTCAATTTATAAAAATTTCTAGGAATTGAAATGGGACTCTTGTAAAAGATTTATAAATTTTAAACGGAACCTTCATACTAGAGTTATTCATTCTACATAATGAGTATATAAATTTGTCATTCATAACAAAAAAATCGTAATAATCAACACATTTTTCTAAAAAATATTGTACACTTTGTAACAAATTTAATTTGTTTGTATTGCATTTCATATTGACATTACTTATAACTAATGGAATAGAGCATGTTCCATTCCATAGATGGCAAATGATGCGAATTCTACCGAGAAAGAAGTTATATAGGCATCCCTCTTGGTTCAAAGCGTATCCCGTATTCTGCTTTTAATAGAAAATATTGATCGGACTTGCGGAGTATTTAAAAAAACACTTGAAATGTCATCACGAGCATAAAAATGATGTGCTTGAAAATTTAACTAGATCCAAGTGCACCTTTAAATTTTAGGTCAAACGATCATTTTCACTTCAAATGTGGAAAAATTAAAAAAATATAAATGTCACTTTCTTTTCTTTTAAGTATGAATTTCATTGAATAATTGAATTCAATCCCTATGAATTGATTCGTTTCAACTATAGTTTTGGACTGAGTTAAGTTGGAAGTAATTTCAAAAAATAAAGACCCTATATAAAACTTGGTGTTAACATGCATAAAATAATTCTCAAAACATACTTGCTCCATTTAAAACAATTTAGGTTCATGAATGGGACTTATTAAGACAATCTTTTTCATCCTTCTTCCAAACAGCTTATTTCCATGGAATGATGATCAAGTTGGGCAAAATTAAAGGGAGTTTTCGAAACTACACGAAATCCTAACCTAGGGTTTATTCGTTACCCCCCCCCCCCCCCCCCACCAGGGAAAATGACAACAAATCAAAAGAAATTAGGTCACATTAGCACTTAAACACCGCTTATTTAAGTGTTGAAGCTCAAGCCAGCAGAGGAGTTTCGTTTGGTTCTGCTTCACAGTTCAAGTAGAACTTCTGGAGGCGTTGTTTCGCCTTAGCCACCTGTGAAACAAGACCACAATCAAATAACTAGTAGCGCAATAAAAAGACTCAAACTTGTAGTTTTATGCCCCAAAAAAACAGGTTTTATGTACTCACCTCGTTATCCCAATTTGTTCTCCATGTCATATAAAACAAGGCAAGCGACAAGCTCACCACCCCGCATATCATTCCCACCCATATGCCCTAAAACAACACAACCACGTACCACAAACACGCAAAAAAAAGTCAATAATTCTTATTCGGTCGACGTGGTGTCATGACTCTAAGGCAATGCATACCTTCACTTCAAAATGAGCTACATAGCCAAGCAAAGCACCAATGGGCACTCCAATAACATAAAAGCAACACAAGTTTATAACCGCGACCGTGCTTTGTAAGCCAGCTCCGATTGCCACACCTGTTGATATATATATGTGCCAAAAAAGAGACGGAAACGTTAACAAGTTTAAACACACAATTAGTTCTATTGAGAAAGAAAGAAAGAAAAAAGAACTTGCCTGAGAGAACTGCATAGAAGCTATTGAGCAATATAGAGACAGCGCTAAGGAAAGAGAGGTCTGAAACGGCGTCAACAACCTCCTTTTCATTACTAAACAAGGACCCAATGTTTTTTTTGAAAGCCAAGCTTATTATCATGAAGAATAAGCCAATGACAACTGAAGTTGCTACAAGGACTTTAATGGAGAACTTTGCAGCTTTGGCATCTCCCCTGCCAAGTTCATTTGCTACCCTTACACAAGCAGCGCCGACCAATCCAAGGGTGATCATGAATATCCATGAGTTTACGTTTAGACTGCATAATGACGACATTTTGACAATTTACCCTTAGTAGTGTGCACTTAGGGTCCCTTTGGAAGAAGATATATATACTGGGAATTCATATAACGAAACTAGCAAATTAAGAAACATGATTCTTGATTCTTACCAGATGGAGAATGCAGATATGGCCACCTCTGCGTTCTTCATGTATCCAGCGAGCAAGACCAATACAGCGTTGTACCAAAGCTCCAAACTGGAGATAAATGGGTTTATAAGTCTAAGTTTAGTTGAAATAATCTATCGGATCCAATCTTGTCCTTGTGTGAAAAAATTTGCAACTAAAGGGGATCGGAAAAGATGATATATACCAAAGCATAAGCCCGGATGCTATGGAGAGCTTGATGACAGGCAATATATCTTTGAAAGCAGCCGTTGTAAATCCTCGCCACGTGTCAGGGCACCAGCCTCCAAGAATGAACACAAACTCTCCAATCACAGTAAACCAGGAAGATATGGTGAGGGCTGTCATTGCCCCAGGAACCCCAAGCTTAAGCTTGGAGACTAAAAGCCAAGACAACGGGACATGGATGATAAACTGGGCAGTGGCTAGCCATGCAACAATTGTGTTCTTTTGCTGTGCTTGAAGATACATTTGGATGCTCATCGAGAACACAAAGCTGTAGTCGAATGGAATGAACCAGAGGGCGATATTCCCAGCTGAGCTCGCTATCGCTTCCTGCTCTCCCAGGAGTCTGAAGAGTTGGGTGCCAAACAGGAAAAAGGGAAGCAAAATGGTCATTGTGACCAACTCAACAACAATTGATCTTTGCAAGTAAATGCCCATCATGTAATACTGCCCGGCTCCATATGCTTGCCCACACAGAGTTTCTGTTGCGCTCGACATTCCTATCTGTAAACTCAACCTTAAGATTTACGTACACTAACAAAGATAAAATGAAACTTAACCAAAAGCTCAAGCTTGGGATTGTAGGCACATGAAATGTTTGTATACTCCAACATGTATGCCACCTTACGTGCAAAGGAGATTCGTTTTTGCTCTAACCTTACATGTGAAGATTAGCTTTTTAAAACAGGGTGATGATTAGTTTTGAAACCGTGACCTCTTGGTCAACAAACATATGATATCATGTCAATGAATCAATTCAACCAAAAGTTTAAGAAAGGTTTTTTATGCTCCAATAGTATGTGTATCTATATATTCTACTCCCTCCGTCCCTGAAACATGGGACTTTTGCTTTTTAGGAGGGATTTAAGAGGAGTGTATTTTGGTATTGAATTTCCAAAAATGTCATTTGATGTGATGGGTAAAAGTATGATTTGATGGATAGACTATTAGTAAAAAGGTATGATGTAATAGTTAGGGTATGAAAAAGTAAGGGGTAAAAGTGACTTTTTAATAGAAATGAGAAGTGTGTAGTGGGACGGATAAAAAAGAAAGGAGAAAGGTTTTATGGGATGGAGGGAGTATTACTTACCAATACTCCATTCACAAAGCGGACTAAGAGAGTTTGAACAAGTGCATAGCCAGCAAGGTCGAGCTCGCCAATGTGCCCAATGAATGACTGAGTCACAACAATGCTTCCAAATGAGGCCACTCGCGACAGTATGCCGGGGAAGGCAACTCTCCATATCTTCTTGGATTCGTCGTATACCTTGCCTTTCAGATCTTCGCTTTTCTTCACTAGTTGAGAGTTAAGCAGCTTTTCACTTATGTCATTATTATCCATAGCTCTATATCAAACAAACACCAAAGCTCTATATCAGCTTTTCAGTTACAAGAACAAAATAAGAGTAATTGATAATTAAAGTTGTTCTAGTTTGATAAGTTGGAGTGATAAAGCCAGAAAATTGATAAATACACTCCACTATTGTAAAATGCACTCCACTTTCTTACTTTTCTTTTTTTGTTGGAGTGACGAATTTGCCTTTCTTACAACTGAACTTTAAACTTTTTGTACTCAAAATATTTTTTGACGCAATCCACTAATCTTATTTGTCCCAAATGAAATTTCATTCACTATTCAAATAGTCAAACTTTTTTATACATATTTTCGTTTATTATTTGTTTCCATTATATATATTTTACTATATATGCACTGAATATTGTATAACTCGTAAATATATATACACACACCATTTTTATAATGTGTATGTTTGGAGTATGTGCAAAAATATAATTTTCATATTGTTTTTCAAAAAAAATCACTCCTTCCGTCAAATTTAAGTTGTCTATTTATAATTTACATATTCAAACTTTAATCATTTTTCTTATCAATTTTTGATACTTGTTTGATAAAATAATAGTAATGTTGCATATCATTAAGTAAAAAATTTTACGTAACTTTTTATTTTATAGATTTTATTTTTAATTTCATGTATTTAAATAAAATGAATTGAAAATAATTTCTCTAATAGTGTTTTACAAAATAAGACGCATATGACATTATGTAATTTGAAAATTGGTGTATACTTGGTGTGAAATAATGAAAAATGAAAAATTTTACGTAGTATTTAATTATATTTATACGGTAATCACTCCATTTATAGAAAAATAGGCATAACTGAATCAAGTAATCAAAAAAAGTGTATGAAAAATATATAGTTTAACTATTTTATTTGGGACAAGTAAAATAAGTGGGTTGCATTATAAAATATTTTGAGAACTACCAAAAACCTTGTGATCCAGCAACATAATAGTAATTCTCTCATATGAGAGGTCACAAGTTTAAAATTATAACTCTACATGTTTAATGAGTTGAGAATGTATGAATAAATACTACTTTATACAACTAATAGAATTATTAATCTTTTGATAGGAGTAAAAACATGAAAATGTTAAAATAGAAGTTCTAAAATGTCAAAATAGTATGAAAATGTCAAAATAGGAGATCAAAATATGAGTATAATGACAATGTCGCATAAGAGTACACGTTGCACTGTAACGTATGAGTGCGATGATTCAACCCTTGGTGATCCGCAACGACGTTGAACTTCTATTTAGGTCTTAAAAAACATATGACTTTATTTTGATATTTTCATATATTTTTAATCCTATATCTCTCTTTTGAAAACTAAAAGTTTAAGGCTTTGTTTGGATTTGAAAGGAAAATGAGAGGAAAGAAAATGAAATGAAAGAAAATGAGAGGAAAGAAATTGGAGAGAAAATGAAAAGAAAATAATTATTGTTTGGATAGGTAACAAAGAAGAGAAAAGAAAACATGATTAATCCAAAAGACATTAATGTCCTTATCATAAAGCAACATAAAAGTTAAAGAAAAAAAGGTGTACTTCGTAAATTAGGAAAGAGGCAAAGGGCAAACATGTCGTTTCATGCATTTTCTCTCCATGTGTATGTTTTCTCTTCAAAAGTGTAGAGAAAATTTTTTAAGGCTTTTTTCCACTCTTTTTCTTTCCTCTCCCCATTTTCTATTGCAAACAAACAAGAGAAAAGATTTAGAAACTTGTGTTTTTCTCCCTCTACTTTTCTTTTCTTCCAAAATCCTCCATCCAAACACATGCTAAAGTTTAATTAAGCTTGTGTTTGGATGAAGTGAAATTGGAAGGAAATAAAAGGTGGGAAGGGAAAACACATTTCCCAAAAAATTTTCCTTTGTTTGTTTGAATGAGAAAATGGAGAGGTAAAGGAAAATGACTCCCATCCCAAACTAAAAAATTTTCTCCTCTCAATAGGTGAGAAAATTGTTTAAATGGAGAGAAAACTATTGAAATGACACTTTTACCTTCTATTGCATTAACTTTTTAAAAACATAAATATATAATAAGGGTAAAATTGTCTTTTTATTTTAATATATTTTCTTTCCACTTACCTTTTCTCTCCATTTTCTACCTATCCAAACAACATTCATTTTCTTTCCATTTTCTCTCCATTTTATCTTCTCTCCCTTTTCTTTCCACCCAATTTCTCTCCATTCCATTTTCTCTCTTTATCCCAGCAATGCCTAAAAGTTTATCAACGGCCATAAAGTCACATGGAAAAACATGATGCGAACTTTTAGACTTTTTTGTGGGTGCCAGACATTATAAAGCTTACTAAAAGATTCACGTGATTTTTGACTAGAGATTAAAGAACATCTTGCTATCATGATGAGGGCCCACATAACAAAAGGCACGTAAGTGAGAGAATCACGTTCTCTTTATCCCTAAATAATACTCCTTTCCTCCCTAAATAAATTATAAATTGTGGGTTGTGAAGTAAAAGTTGTACTTTTTGAAATCATTTTATTTAAAAATTGGTATATTAATAAAATATAAAAATTACTCCGGGTACATATTAAAAGCTACGTCAAAGGTTCTACAAAACAAGAAATGACAAGAATATTTTGTTATATCAAATACTTAATAAAATCGCGTGAACAAACAAAAGTTATCGAGAGGAGAAAAAAATTACTCTGTATAATCTATTTAGGGACGGAGAGAGTAGTACTAAAGTCACAAACAACTTGACACAATAATTTGGAACCCCAACTTGTTGGCCACCAAAATTGTAGAAGGATTTAGGAAGGGTTAATCCCTTTTCTAATCTAATCTCTTAGGGTACGTTTGGTATATGGAATTGATGGAATTGGAATTGAAATTCCATGGAAAGAATTGAATTCATCAATTTCAATTCATTTTTTCCACTACCAATTCCAAATTCACATAATTTTTGTGCTACCAAACATCAAAATTGGAATTAAAGTCCTCAATTCCAATTCCATAGTTTGAATTCCATGTCATTTCCAAATCTACATAATTTTTGTGCTACCAAACACCAGAATTGAAATTGAAGTCCTTAAATCTAATTTCATAGTTTGAATTCCGTGTAAAAAACGGGACCTTAGATACATTCACAAATACAGAACATTGTCGAACGACTGTGAATGTATGTAAGATTTGTAAGAGATTGATCGAGGTTATAGGTGAGGGTCAAATCTTGTGGTCAAAATAACATTTTTCATTTTGGAAATAAATTGGAAGAATTTTCAAAAGTTGGCACTCTTCCTAACTTGACTTTTTTTTATAAAAAAACATAAATTATGCAAAAAAAATTACAGATTGAATTTCAAAATAAATTTAATATTGATAGATTTATTTCCATACATAATTTGACAAATCATATTTTTATAATCTATAAATATATACAAATAGAAATATTAACAATCAAAAGTTTTGCTTTGGAGAGGGTCAAAAGTCAAAGACAAAAAAAGACAAGGGAAAGAGTATTTTCATTAGAAGACAACCATGCCACAAATTCCTACAAAATTGGATCATTGATTGTTTTTAATTTCATTTTTTCTTTTTCTTTCTTCAAACAACTAATGCTCAAACCAAAGTGGGAAACCGCTTGAGTTCGCTTAAGGAGATCTTGGGTCCCAGTTACAAGAACTGAAATTATAATTCAATTTAACTTCTTGCCCAAATTTTACGTTTTACTCCCTGATTTCTTTCATAATAATTGTTAGGCTGATGAACATATATACGGAGTATATTTTTTGAAAGAGGAGGTTTTCATTTATACAAAAAAGAATCTGTCTGTTTTTTCTTAGCTCCGCAACATATAAAACAAAGAGTAAATTCCCAAATTAGTCCTTTGTATTAAGAGATTTTCCCAAATTAGTCCTCAATAAGTTTTAATTACCTACGTAATCCTCTATAATTGAGATTTATTCCCAAAATAGTCCTTTGTAATAAGGTATTTTCTCAAATCCGTCCTAAAAAAGTTTTAATTATCTACGTGGTCCTCTGTAATTGGGATTTATTCCGAAGATGGTCCTTCGTAAATAATGTTACTCAAATGAGGATGAATTGGAGCATTTTTATCCGCAAAATTTAGAATTTAATTCTTAAAGTAATCATTTATAATGAAGTACTTTTCCAAAATGGTTTTTCTAATTAAAGATGTGTACTTGATTTAAAATTTAAAAGATTTTTTTAAGTTTTAAATAATTCATAAATTATTTATAATCAATGTATTTTTAAAATTTTATATTTAATAGCACAGAAATGATTGTTTCGAAAATATGCTTTAAATTTGGATGATCAAAATACTAAAATATCTCACAATTAATCCTCATTTAAGGACTGATTTGGGAAAATACCTTATTACATAGAGATAAACCAAATACATTTATAAAACTTAAAAAAAATTAAATTTCAAATCAAACACACATCTTTAATTAGAAAAACCATTTTGGAAAGCACTTCATTATAAATGATTATTTAAAGAATTGATTCTAAATTTAGCAGAGAAAAAATACCATCAATTAATCCTCATTTGAGTAACATTATTTACGAAGAACCATCTTGAGAATAAACCTCAATTATAGAGGACCACAAAGGTAATTAAAACTTATTAAGGACTGATTTGGGAAACATCTTATTACAAAGGACTATTTTGGGAATAAATCTCAATTATAGAGGATCACATACGTAATTACAACTTATTGAGGACTAATTTGGGATAACACCTTATTACAAAGGACTATTTTGGGAATTTACTCTAAAAAAAACTTCATATAGCTTTGTGTGAAAAGGCTCAAGAGTTGGAAGTGAAGAGCTGAGAGAAAAATAAAAGGTAAGGGCGAATTGAAGCAAAAAAAGAACAGAGAAGACTTACAAGTTGTGCTGTTTCTTGAGTGGTGAAGAGGCGGCGAGCCAATCAGGCGGCGGCGGAGGCGGCTGCTGAGCTGCAGTTCAAACAAAATTGATGAGATGCGATCTCCAGAGATCGGTCATCTGAGAGGGTGTCTAAATAATCATTTCGGGTATAAATATATGAAAAATGTTAGAGCAATTAACGTAGGGTACCCCAAGCTAACCTACTTACCTACCTACACTAACACATCTTACTTCATTTGGGTACCAAACTAACATAACTACACATAGACATAAAATATATGTACATATAAACATTATGTGTATATGTGTACTTGCATTTTAAAGATAACAAGGTAACAAAGATACACACAAACAAAATGTAAATAAAAAGAGGTGTGATAGGAGTACACTAAATTTATACCCCAATTTATACACTAAATAGACATTTATTATCTGCTTGTTTGTGATGGATTTGGATACAAATTGACGTACAAATTTGATGTACCTTAGATTTTTTGCAAATGAAGATGATATGGAACGAGCTCTACCACATTCGCGTGGGTGCGGGGTAGCTTGAAGCATTAATGTGGTGGGGCTACTAATTAAAGGGAAATATGGGTGGAATGTGGTGCCACCTACTAAAGGCAAAAAAAACATTACCACTAAACTAATTTTTGAATAAATTTCTAAAATGGAGCTAAGTAATTATGTTTCTTCAACCCTTCAACATGGATAAGATATTTTTATTTGGGAGATATCCCATTTCTAAAAGTTGTAACAAAAATGTACATCATCTAAAACCTGTAACAAAAAATACTCGTCTTTAAAAAAAATGTAACAAGGCGATACCCGTGCTGGAATTTTAAAATTTAGCCGGTGAGTTCACATGTGGGCTGTGGCCGTCCACTTAGCTTTCCAATGTACATGTGTCATTACATATGATTCCAAATTTACTTGTAACTTATCTTATACTCCGTATGTGATTGATTTGCACTTTGAAAATATAAAGTCCAATTTTAATTTTTTTTTAAATTGTATATTATTTACACAATATCATTTTTTTTCTCTTGATGATGGTAGATTTCAAATTCTATTTTTTTAAGTTTTAACATTATGCTTTCTAGAAGTTTTTTTTAATTTTATTATTTTGAAATTTTTCTAATTTACAATATATTTTAAACTAAACTAGCAATTACTTTTTAAATAATTATCTATATTGTAAGTTAAAGGGCATAATTTGTTATTTATTTAAGTTTTAAAATACTTACAATCTTTTGGAGTTAGAATTTAAATAGATAAATAAACACAATGTTGCATGGCCGTTTCTTAAAAAAAATAGTTAGATGACTTATAATACTTTTTTAATGATGATGGTAGTTGTAAGAGCAATAATAATCATAAATATATGTATTTTTAAAAATTTGAAATTTAAAAAATTCAAAATAAATCTTTAAAATTACATTATAGACAATTATTAAAATATTATTGCTACTTATATTTAAAATACAAAGTATACTGTAAATTATAGATTTTTCAAAATGCTAAAATTAAAATTAAAATTTTATAGAGAGCACGAGTTAAACAAATTTAAATTATACTATGTAAAAATATGCTTTCGTTAGAAGTATAGAAATTAAATTATAATTAAAACAAAATTATAATTTTTTTTAAAAAAATTGGTTTTATATATGTCAAGAACAAAGTTAATTAAAGACTCTGCATTAGATAAATTACAAGTTAAATTGGAAATCATATGGAATGTCACATGTACAGTAGAAAATCAAGTGGAATGCTACGTATGCACTCAAGGGCCGAATTCTCAAATTTCCGACAAGAGGTACCCCTCTATTACATTTTTAAAGATGAGGTATCTTTACGCTTATTACAAGTTAAATATGGGGTATCTTTTTGTTACAACCATCAAAGTTGGGATACTTCCCAAGTAAAAAAATACATGAATAAGATGAAATTCATTATTTGAGAATAATGCTCAACTTAGTCCCCCCGAATAACAATGTCAAATTGTCTTTAAAATTTATATTACTAATTTTCTAAAATGATCCTTTCTAATTGGTTTTTTCAAATTAGTTCATTTTCTAACTAAATCCCATTAAATATTAAAATTAATTTTAAATTTTATAGGATAAGACTATATTATAAATAAAACTATAAATGTAATTTAATAAATTTGAAAATAACATCTCATATTGCTTAAAATTATTTAGAAGAATATACATCATGTAATTAAAATATTAAAAAAAATTGTTCCATCCGTTCTGAAATAAGACTTCTTTGCTTTACAATGTTTGCCTAAAGTTGTTTTTAATAAAATATAACTGAAAATCGGTCTACAATTTCAGTTTCAAAAATATATTTTTTTCAAATTTAAAGTATAAATATTATATTTACATTAGATTGAGTTCGATAATTATGAAAATAGCTTTTTCATAAGTAATAAATCGTATATTTTTCAAAATTTTAGAGCAATTTTTCATCATGATTGTTTGAAAATAACTTCAATCAGATATCATAAACTAAATAGGAGCCTTATTTCAAAACTAAAGAAGAAAATAAATAACAATTTCCAAAAAAACTATTCATATGATATTCTTCTCAATAATTGAAAACAATTCAAAATGTTTACTTTCAAACTTACTAAATTATATCTATTACTATTACTATTATTATTATTATTATTATTACCATTATAATTAGAATTATTATTACTATTATTATTATTACCATTATTATTAGAATTATTATTACTATTTATTACTCTTATAATTATAACTATTACTATTATTATTTTTATTATTATTACAATTATTACAGTTACTATTTTTATTATTTCTATTATTATTATTATTACTATTATTATTATTACTATTATTATTATTAGTACTATTACTACTATTACTATTACTATTATTATTATGACTATAATTATTATTATTATTGTTATTATAATTATTACTATTATTATCATTACTACTAATATTGTTATTACTATTATTATTATTATTATTATCAGTTTTACTAATATTATTACTACTATTACTATTATTATGATTAATATATCTATTATTATTATTATTTCTATTATTATTATTATTACTACTATTATTATTATTATTACGATTATTATTATTATTGCTTTTATTAATAATATAATTATTATTATCATTTCTATTATTATTACTATTATTATTATAGTTATTATTATTACTATTCTTATTTTTATTGCTATTAGTATTATTATTATTATTAATATTTCTATTATCATTATTATAACCTTTATTATAACTACTATAATAAAAATTTTAATTTTAAGTTTAGTCAAATTCATATCAGATCCAATCAGATCAGACCAGATTAGATCTGATCAAAATCAGATCAAATTAAATCAGATTAGACCTAACAGATCAAAATTTCAAAAAATTCGATCAAATCAGATCAGGCAAACGAAACACAACCTAAATAAGTTCACTCCTAGAGCTCATATTCGTTTCGGATATTAATTTCTATACCAATTTGTAGAATTGGTGTCTTAGTTTTTGTAAAACTTTAAATATAGTTTAAAAATATGTCAATTTTATTTTGAAATTCCACACTAACTTTTATATACGAGTATAACAAATTGAAAAATAATTCAACCAAAATCGTAAATTGAAACGGGCAAAATTGATTTGAATTGAGACGAAGAAAGTGAGAAATTTCTAAGTAAAAAAATCTCCACAGATAATAGCAAAAAAAATGGAGTATGAGAATATCAAAATAGAAGTTCAATCCTTTTAAGAAGAACATGAAAATACAATGACTGTGTGATACTCCCTCAATTCACCAAAATATTTGCTCTTTCATTTTTTCTTTACAACAAAGTACTTCCACTTTCTATTAATAAATCATTTCTATCTTTATTTTTTTTCTACCCTACCTATCACATTATACTCCGTACTTTTTCTCTACTTATCTATCTATCACATCTTATTTTTATCTATCACATCAAGAGCAAAAATGAAAGTCAACTACAATTTAGCACTTCTTTAAATTGGCTTTTGGTCAAAATGGCAAGGGTTTTCCAAACGGAGGGAAGTATAAAGTGTCTCTCAGCAATGTGTTGGAAAAATTATACTTCCTCTGTCCAAAAATTTCTTTCCCAGTTTGACTTGACACGGAGATTAAAAAAAGTTAAAAAATATAAAAACTTTTCATGTGTTGCCCTTAATGTGATGGAATAAAGTGAATATACAGCGTATATAAAAAGTATGGGTATGATGGTACATTCAATAAAAGTTTTTTGCCAAAAGAGGAAACATGAATAGAAATTTTTGGATGACCCAAAGAGGAAAATGAGAAAGAAATTAATAGACGAAAGGAGTTATAGTGTAATATGACAATGTGTTCATTCAACCGCCGGTGAACGGTGATGACATTCTGGTGGCCGGCAGTGACGAACGACATAGTGGAAATGATTGTGTGGCAATTGTAATGTGACAATACGATGAGTGTGACAGTGTAACATACAATGTGACGCGCATAGAGCTTTAAAAGATTTAAAGGTCCTATTTTGATATTTTTATAATATTTAATTCCTAAAGTTGATCGTTAATTGCATGCGTATAGCTCATACAATTGATATAAAACTCATACACCCTCGTGAGTGATGACACACCATTATTGATGAATGTTGTTTCAATGAAACAAAGATCGATCTTCATGTGTTGCATATTTGTGAATTTACCAACAAAGCCTACAAAATTAAACAGGCAGGGGAGAGTATGCGTCAACGAGAAAAGACTAAAGGAAGGCCAAAATCCAATGGGGTAGACTTTGCCTTTCGCCAGATTGGAAAACAAAAATTAGAGGGACGGGAGCTTTATCTGAAAGTAGGCACATATTATAGTACGTGGTATAAGATATTTTCTGAACTCTATTTTAATTTATGATATTTGACTAAAATTATATTTAATTCATTTTATTTGAAAATTGAGGTAAAATTAAAAGGTAAAACTAACATATATATGTAAACTACATTAAAGTTTTACGAAATACAAATTGACATGATAATATATTTTATTAAATAGCAAAAATAGATAAAGAAAATGAATAAAATTTGACTTTGTGAATAACGAACATGTAACTCGAATTAGAATGGAGGGAATATGATCCAAAAAAGTAAAATAAAAAGAAATCAACTATTCTTTGAGTCTAAATATGTTTGTCTAATTTGACTTTTTTTTATTTTAACACAGTTTAGCCATCAATTAAGTAAATACTCGGCATTGTATTGTATATTAAAAAGAATATAGTATTACTAAGGGTAGAGGTTATGGTGAGACAAATCTCATTTGGTACCAAAAATTTATTTATTTGGCAATTTGACAAAGAAGGCAACACCACCCCTTTACATTCGGTACCAACAAAAATCAATAAGCAAGTCTATGACTTTACCAAGCATACAAGAGCATCCCAATACTTTTACATTTTCATTAAAAAAAATCAAAAACTTAATCTCACACAAGTTTTTTTTACCTTTTTTATTTAAAAAAAATTAAAAACTTAATTAAGCACTTTTTTACCTTTTCCTTTAAAAAAATAAAAACTTAATTAAAACCACTCTTTTTACCTTCTCATTTAAAATGATTAAAAACTTAATTTACCATATATATTCAACTTTTAGTATCATTATCGTAGTTAAATTATTTTCTAGTGTTCTTTTTATGTTTTTTTAAATTTTGGATTAGTGTTTTCTTTATTTAGTATTGTAGTTTCATTTAAATTAATGAAATATTGTTGTATTAATTAAATATTTACTTTATATTTTTTAATACTCTGTTATTTTAAATTATTATAATTAATTATTAAAAAAATTAAATATTTAAAACTCTTTAAAAATTACTATTTTTAGTTTAAGTTAATGGTTTTAGTAAGTTAAAGAATTAACATAGGTACACCGCCACTTGTAGTATAAGAAGTATGGAATTAGTAAAATCTTATTTGGCACTAATGTGATGAGAGAGAATATCCCGTGTGAAAAATATATTGGTTATGTATACCCTCCAATCCAATCCATAATAGTATAGAAAATATTTTACAAGATAAATTTAACTAAACAATTATGTACAAATATTTAATTTATTAGTTTGAAAATCAAAATTCATTCGATTTGATTACAAAAAGTCAAACTAGACAGAACGTTTAAAGTAAAGGGACTGGGCGTAGCACCCGGAACCCGAAGCTCGAGCTCGCAAACAAATAACCAAACCCAAGGGTATTGCAGTTGCAGCATGGATAGCCAAGCAATAATAATAATAATGTTCCTCTGCCGTGCTGGTTAACACAAACAACTAAAGCTTCATCTGTTCACCCATATATACACACACACACAAACACCCAAACGACAAAGCTCAATGTAATTGTTGAACACTTGTTGTCTCTGCTTCTCCAGTTTCTCCATTGCCGTGGCGGGGCGGATCACAGGGAACGAGTTGACCCACCTTGGCATACTTCACCATGAACTTGCACTCCCAATCTAGCAGTGTTTCAAGCTCTGAGTCACATAGCCCTTCCAGGTTCCCGTTTATCTCCTTAGGGTCAAATGACAGTTTAGCCAAGGCTCTGCTCGCATCCTTCCCGGAAAACATTGCATATGCACCCCCAGGCCCATAGAACATCCTAATCAACATTGAACCAATGACACCCCAACTCATTTTTGTTAGATAATATAGTACTCCTAGCACGACTCATATAAATCAAGAATGGAAAATCACCATCCCAATACAACGCAATAAGACACCGAGACAGTACAAAAGGCAGATAACTATCCAAACCAAGCTATATTACAAACTACTGTTATAGACCTGTAAATGATATCTAATCATCTCAACCACCTTGTGAACTGGTATTTTATTCTGCTTAAAAGTATTTTCTATTGCTTGCCTTCTATGAAGAATACCACACTGATCCAAGTGCACTTGCTTAATCCTTCTCTCTTTTTATTACTGCTTCTGCAGCAAACCTGCAGAGCTTGGCTAGGGTCGCTGGCAGTACCTTCAATATTATATTTGCTCATAATAGGCTTTCTAGTTTCCTTTGTATACCTTTACTTCCAGAAAGCATGTTCAATGTCTTCCTCTTCACACGTCTCACAGATATTGTCAATGTCACAGATTTTAGCAATTCTGCTCTTGACTGGTGGAACTATGCCTCTACAAATAAACCACATCGAAAATTGATGCTTGGGATTAATCTGTTTTCCCCAGATCACTTTGACCCACCAAGGCTTGTTGCCTTCCACAAGCAACTTATGGTACACATCCTAAGATTTCATGTATCCTTTGATCCCTATATCCATGAGATAGATCATCCTTCACCTTGCAAATTTTCTTCCAATACCAACAACTATTACTCTTAGATTAATGCTCTCAAGGACAATTTTGCTTCATGTATTTAGTACGGATCCACCTTACCCACAAGATATCTTTCTTCTCATTGATATCCAGAAAAAATACCATGATGCTCACCTTATTCCATATCACCATGTTTTTTAGGCCAAGAGGCTCCCCTGTACTTAGGAGGCATATATTAACTCATGTAACAAGAGTTCTAGATGAAGTTTCTGTAGATGCTCTGAATTTTCTTCATAACGGTGCTGTGGAGAATGGAGATCCTGACCCAAAAAGAGATTACTCCTCACAGTCCCTTATGTTAATTCTGGATGCTGAAATGGGGCCCTCCAGGTACCTAAAATGCAATCCTCCTTTAGGCATGTTAATCATCATTGTCAGTTCATCTTTGTTTTTGTCATCCAGGCCACCTAACATCATTTGTGACTTCTGGGGGATTATGTGAAGTCCAGTGGTTTTCCCAAACATCTCAATTCCTGTCTTACGATGATAGCCGAAGTTTTTATTACCAGTGACCTGCCTCACTGTTCTTGTGAAATAGTCCATGACAAGGACAAAGAGAAGGGGGGCATTGGATCACCTTGGTGTAGTCCACAAGCCCCATTAAAATAGTCTTGACTGCTCCCATTAATATTGATAGAATTAAAGCCTGTACTTACTCCATTCATTATCCAGGTTATAAATATATTAGGAAAGCAAAGACCCATAAGGTAGCTCCCTAGAAACTACCAGTTAAATGAGTCATAAGTCTTTTTTTACGTTCAACTTCAGCATACACTAGGGGGAGATTCTCTTCCTTTCATAGCCTCTAGGAAGATCCTGACAAAACAGTACATTATATACTAGTTCCCGCCCTTGGTGAAAGAACCTTGGTTTAGTTTTGATATAGNTAATATTGATAGAATTAAAGCCTGTACTTACTCCATTCATTATCCAGGTTATAAATATATTAGGAAAGCAAAGACCCATAAGGTAGCTCCCTAGAAACTACCAGTTAAATGAGTCATAAGTCTTTTTTTACGTTCAACTTCAGCATACACTAGGGGGAGATTCTCTTCCTTTCATAGCCTCTAGGAAGATCCTGACAAAACAGTACATTATATACTAGTTCCCGCCCTTGGTGAAAGAACCTTGGTTTAGTTTTGATATAGCTTTGTACACAACATTACACAAACCACTTCCTCTCGCCCTCTGGTGAGTTTGTATCTTTTGCATAACACCAAAATCGAATTTGATTCTAAATGATTTTGTAGTTGATTGAGTTTGACTATTTTGCAAAATACAAAAATTGATATTTCAACTTTCAAAGGTGGATATTTTCTACTACACAATTAGACAATGAAAGGTAACACCTAGAAATTATACTTGCGATTTATTGTTTATTATTATATTTTAAATAATGGTATTAATAGTTTGTACTCCCTCCATCCTAGAAAGTAGGAAGGTTTTCCTGTTCATTATTTCAGTGTGAATCAATCAGTTTTTGGCTTATTTTCATTACTCATTTGATAAAATAATATAATATTGTCACATCTTGTTTTGTAAATTTTTTTACGTAGTTTTGAAAGATACAATTTTTCCTATATCTCTGATGGAGCCAAAGATTCACTATTTATTGACTCCGTGATAAGATGGAAAAAAGCAAAATGAGTGAGTCAATGCATTTTTCGACACACTTCATGGGTCATTCGGAAACAGACGTAAGCGATTACCTGTGGTGCTTGAGCCGTGAGTCTCGTTGGAACAGCCTCACTACTTTCGAGTAAGGGTAAGGTCTGCGTACACACCCTTCTCGGACCCTACTTTTGTTGGATTCAACTGCGTTGTTGTTTAAAGATATACATTTTATTTTTGAACTTAACCTCAATTATCATGGGCTTGAAAATAAATTCAGCCAACGATCGTAATCCACAACACGAAAACCTTTCTGGGACACAGGGAGTATTATATTAGGAGTGCTTCTTTGGTGGACCTAAGGTGCACATCACCTTTTGTGGACCTTCTCACATCAAAAACATGTTTTATTTTTTGCATTTACCTTATATTAGGTTTAAAATCTTATTATAAAAGGTTAAAACCTACACTTCCACAAGAAAATGTTATTGAACCTGAAATTCAACTACAATCTTAATTCAAGAAACTCAAACAATAAACCCGATTGAAGAACCTCAAACCCAATCTCCAATTCAGGGAATTCCAAATGAAATTTGCACCACAAATCTTGAAACAGATCTGAAGAAAAGTGTTCCAATCTATTCTATGACATAGAATCCGGTTGAGAGAGAATATTCACATAGGGTATTTACTCATGGTTTCAGTACATGCATTGTTTAAAGATTTTCCTCAAACTCTTGTTTATAATAAAATGTGTAGATTCACCCCAATGTGGTATGAGGAATTTGGAACTTGGTTGGAGAGTATAGTAAATTCAAAGACGCTTGTTATTGTCAATACTGGGAGACCATAAAAGTATCCACAACAAATGTTTCAATGTTGGTAAGATTTGATGAATCGATAAAACATATTGTCATTACTCTTTTAATACCTTCGAGCAAGCCAAAAACGAATATTGTATTCAGTTAAACAAGTATTTGAGTTGTATTGGATTGCTTTTAGGAAATGGTCTTCCTTTCGGTGGTCATGAAGAATCAGAAAATTCAAGTAGAATAGACTAGAGAGGTGTTTCTTTAGACTGAATTTTTATGCCAAGTCAGATGAACAAATATGGAATGTGCTTTTGAACAATGCTCCTGAGAAGAATAAAATGACATCTCTAACAACATTAAAGATCATGTTATTGCTTGTGTTGATTTAACATTGCAAGCTATTGTTATAGAATTTGGAGATGACTATCATTCTTTGTGTGTTGGTGAAGCTCGTGATGCATCAATTAAGGAGCAAATGGCGGTACGTTACATGAACAAGCAATGACTAATTTTTTATCATTACGTTGATACAATTCATGTTTCAAATACTACATCGCAGACATTAAAATTAGCAACGATTGAGCTTCTAGCTAAAATATGACTTAATTTATCTAAATGTTGTGGTCAAGGTTATGATGGTGCTAGTAACATGAGAGGTGAGTTCAATGGTCTGAAACATTTGATTTTAGCTGAAAATAAATCAACATACTATATATATTGTTTTGCTCATCAATTACAATTAGCACTTGTAAAGGCCGCTAAAAGTGATTGAAATTTTCAATAGTTTTATGCATAGTTGTGAAAAGCATGCCTGGGGCCTGAGGCGCGATGCGCACGAAGCGCAACCCTTAGTGCATCACTGCCCTTAATGCGTGTGACGTTCTTGAGGCGCGCACAATATGGTGCATCGAAGCCTTATGCGACGCTAAGCGAGGCGCAATAATGCGCGCATCAAGTACGAACAACTTTTTTAATTACTTTTTAATAGGGTATTTTAAAAGTAGTACTCCCGTAAGGTGCCTTGAACCACATCACAAGACTCGTCAAATTCCAAGGGATGAAATGTGGCAAATGAATTTTGTGGTTAAAGGCAACTCAAACACACACTTAACTTTGTGTTGACATTGTCAAAGCGGTCATTCATTTCAAAGAATTGTTGATACTCTGCATTATCAAACAACTTCAATTTGAAATTCTCCCAAACTTGAATATTGATGCATCTCACTAAGACCTTCCTTTGGGACAATAACAATTACCCATGTTTGGAATATCAATATCATGCTTCTAGCAAAACTCCATTGTCACATCAAGCACTTTTTCAAAATCGCCACTTTTCAACTCTTGCAACCTAACTTTTGTGACTCTTACTAAAGTGATTGCAATGGCAAGATCTTGATCATTGCTTTGCAAGAACTGTGATACTCTTAACTACACCATCTCTATCAAATGCAAAATGAATGCAAATTCTAAGCCATCAATAACATACAATATGGTGTTTGTCAATGTTCTTACCGCATCATTCTTAGGATCATTTTGAATTATATTCATCAAAATAAACTATATGGAAGAACAACAAAATTACACTCACAATTGTACCGTAATGGGAGCCCCAATGTGTATTCTTGATCTTCTCAAAATTATTTATTGATATGAACATCTTCCAAATACATCAACACAAGTAATTCTTTCAAGTATTATTTCATATTTCTTTTCACAAAAAAAACTTTTTTCTTACATGAATCATTCACAACATTGACCATCTTTTGAAAAATATCAAAGAACTCTTGAATCTTTCAATCGCCTTTAGCAACTTGTATAAATGTCAATTGTAATTGATGAGCAAAACAATGGATATGGTATGCAGATTTATCTTTCAGCTAAAATAAAACATTTCAGGCCATTAACTCATCTCTCAGGTTGCTATCACTATTAAAACCTTTAACATGACATTTAGATAAATTAAGTCTAGCAAGAAGACCATTAATTGCTAATTTTAATGATTGTGATGTAGCATCTAAAACATGAAAACTGCCAACAAAACAGTGAAGAATTAGTCCTTTCTTATTCATGTAACATAAAATCACAACCATTTTCCCCTTAATTGATAAATTACGAGCTTCATCAACAAATAAAGAATAATAATCATCTCCAAATTCTTTAATAATAGCTTACTATTTCAGACCAGCACAAAGAATACCAAAATCTTTTATCTCGTTGAAGTTGTCATTTTGCTATTCTCGAGAGCATTATTCAAAATTACACACTACATTTCTTCATTTGGTTTGGCATAAAAATTCAAAGTCACAAGAAACAACCATTTTCTACTTGAACTTTCTTATTCATCACGACCACGAAAAAGAAGACCATTTCTTAAAATAAATCTAACATAACTCGAAGACATTTTAACCAAATACCATATTTGTTTTTTGGCTTACTCAAAAAATTCAAAAGAGTAATACCAATATGTTTTTATCTATTCATCAAATCTTGCCCAACTTTGAAACATTTGTTGTGGATACCTTTATGGTCCCCCAAGTGAATTCCTAATCTGTCTTTTCTTATTACAACACTTAAATTCTATCCCAACAAATGCATAGTGTCTAGAGCTTTAACCAAAAAATTTCTATATCCAACTCTATTCCTTTTTGTGCATGGAGCATATATCGCGATTGTTGAGCATAAGGACCTCAAATAGCACTTTTAACTTCCAACTCAGTGTGTAGACGGCTTTGAATCTCTCACTCCACCTTTTTCAATAATGTTATGTTGTTTTTGAGGGCTAGTTGATGCTCTCTGTGATTTCTCCAAAGTGTGTGGCCTCCATGTTAGTCCTGAAAAATCTTACATTTTCCTGGCTTCCCAAATAGCAAAGGGGATGGACTTTGCACCTTTAATACAAAAGATTAATGATTTTATTGGATCCAAGAACAATAAAACCTTGTCTTTAGGAGGGAGACTTAAGCTTGTGAGAGTTGTGATACAAGAAGTACAATCCTTTCAGTTGCAAGCTTTTGCCATGTATAAGTTGGTTTTGTGGAGAACCACTACCATGGGACTTCCTAATGGGTAGTAGAATTGCAAAGTTTGTTTGGGTAGATAACTGTAAACCAAAGCAAGAAGGGGGGCTAGTCTTAGGGATTGTGAAATGTGGAATAAAGCTTAGCTTGCCAAAATCCTTTGGAATATCCATGCAAAGAACACGCTTTGGGTGAAACGGATGCATGTTATCTATCTCCGGGGGCTATTCGTGTGGGAATGGAGGCCATGCACACAAAAAAGACACACAGTTGTTTAAGAAGCTAGCTGAGGTGAAGGACCTTTTCCTAAAAAAGATTAGGGGTGTTTCCGATATTGAGGTGGCAAGGCATAAACTTTGTGGCAATGGCACCCTCAACTCCTAGAAGGTTTATGACTTATTTTGGTCAAATAATGGATTAAAACCCTTTTTCCTTGGATCCGTTGCAATATTTGTTGTGTCAATTTCATTTTGATTTTCTTGAATTGGAGACTGGGTTTGAAGTTCAACAAGATTTTCTTGTGAAAGTGTAGGTTTCAACCTTTTGTTATAAGATTCTAAAACTAATACAGTACTTCACACAAACTATTATCACATTAATACTATCGGTGTAATACTATAATATAAAATATAGCAATTCACACTATAATAAATCTACATAAATTGCAAGTATAGTGTCTACATGCTACCTTTCATTGTCTAATCGTGCAATGCAAAAAATCCACCTTCGAGAGTTGAAATATCAATTTGTGTATTCTACAAAATAGTCAAACTCAATTAACTACAATATCAATTGAAATCAAATTCATTTTTGTATTAAGCAAAAGATACAAACTCACCAGAGGGAAAGAGGCAGGGGTTTCCCCTTTTGGATTTGTGACCCCGGATGGCAAACCGGCAGGGTTTGCAGAGGGCTGACTGGCAGAGAGCACTCGTTTCGGCCTTTTGGCAGAGGACCGACTTGCCCGTCAGAGTCCACCGAAGGGGCAGAGCATCAGTTGGCAGTGAGAGTTAAGGAAATAAAGAACTTATAATGCGCATGGTTTATAAATGAAAGGGAACGAGTAATATATTAGGCTGGATAACAGTTTTAACCCAAATCAAGAAATTCATCAGTATTGTTTTGAGCTTCAGCTGGGAATAGATGGAATAGAAGAGGTTTAATCTTCACCTGGAGCTAGAGACATCATAGATTTGTCCTCTGATAGCCATGAGCAAGGGCTTTTTCGGGTCGGACCCGTTGAAACCTAAGAGCTCAGCTGCGGTCAGGTCGCCGATCTGGATAGGTTTCCGGCGGGCGGCCTCCTCCGCCTTCTTGACGTACATGTAGTCATCGGTGCCGCCGAGCATGTGGTAAACTACCTTGTATGTCACCGCCATCAGAGCCGCGATTGTAAAGAAAGCCGTCGGAGACAGCCCTGTGTAATAGAAAACCGCTTCTGTGAGAGGCGTCCATAGATTGGAGCAGACCATTTTCGCCTCTACCTATTCCTATTCTTATTCCTAATTGGACGGCGATAGAGTTGTGGAAGAAGGCAAGCTGAAGCCACCTACTACTAAGTCTAACCATTTTTGACCCATTTGTGTGCTCCAAGTGATGTTTCCTTACCACTCTTCTAATTTTTTTATTTCTTAAATTAAAATTAGCTACAGGTCGACGTTGCGCAATTGACGAAGGTAAGAAAGGTAAAAAAAGAAAGACTCAAGTTAAATTTTTGAAACCTATGTTGGGTCCAAGCTCCTCTTTTGGCCATCATATTACGATCAAATTTCAATTTATCTTCTCTCGGTAATCGCCCAGCAGGGTCTAAGATAACCCTCTCTGATACCATTTGTAACACCGCTATCCTATGCGCCAGAAGTGTATATAAAAAAGGTAGAACGTCTGCTCCAGGTGCTCCCACACCCCGGCGTGACAAGACAGTGAGGGTGTAAATTATGGTATAATCTTAATCTGGTCCTTAGAATGGTCGCTCCGTACCCAATGCCCACAATGAGCTATCACAAAGAATAGAACTCTGACACTGCTACTGCTGGAATTCAACCTTAGAATCTTTGGTTTTGACATTCTCTCATTGGACTAGTTGAGCTATCAATTTGGGCTCACCACAAGCATATATAACCTTGTAGACTAGTTCCACAAACCGACACAAGTCTTTCGCTCCACGCTTTGGCCTCACTCGTGCGCACCCTAAAAATTTCCCAAGGCGTTACCATCTTAAAACTGTTTCAGGACCAGCACGTTTAACTATAAAGTTTCCTAAGTTGTGAGCTCTCAATAAGAAATGAACCGGTTTGGACTGGAACTAAAGTCACGCTTTGGCTAGGACCGAAGACTGGGCATGTTCACATTTCGTCCGGACTGTTACAGAATTATTTTTTCGGGGTCGGTTCTGGGTTTACTCTATTTCAGGCCTGATGTTTTAAACTTTATTTCCCAAACTAGTATTATATTAAAATTGGCATAAAATTACAATCAAGTTAAGATAATCACAGATGACTTGCAAAAAAACTTAAAACTTCGATGTGAGTTCATTTTGATTTTTGATGAATCCTAGGCGAGACAAAATATCATAAAAGAGAAGTTTTTCATGACTCGAGTTCAAAACTAGAAACATAGTTGATGAAACGTTTGATGTCGCTATCTTGATTGTCGATATAGAGAATAAACAAAGCAAAATGTCGCTACCCATTTTTTCAAAGCAATACGCCATTGCGAAGTGAATCAGTGAAAGTTTTAGACAAAAAAATAAAAAAAAACATCGGCAAATCATTATTCTGGTAACATTCATTAATTTACTAGGTTTTTTCCCCTAAACGATACATTATACACCAATATAGAGTTGTCCGAGTGAATTGCTGAACTGCAAACGTGTCAATTTTCAAACCTTAAAGAGTTGAAGAATGAAGAAGATATGCACTCGCCGCTGAGGATTGCGGAAACGGGGGTTGAGGAACTGCGAAATCGCTAAGACACATCTAACATCTATTTGTTTTGTTAAAAAAATGTCAACAGGAGCTTCCAACTCAATACACAAAGCAAAAACAAGAACAACTCACAGAACTAACAAATGGATCAAGTTTTAACAAAATCATAGATTTTGATATGGACCTGATTGCTCAGGGGTTAAACCTGAACCAGAATGGAACTCAAAATTCCCATTTTCTTAAACTCAGAGATTGGAACGAAAAATGCTAGATCGGTCTAGAATAGTTCAAAATAGTCTGGTTTTTGTCTAACATACAGCTTAATCGTTTTTTGCACATTGCTAACGCGAGTGTAGTTTAGTTCAAATCTTTACCTGTGTGTGGATGTGAAATACTATTTATTTGAATACTAATAACTCTATCACAATGTAGCACGTGTTAATATATTTTCAACCTATTAAAGCTCGTAGAGTTACTATCCGCACTAGAGATCGAACACATGATCTCTTAATTGGGAGATTCATAGTGGTTTCATTGAACTACAAGATTCTTGACAGATGTGAAATACTATGGTATGAAAGCATTCTAAAAATGTGACACTTTTTTTGTTAAACAATAAAACTAAGAGTTGGAAGTAAAAATTTGTTTTAGTAAAATTTTAAAAAATGTTAGGGGTACATCAAGAAATGTACTCCAAATGTTACTTTGGGCAAGTAATGACCCTTCCCCCTTAATTAATCATCTCTCGTCAGTCATCGTCTTTCGTTTTCCTCAGACGTTACATGTTTCCCCTTTTTTTCGTTCCTTTTCTAGCATCATCCTCACCCACACTGATCCTTCAAAACCCAGACCGGTACTCAGTCTCTCTCTCACACCAAAAAAATAAAAAAACAAAAAACCATTGAATCGCCGGAAAATATTGGCTCTTGAAGCTCACAACCGAGTTTCCGGTCGACTTCTCCCACTTTTAACCGGGAAATGAGCTTCAGAACGACAGAGGGTAGTGCTTGGAATGTTTTCCTGGTTTCTCCGCCGTCGGGCACCCGGTTTCCTCCTCCCTGTTCGTCACTGGGTTCAGAGGAACGAGCCGCCGGCGAGGAGGGAGAGGGGGATTACTCCCGGCAAACCAAGTTTTGCGCCAGAGACCATTGGAGGAGTCACGAAGATGCCCGGCTGAGGGAGCTCGTTTCCGAGCAGGGCCCTCAAAGCTGGAATAGGATTGCCGAAAAGATTCCGGGCAGATCAGGTAATGTTAGTAATTAATTAATCGTTTGGGCATTGATTAATTGAAGAAATTAATTTCATGTTGGGAAATTGATCGAACGAAGCAGGGAAAAGCTGCAGATTGAGGTGGTTTAACCAGCTGGACCCGAGGATAAATCGGAATGCGTTCACGGAGGAGGAAGAAGCGAGGCTGGTGGCGGCGCACCGCACCTACGGCAACAAATGGTCGATCATCGCCCGGCTCTTCCCCGGCCGGACGGATAACGCTGTCAAGAACCACTGGCACGTCATCCTCGCCCGCCGCCGCCGCCGCGGACCCCAGATCGCCGGTGCTTGCCGGCCCACGCAGCCAAGAAACGACATTGCAATGAGCTCAAACATCGTCGGCGGCAGCCTCAACGACGACCATTCGGCGGCGTCCACTCTCACCTATCTCTCCCTCTCTACCATTACTACCTCCTCCTCCTCCAGCCCAAATCCGGGTATACCCAAATTCGATCATCATATCCTTCTCTCAGCTTAAATCTATCTATTAACGTTTTCGCGGCGGACGAAAAAAATCCTGAAAAACTAATCCCGACACTGTTCGTGTTACAGGGTCATCTCCGAACGGCGGGAAGGGGAGCCGGCCGGAGTCGCCGGCGGCGACCGACTCGGCGCGAAACGACGTAGCTCAAGAGCAAAATGCCAAAAAGGTGAAGACCGAAATGCCATTCTATGACTTTCTAGGAGTCGGAGGCGGCGACTGATACAGAGAAGAGAAAGCCGTTTTGGGTTTTCTTGAACTTTTGTGTGGGTTGGTATTGAGTGAGAGAGAGAGTGGATCGATCACTGTGGGGAAAACGGAAAGGTCGGTTTTTGGTTGGTGGGGAATGGGGTGTGTGATCGATAATTAGGGGTAAAAAATGGGTCGGATTATTTGCATCTTTACTTCTTCATTTGGAATAACAACCATTACCATCTTCATCTTCATCAGAGCTTTAATTCAAGTTTCAACACTGTATATAGTACACTTCTACATAATTATCAGTCTTATTCCGTTATATCTTTATGCTTTTCATGTTGGGTGTGTTTTAGATTTTTTGCACAAAACTTGTGTTTAATTGTTTAAACCATAAACATATTATTGTTTAAACATATAGAGAATTCTGAGACTCGGTTGTTTAATATGAATTACTCTCTATAAGAATAAGACTATCCATAATGCTCCATTTTTTGTAATAAGTGTGATCCTTGTTGGTTAATCCAGACAAGAGTGAAAGCATTTGAAAGATCATCGCTGTTTATGCGCGAGTCTTCTTCCTTGAACCGTCAAGTGACCATGGTCACGGCAACTTTCCCATGTTTTTTTTGTTCAATCCCCTATCTTTCTTTTATTGTTCAACCCCCATTGTTTTTTTATTGTTCAATTCCCATTCCTTTATTCTTCAAATCCCATGTTTTTTTGCCTTTATTTTTTTCATTTTGTGAAAATTCCAACTGCAACATAATTTTTTTCTTCAAATTTAAACTCTAAAATTTCAATCTCTACCCTCTCTTTTTTCCATTATAATAATGTGACACTATATATGGACATTTTATAATATTTTTTGGTAATTTATGATCATGGCTAACACTTTAAATGTATTTTAATTCTTATTTCAAAAATAAAAACATGCAACTCCTATTTTGGTATATTTTAATATTTACTCCTACTTTACCTTTTTAAAATAAAAATGGTAATATTAAATGTCCCTAAAATTAATGTAGTTTACGTTTTTTTATTATATTGTTATGATATACGGAGTAAGCAAATAGATAGAAAAATAAAAAGCGAAACAAAAATAAGAAACCAAATAAGGGGTTAAACAAAAAAAGAAAGTAGGCATAAAAAAGAAAAAGAAAAAATTTAACAAATTCAAATATACAAGAAAGTAAAAAGTGATTTTATTTTTGTTATAAAAAAATTTAATTTGATTAGACATATGTAAATATTGAATAAAAATACTCCAATTCCATGTTTTGATCACACATAGATCCGCTATATATAATAGCTACAAGACTGTGACCTAATTACGAGCCCCTCAAGAATGAGCCCGTTAACGACAAATCTTACTGTATTCTTTAACACTCTCCGTCAAGTTGAGCATGAGGTTAACGAATGCACAACTTAAACAATTAAAAATCTAGGTTTAAAAAAAACTTGATAAACAACTTGAACTTGATTTGTTGTGACAATAACGAACAAATGTGACCAGCGCTGCAAACGAACAATAAATTTTGATGATGAATGATTTTCACGCGGTGAGACGGAGACGACGGAGACGACTAACAAGCATCCATCTCAAGGATTGTTTGCCCATCAAATTACTAAAATCTTTCATCGAGATTATGTAAAAATTAACTGACAAGCTCTTATGAATTAAAATTTTATTGATTGAACTCGAAATAGACCAAAATTGAAAGGTTTGTATCGCTAGTTAAAATGAGTCAAATTTGAACAAACCGAAACTCAATATGACAAGTCGTTAGTGTGAAGCTTAATACGTGGTATGATACAAATTAAATAATGTTATGTATTTTTTCTTACCACTCTTTTTTAGAGTATTAAACTTTTCTTTCTAATCGTGTTTATAATTAATAATATTATATTGTTATCTAACCTTTTTAGAAAATTATTCATATTTAAGTTATTTAATTACATTATTTAGAGTGTTTTTGTATATATTTAAAAATCACTTTAAAATGAAAAGTAAATATTTTTTGCCTACTTATATGTATATACTTAGATGATTTGTTATTTTATAATATAAACTACAAGTGCTAGTGCGAAATTTAAGAATTCAAAAAATAAAGCTCATAACCATTAGATCGACAAGACCCTAATGACACTAGGTCATGAGCATGTAGTACCAAGTTTGAATGCGGACTTATTCAAATCCATTGTAACCCAAACTTGAATTTGCTTAAAGCTTTAAATCTAAATTCTATCTGACCCACCGATTTGATAGCTCTATAGTACTCCCTCCGTCCGGATTTCAAGTTCCCACTTTACACTTTTCTTCGTCTGGATATCAAGTTCCCATTATACGTTTTAATACACAATCTTCCTAAAATATCCCTTCTCTTCTTCCTTTCCCCACTTTCTCGTTTTTTCTTTTCCTCCAGGTCAGGACGTCAGGTACACTCCCTCTCTCTTTCCAGTTTCCACTCTTTCTCTCTCTCTCTTCCTCCCCCCTTCCTTTTCTTCTCCTTCCCTTTCTTTTTTTGGCTAAATCTAGCCATCATCTCCCCCATCTCTCTTCTCCCCACTTCTTTTCCTCCGTTTTGTCATTTTCTTCTTCTACCAGAGAATCTCGTTTTTTTTTCAGATCTAAAAAATATAGAGATATATTTGTGCGGGGGTTGCCGGCGATGGTGTCGGTTTTGGAGAGGTGGCGGGGGGGTAGCGGTGATAGTGGGTTGAGTTGATGGTGATGAGGTCTAACGAAGACCAGATCTGGCACCGGCAATGGTTTCTTCGATTCCCTAGCCTCTTCTTCTTCTCTTTCTCTCTCTTGATACTTCCAATTAACGGCGACTAGATCTGGCGATGGCCGTGGGCTGCCGGCGATGGGGAGGCTAACGGTGGGGGCGGGGCTTGGGAAAAGATGATAGGAAAAAGGGGCGGCGGTGGGCTGGGAAAATGAAGATAGGAGAAAGGGGAGGCGGGCTGGCGGCAGAGTAGGAGAAAGGGGTGGCGGTGGGCTGGGGAAATGAAGATAGGAGAAAGGGGTGGCGAGAGGGATGGGGAAAAGATGATAGGAGAAAGGGGGTGGCGAGGTGAGGGCAACAGGGGCTAGCGGACGAAAATGGGGCGGTTGAAGGGCAGGGGCATTTTGGACAAATTACTTACAAAGTCAGCTCCTCATAAAAATAAGCAAAAGTCAAACCGGGAACTTAAAATCCGGACGGAGGGAGTATTATTTATCATATTAATTTGAAGTACATATTTGAAGTTCACATCCATGCGCTACTAAGTTATTGTCACTCGAGGAGTTAGTTATGCGATTAGTTAAGTTTTTTTGAATCCAACCATTTAAATAAACTCCTATATATTGGTTTTAATACTTAGTTTTGTACAATCAATCAATACGATCATCACCTTCTTCCCCTCTCTCTCTCTCTCTCTCATAGCCACTCGTCACCAGCTCCACTATTCAATTGAGTCCTCCCCTTAACATCATCCTCAAAAGTCCTTCACCACTCCAAAACCTTCTTGCATCACCAAGGGAACACATATCAAATACGGAGAACTTTTAGAAGAGTGGACTCGTTATCTTTTTTAAGTGTAGACTCGTTATCTTTTGTTTGCAATTATGGTCCTTTAAATTTGTATGTATTTTTTTGAAAAGAGTCATGCTCTTTGCTTTATTTTTGGTATAGAATTGTACTCTCCCCGTCCCCCAGTTTTTGTCCACTTTTGACTTTTGGAACTGTTCATTTAAGCACTTTGACTCATCAAATTCTCTCAATGTGTAAGCCTAAATATAGTCATGTGTGATCTTATTTGATTTGTCTTAATATATAGATTATTAATATATACTTTCTATAATTTCTATAATTTTTTAATATTCAAATTACAAGATAAAATGGATTAAAGAAATACATTGGATGATGTGTAAAAATTAAAGTGGACAAATACTCTGGGACGGAGAGAAGTTTTTTTTAAACATGGTATTGTATTGTAGTAATTGTACCATTTTATTTCAAAATAGAATAGTACCAATTAGTTTTGAGGTTTATCACAAAGAGGAATTTACCTTAATATCACTAAAACATAATGACTTTCTCTAAATAGCATCATATGTTTTTTATTTTTCAATGTAACACTTTTAGTCCATATTCATTAGTCATTCTTTAGGTAATTTCACCATCACTGAACATTATTTCTCTTTCTAGACATTATTAAGGGTTATTTAGAGAATAAAAAAATTTAAGTACTACATTGGAAAATGACTTATGTTTTATTATTATTTAGTGCAAATATTTTTTTATCACAAATTGATATCATACCTTTTTAAATTTTAATAAATACAATCTATGATAGGTTCTTGTAATAACACACATAATCATGAATCCCTTAGTAGAAAGTGAAGAGAAAGATAAGAAGGAGGCCGGCCTACTTTGCCGTCAATCACCTAAATTCCCTTTTAGCGCGCTTTGCTACTCATCCCTTTGTTCCCTTTTCGTTGGCTCATACTGGAATACCATCAGAAACACGGGAAAAGAACACACAGGGGAATAAAAGCCAAAGCAATACCTTTGCTTGGCTGAAGTTGGGATTTGGTCTTTCCATTCAGCTGGTATTGTTTGATCGACGAGAGATTTCGATCCATTTGTTTCTGCATCTTTGTTTTTCGCCCACTGTTTGACTTGATCTAATGTGGATTTGGTTGTGTTTTTTTTTTAAATTTGATGCAGTTCTTCAGTGGAGGCAATGGGGGTGGAATTGCCAGAAATTGGAGCTCAAATGATGAAATTCGCGATCTTCTCTGTTAGAGCGTGTTACAGAAGTGTTAGCAATCATCCCTTCCTGTTTAGTTTGCTGTGTTTTTTGGGCTTACTGTACAGATCATCTCCTTTTCTGTTTTCTGCATTACTGTCCATATCTCCTGTTGTTGTTTGCACTGCTATTCTGCTTGGTACTTTATTAAGTTTTGGCCATCCAAACACATCTGAGGGAGAAAGCGAAGAGAAGAAAACAGTTCATGACATACCTGTGCCTCTAAAATCTAGGGTTTCTTTTGATGCCGTTGCTCTTGAGAAAGATGTGCGCGATTTTGCAGTGCATCCAGGTGGGGAGCCGAGTCGGGGTGATTATATATCTGAGTTCGGAAGGGGTAATGGTTTTGGTGATGGGGAAGTTCTAGGGTACTCTCCGATTCCGAACATGGGTGACAATAATCTGGAGTTTGATATTGATAAATCTGTGGATTCCTTTGACTCCAAGGCGGTATACATCGGTTCTGGACCCGGATCACCTTGGAATCAGGAGGGTGACAAAGAAGAAGAAGAAGATGATGATGACAGCAGCGAGGATGAAAGTCTAGAAAGTTCTCCACGTGCTCCGATGGACAATATACTCCCAATGCTTGATGAACTCCACCCTCTTTTGGATGAAGACTCTTCTCGACCTGTCAATCTAGATGAATTTAGTGATGGAATTGTAAACCAGGAAGAGGTAGAAGATGGAGATGATGAGAGTGAGAATGATGAAGAAGATGAAGAAGGGGACGAAGAAGAAAGCAATAAATCTGTAATTAGTTGGACTAAAGAGGATGAGAAGAATCTAATGGACTTGGGAAGCTCTGAGCTTGAAAGGAACCAAAGGCTGGAGAGGCTTATTGCGAGAAGAATAGCTCAAAAGAGTATGGGAACAACACCGATCAAAAGGAATTTGATAGACCTAGAAGGTGTTGTTGATCTTCCCTTCAATGTTGCTCCCATTTCAACTGCTAGAAAAAATCCTTTTGACATTCATGATGATGATCAAAATGACCGCAATAGTTTACCACCAGTTCCTGGGTCTGCTCCATCTGTTTTACATCCTAGGAGAAACCCGTTTGACGTTTCTTATGACGCAAGTGAAGAGAAAGCTGATCTTATGGAAGGTTGTTACGAAAAGGAGTTCATGGGATTTCAACCTAAAGAGCTGTTGTTCGCAAGGCATCAAAGTTTTAAGGTACAACCATCATTATTTGGGCAAAATGAACACGATAGAAGCTTGAGACCTTTCTTTTTTTCGGAAAGGATGGGACCGGAAGGTGAAAGTCACACATCTTTTCAAAGACAATTGATAGATCTCAGTGACAACAAAGTAAGCTTTATTCCCGAAATTGAATCAGCAGGTTTATATAGTCCTCTGGAAGGCCACAACCCTAATGAAAGGAATCTAGAAGATCAAAACATAATTATTGATCAATTTATCTCTCAGGATCCAGATCTGATGTCTAGGGCAGAACATGTATATGATCGTGTTGAATTTGCAAGCAATTTTTCTGAAGTGGAACAATTGGAGTGGGGTAGAAATGGTAAAAAAGACAATTTTGGTGCTGGGATTGAATTTAAACATGACAACAAAGAAACTCATCATGGTGAGAACCCAAGTTTGATCAATGAAAATGTTGCCGATATGTTGGACTTGAGTGCCAGAGAAACTAATTCAAGCTCAGCATTTTTCAAACATAGCCATACCTCAAAAATGCTATCAGATCTGCAAGACGTAAGTGAACACACTGAAGAAGTGATTTCTAAGGAGCCTTTAGTAGAAAGGTCTGATGTCAACCCACATAAGGAAGCTATACACAATTCTAGCCCCATATCACTTCCGAATCACAATTCTTCATCCCCCATTTCATTTGCAGAGAGAGGATCTGTTGAAAGGAGTCTGGAAATCAATAACTCTATTCTGATTAGTGAAGAGATGTTAGGCACCTCACCTAACTCACAACCAGTAAATCAAAATAGGTATTCTGTGTTTGACCCGAATACCGATATCAAGGCTTCCCATGGTGCTGCGATGGAATCTGTCTCCAGGTCATCTGAAGATATATGCGTTGACTCGTCTGAAAACAATGGTAACATTGACTTGTTAACCCTTTATCAAGAAGATGTGAAGCTAGTTTCTGTTGGACATGGATTTTGTATGGAAGTAAAACTCACATATCAATTTGATGAAAAATTCACATTGTCAGGTACATCGTCATCCACAAATAGTCTCACATCAGAGGATCACAAAGAAGGGCAGGTTAGTCAAATTGCTTTGAGTAATTTTTTTCTTGCTGCTTTTACTCTAAAAAAAAAATAGAAATGAAAGACTCGCACACACATACTCACAACTTCAACTATGGTATGGTGGTTCAGTTCAGTTTGGGAAATGCAAATTCTCGAACTGCTTTGATTGTGCGGCCCAATTTTCGTTTTTATGTAAACTGCAGTTTGTATATATATTCTTGACATGTAAGGTGCGGTGCAATTTGTGCAGTTCGGGCTGTATCTAAAATTTTTTAAAGCCCTATTCACAGCTTCACTAGAGCCACAAGTGTCCCTTAGTGTTAAAGAGCGTCCCACATTGAGAATATATAACACATGTGTGTGTTTGTGTGTGTAATGCTATAAGTTCAATTAGATAAAAGGATGAACTTATATTTTGTCAATGTTGGACACTCTTCAAAAGTTACCAAGGACATCCAGTCAAACCAATGACCCCAATCTTTGCATAACATGATATAAACATATTAAAGCATCTCATTTGTCATTGAGCATGGCCAAAATAATTATCCTTATTATAAAAATACAGGAATCACCCCTAATACTGCTTGAACCAGATCAGAAAACAGATTTTGGTCAATCAGACGGTTCAAGTTCATCAGATGTCAAAGACAAGAACGAAGAATCTGTCAAGTCAGATGCAAGTACAAGCTCCAGCTCAGAGTCGAGCTCAAGTGACTCGGATTCAGAATGAGATGCGAGAAAAGATGGATTTTCTTCTGCTTCATTTAAAACAGGTCTCTGTTCATTTTCAATCTCTTATTTTTTAGAATCATTTTTGAGCATATATTTCTTTGAAAATGAGGTCTTGATTTGCTTTCTTGAAATACCCCTGTTTGATCATGTAATTTCAGTTTTGTGGTAATTCGCAGAGCTATTATACATTCAAATATGCTTTCTGTACCTACAAATAAGCTCTTGACCTATTTGTACAGAGTAATGTTGGAATGTTATTATACGTTCAAATATGTTGTGTACCAACGAACATACAATATACTTCATTTGATTTTAAAAAACATCTTTTTATGACTTGTAAAATGAGTTTTTTGCATTTACCCTGAGCGTTTTGAAAATTGCATGCTTCACCCCGAACTTTAAAAATTACCTGAACTTTTAAAATTGTTGCATCAACGGTCCTTCTGTGTCAGATTTGGGAGTGCGTTAATCGCACGCTCATCAATATACGTGTTGGAGCTTAATGTAGATGTCATGGATTGATGAAGATGTTGATCGATTGATGAAAAGCTTTATCGACTGATGGCTGACTTGTAAATTCGGTTACCGACTACTAAATCGAGAATGACTATCTAGGGTTTAAAGAGGTTAAAAATATAGAAAAGTAATGTTTGGGAATGGTATATTGAAGAACTCACGTGTGATATATAACTTTAGATGAATCCATACTTGCACTGAATGAGCGTGTGATTAACACATTCCCAAATGTGACACAGAGAGACTATTGGTGCAACATTTTTGATGTTCAGGAGGAATCCGTACACTTTTTAAAGATCAGGGAGGACCCGTGTAGTTTTTGAAAAGTTTATCGGTAAACGGCGCGAAAATTCCTTGTAAAATAATGCTTCATTATTCTCTCTGTACGGTACCTACAAACACGTTCAAATATGCTTTGTCTATATCATAATACTAATTCTTAAAAGTGTTTGTTTTAAATAAGATAAGGGTTTTGAACAGAAAAGAAAAAAAAAGATAAGGGTTTAAAATGATGTACTAAGACATCATTAAGCATTAAAATTGATATTCACAGATGATTTGACTCCCAAAGCAAACAACACAATTTCATTGAAAGATGAGTAATATATTGTTGCTTATAGATCACTTCACAGAGAGCGTTTGGTTGAATATACTATGGAGTCATACATATGTCTACAACAGCTGAACAGCCTATCAAATAGAATATGGTAGTTAATGCCATGCGATGGTGTGCGTAAATTTTACCCCTACTTATGTAAGGCATAGAACATTTATATCTATATTTGTACATAGATATTACTTATAAAAATATAGTATTTTTTAAATCTAAACTTCAAATTAAATCCCCTGAATTAAGTTTATATCATTAAATTAATTTAATGTAATTTTTACACTTTGTGGACAAAGATTATAAATAAAGTTTGACAAAAAAAATTAAATGGGAAAAGAATATAGAAGGGAAAATAAATCTATATATATCTCTTCATCCCAAAAAGATCTAGCCTTTATATTCTGTGTTTACTATTGACATCATCAAACAATATATCATCTTTAATAAAAGTTAAAATGCATATACAATGACAATTATGTCAATATATAATACCAAAAATATTGTGAAATGTCTATATGCGGCGCTACATTATTACAGTCTAAATTTCTATTTAGGAGAAAAAATATGGATATCCTATTTTGATACTTTCTATATAAACTAATATACATATGTTTTACTCTTTCTCTAAGGCGATTTCTTTAATTCTATTAGTTATTTTCATTGATCATTTAATGAAATAATGTACCGAGCAATCATTTAAGTCATGTTTTATAAAGTTCAATTTTTATTTCTACACAAAGTTTGAAAGAAATGAAATTAAAATATTTTTAATCAAACACTAACACTATGTTTGATTTAAAAAATTTGAAAGGGAAAACAAAAAAATGAAGTAGAAAATAGTTTTTCTTGTTTGGTTAGAGGGGAAAAGAAAGAAAAAACGGAAGGAAAAAATGAGAAGACAAAATGTACCAAATGAAGGGAAAACCATTTTTGTGAGGAAAATGAGAGAAATTATTTTCTTTTCTTTTCCTTCCTAATTCCTTGAAGGAAACATAGTGTAACTTATTTTCTAAACGGTTGAAGAATAACTATTTTACATGCATCTCGTCTAATATCATTTGCATTCCTACTGTCTCTGGACTCTGGGTACTTCTTGCTCTCTAATTTATCTTTTTTTATTTATTAATATAACATATAACGCATAGAAACGTCAAAATCTTTGTTTGTACGTAAGAAAAATCTGGAAATTGGACGACCAGAATGGCCAGATATGGTTATTAAGGAATGAACACAATAACCATAAACTTTGACCCACAATTCTACAGCTTAACACAATGGGCAGCACTCAGCACACAAGTTTCAAATAGTTTTTTCTTTCTGAAATTTACCTAATAAATAGCACTAAAATGTAATGAGTTTCCCTAAATAACATCATATGTGTTTTTTTCTAATGTAGCACTTTTAGTCATTATCCATTAGTCATTGTTCAAGTAAATGTTTGTCATCACTGATCATTATTTGTCATTCTAAACATTATTAAGTGCTATTTAATTAGACAATAAAATAATTTAAATGCTATTGAATTAGAGAATAAAATAATTTAAGTGCTATTTTGAGAAATGACTTAAGTTTTAGTGCTATTTAGTGTAAATATTTCTTTTTCTTTTTATCTTTTATTATATGTGAGCCCCATTTTTTTTCTCAAGATATTGATTTTACCTACATAATAAACTTTTAATTTCATTTGTGGGTTCAATTTTATTAAATTTTGGTTTTGGTTTGGTTCGTTTTTTCTTTTGCACATCTTTGTTAATACGGAGTAATTGGTACCTTGAATTCAAACGAAAAAATTACACTTTTTGGTGTATCTCTACTATTTTTCCAAAAAAAAAAAAAATTAAAGTTGCAAAAGCTAACCTTGACCGGTGCAGGGAAAAAAGACTTTCTCTATTACTCACTCCGTTCCTTTAAACACTTCCTATTTTGACTTTGGGCCAAAATAAGAAAAGTGTAAATTTGGTTAACTTTCCAATTTTGGCCATGATGTGATGTGTAAAAGTAAGATGTGATAGTTTGTTTATTAGTAAAAAAGTATGATGTGATAGGTAGGGTATAAAAAATAGGGGTAAAAGTGGTTTTTAATAGAAAGTGAAAGTATTTTAGAGAATTTGAAAAAAAACGAAAGAGGAATGATTTTATGGAACGGAGGAAGTACAATTTTACAAATATACTCCTATTGACCATTGGCGATAAATTAAAAAGGGAGATGCTAGGGTACACCAAATGTGTACCCCATTTGTCCCCCACCCCTTCTATAACCACTCATTTATTTTTTATTTTTATTTACTTATTTTTTTTAAAATTTTCTTGCCTATTTGGATGATAATGGAGGGGGTGGGAGACAAATGGGAAACATCTTTAGTGTATTCCTAGTATTTTTCAATTAAAAAAGAAGAAAGATTAGAATTACAATTTTATTTGGCATACTGTTCCAATAAGCTTTTTTTCTTTTCAGAAACATATTATTCTCCTTTCAATCACGTCCTCTCACTTTCTTCTACCTTCTAGAACTTTATCCTAATTTGCCAGAATGAATTTCAATTTAATTTATTAAAAGTATAATGCAGCTAGCTAGCTGGTTATATTGTTTAACGTCAAATTTGAATTTCTCAAATAAAATTAAAGTTGAATAAGCATCCGAGGCCAGTAGGTGTGTGGAATGCACGAAGTCTTAATTCTAGTTGTATAGAGGATAAATTTTCAATGTGTGCATAATAATTCAACTTACGAAAATAACCTTTCACATGAACAAACTTTTCATTCGAACAAAATTTATACTATTAACCATCCATCAAATTTTTACACATTTTATTATGTTCAACATTTTGATCATTAATATTTTTATTTATAAGTAGTTAGATATTCCGTATATGTTATGAAAATATAATATTTCAAGAATATATGTTTCAAAATTAAATTATTGATATTATATTTATATCAAAATTTAAGTATACATTTTGGTATTTAATTTTTGCTCAAAGTTTAAAAACATTAAACATGAAAGCCAAACTAAGAAAAATCGAAGTGGACAGATGAAGTAGTTAATATTCCGATATAAGAAAAATTATATGAAAAATTCCTTAGAAAAATGTAAATTATATTGTTAGTGTATTTTAATTTCTAATTAGTGAAGACAAACAAACTGTTAAATTAAACCAATATTAAAAAATTGGTAAATCACGGATGAATGCATTGTTAAAATGAGCAAAATAATGTTGGATTCATATGCAACTCATTTAAAAAGTGATTGAGATATACTCTCAATCCGGTAAAAATGTTGCAAAATTTGCAATAAATAAGACTAATAAATTAAATAAGTCATTTTCCAATGTAGGACTTAAACTTTTTTATTTTCTAAATAAGACTTAATAATGTCTAATGGATGGAATAATGTCCAGTGATCGTAGACATCTACTTGAATAATGACTCATGGATAATGGTCAATGTTCCTACATTGGAAAATAAAAACATATGCTCCTATATTGAAAAGGTCATTATGTTTTAGTCCTATTTTAGTAAATTACTCGTAAATGTTTACTTGTTTAAAAGAATCGTTTGGTTCATATTAATTTATTTTACTCTTGTATAAATCTTAATCATATAATTTTACTTTTTTAAAAACTCAATTTAAAAAAATAAATGAGAAACTGAATATGGACGGAGGTAAATAAATCAATGAATCGTATCATACTCCATACTCCATTTCTATAAACAATTCCCGTTTTGACTTTAGACAAAAATAAGGAAGTATTATTTGGAATTGACCTTTACACTTGATCTGATGGATAAAAATAAGATGTGATGAGTAGGTTATTGGTAAAAAGTTGTAATGTGATAAGCGAGGTAAAAAAAGTAGGAGTAAATGTTAGATAATGGAAGTGTTTTGGAGGGAAAAAAGAAAGATGAAGTGTTTTAAAACACGGAGCAGTAGTTGAATGTAATTGATTAAAAAATGCACTAAAAAAGTACTCCGTACCATGTTAAGGTTGGCTTTTCCCGTATTTTTTTTCCCGTATTTCATCCATTCAAAAATAACTTTTCTCATTTTTATTAAAAAATCATTTTTACTCTTATTAATTTTTAACTTACTTATTACATCACATCTATTCACTATTAATCTACCTATACTCATCAAATCATCATCACATCCAAGTACATTTTTGAAAACTCAATACCAAAATACAATTCCTTAAAATCTTTCAAAAATCAAAATTTTCCATATTTTCACCCATAGAGCGGAGGAAGTATGTCAACTCTAAAAGCAGTAACCATTCTGGACGATCAGCCTCTGACTTTTTAATTAAATTGATTAAGTGAAATTAATAACCCAATGAAAAGTCAAGAGATTAACCCAAAAATTCAAAAAACACGTAAACAAATAATAGGCGCGTGATCAAATTTAAACATGCATGTCAACATAGTTCTTCCCGACCATTTCAACTCAAATCCTCTTCGTTCTTCGTGCATGCATGGCATGCCATAATTCTTAATTAGTTTGCTTCTATATAAATAGAGGCACCCTTAGGTTAGGACACATGTTCATCCAATTATATTATATTCATCCAACACCAAATTAATTACCATTATTTTTTTCAATTATTTATATTTGATTTGCACGAATTTCATATAGTAGACAGGCTAAATTGTTACATTAATTAATTAAAAAAGATGTGGTCGTCGTCGTCGATTATTACTACAAAGGTTTTGTTCATTATCCTCGAGCTCGTGCTTCTATGTGGCTTTTCAGCTACAAAAGCGTTTGTTGTTCATCGTCACGACTTCATTGTAATTACTAGTTCTCCCTCTTTTTCCCAAAAAAAAAGTCTTATTTTGAATTTTTGTAGATTTATTTTTGTAATTTGCCTTTTTTATTATACGGTTATATATATTTTGCTAATTAATGGGTCTATATATGTGTGTATTATGATCTTGAGGTTGAAGAGGCTTCATACACGAAGCTTTGCAGCACAAAGAAGATCTTGACGGTGAATGGGCAATTCCCAGGGCCTGTTCTTTATGCCAACAAAGGAGACACCCTCATTGTTAATGTCTACAATAAAGGAAACCAAAACATAACCATTCATTGGTATAAATCCATTATTTACTCCAATTTTTTCTTCTTTCTTCTTCTTCTCTTAAAAAGAAAATCATTTTCTCTCATTTTCATCAACAAAATAAAAGGAATAAAATTTGGTTTTTCTATTTTCTTAATACTTTTCGTCTCCTCATTTTCTTTTCAACCTACTTTTCATTTTCATTTCTTTCCTAAACAATCCAAACATGTTTTTCCTTTCATTTTGATTTTTGGTCTTTCAAAAACACTTGAACCAAACATATTGTTTACATATAAACATGCACTACGTTGTTTCAATTCACAAGTTGAACTCTTTCTTCTAATATATAAATCGCAGGCATGGAGTGAAACAGCCAAGGAATCCATGGTCGGACGGTCCGGAGTTCATAACCCAATGCCCTATCAGACCAGGAACTAAATTCACTCAAAGGATAATACTTTCAGACGAGGAGGGCACTCTGTGGTGGCACGCTCACAGTGACTGGTCTCGTGCCACTGTTCACGGTGCCCTTATTGTCTACCCCACTACTACTACTAATCAGACCCAATACCCTTTCCCTAAACCCTCAGCTGAAATCCCCATCATACTAGGTATTAATTATATATATGCACTTTATTATTTAACCCTATAATAATAATTAGAGAAATTTAATTAAATATCTCTAGAATACAATGACTTTTTTCTAAATAGTACTCTTTACGTCCCAAAAAAGTTGGTACATATTGACTTTTTAATTGGAAAATTAAGGGAGAGATATTTTGGTGTTGACTTTCCAAAAATACTCTTGATGTGATGGGTAAAAGTAGGATGTGATGGATAGATTATTAAGAAAAAGCTAAGGTATGATGTGATGATAGCTAGGTAGGGTATAAAAAAGTAAGGGGTAAAGATTGTTTTTTAATAGAAATGTAACGGACTTTACGGGACGCAGTTTTTCGAAACGTGTCAGACTTTTTGGGACGGAGGGAGTATCATACTCCGTATGTTTTTATTTTTTCTAATGTAGCACTTTTAATCATTATCCATTAGTCATTATTCAAGTAAATGTTCATCATTTCTAGATTATTTCTCATTCGGAACATTATTAGGTACTCCCTCCGTCCCAAAAAGAATGAGACGGTTTGACTTTTTGAGAAATTAAGGGAGAGATATTTTGGTATTGATTTTCCAAAAATATCCTTGATGTGATGGGTAAAAGGAGGATGTGATGGGTAGATTGATAGTGAAAAAATGTGATATGATAGATTTGTTAAAAATCATTAAGTATAAAAGTGATTTTTTAATAGAAATAAGAATTTTTTTTTGGGATGAATGAAAAAAAGGAGAGAAATATTTGTGAGATGAAAGGAGTATATTATATGATGAAAATGTATATATTTGTGTAGGAGAGTGGTGGAAGAGTGACATCCAACAAGTTCTCAACCAGTTTCTTTCTAGCGGCGGTGATCCTAACGTCTCCGATGCTTTTCTTATCAACGGCCACCCCGGGGATTCATATCCATGCTCCCAAAACGGTAATATTCATTGAAATATCATCGCTAAAGTATAATTACATCCCAAATTATTACGTACTTATTAATTAGGTTCCTTAATACTCCATGCATGTAATTGTTGTACGTAAAACAGACACGTTCCAGTTAACCGTAGATTTCGGAAAAACATATCTTCTCCGAATGGTGAACTCAGTGATGAACAACATCCTCTTCTTCTCCATCGCCAACCACCAGGTCACGGTGGTTGGATCCGACGGCGCCTACACAAAGCCCTTCAAGAGCGACTACATCGCAATATCCCCGGGCCAGACGATCGATTTCCTGGTGGAAGCCAACCAGCCCCAGAACCATTACTACATGGCCGCCAAGGCATACAGCAGTGCCCCCGGCGCCCAGTTCGACCGCACCACCGCCGCCGCCGTCCTCCGGTACATCGGAAACTACACCCCCTCCCCGTCTCCGGCCATGCCCAATCTCCCCGTCTTCAACGACACCAACTCGTCGGTTTCCTTCACCGGAAAGCTCAGAAGCTTGGGGGACGAAAACCACCCCATCAAAGTCCCAAAAAACGTGACAACGAATCTGCTGTACACCGTTTCGATCAACACGTTCCCTTGTCCGGACAACGACACCGCGCGGTGTTCCGGGCCCGGTGTCACCCGGTTCGCCGCTAGTGTCAACAACATAAGCTTCGATCTCCCTAAGATTGACATCCTTCAGGCCTACTACAAGAACATCAAGGGAGTCTACGGGGAAGAGTTCCCAGATTTTCCGCCGCTGAGTTTTGACTTCACCAATGCCACTCTTCCGGTCACCTTACGAGTGCCTGACCGGGGGACGGAGGTTAGGGTGGTGGAGTATGGGACGGTTGTGGAACTTGTTTTCCAAGGGACAAGTTTGTTGTCTGGAATAGACCACCCCATGCATTTGCATGGGTACAGCTTTTACGTTGTTGGTTGGGGTTTCGGGAATTTCGACAAGGACAAGGATCCCCAGAACTATAATCTTGTTGATCCCCCTCTCATGAACACCATTGCTGTTCCCAGGAATGGGTGGACCGCCATCAGATTTGTAGCAAATAATCCTGGTACGTATAACGTAACATACTTTCTGTGTCTAGAATTAATTGTCTCATTACTTACTAATTTAATATTGTCTGATGAAGTAATTTTGTTCGTTCTTGAAACAGGAGTGTGGTTTATGCATTGTCATTTTGAACGGCATGCAAGCTGGGGAATGGAAATGGCATTCATTGTTAAAGATGGGATGCGGTCCGACCAAATAATGTTACCATCTCCAAATGATATGCCCAAATGTTGATCCGAAGCATTAAGATAGACAAAAAATAAAACATTCATGAAATTGCATTCTCTATTTATTTATTAATTTATTATTATTATTTACTTTATTTTTATTTTTTCCAATAAATAAATACTCCCTAAAGTGTAATATAATGCCCTTTAGGCTCTTCTGTGGCCGATGTGTACTTCATATTGTTCATCATTATATTTTTTAGTGTTATTGAATCGATTACAATGTATAATTTGATCACACTGCATAAATAAAATTTCTTGTAGTAAGCCAAGTTTTGGATATAATGCAACTATATTAATCTCTCTATATCGCACTACTTGTCTCGTATCTTTCTTACAAATTAAATTTAATTTTATTTAATTTTGTGGTGAATGTATGTAAACATTGACCACAAAATACGGAAAAGAAATTAAATTATGATATAAATTTAAGATTCATAAATTCATTTTGAAATGTGCAATAAGAATATTATAGTATATTTTCATAATAGTATATGTTTATGCCCAAATGAGGATATTAATGATTAAAGCATTGCATTGATCAAAATATTGAAAAGTCAAAAGAACGATATAAAACAGATGAAGTTTATGTTAAAGTATAAAATCATTCTTGAATTATATTGCAATTTTAAAATTAAACTTTTAGCTGAATTAGTTCTTGACACTTTTTCAGAGCCTACAATTAACCAAAAGCTGAGTAAAGAATTATATCTTGGTAAATAAAAACTTTATGTCTTTGAATATCTTTTTTTTTTGTGCAAAGTAATTTCACTTTTATTTATTTATTTTGTGCAACATGGAATAAACATAAGTTTCGATCTACTTTGTTGCACTGTATATACCTTGGTCATGGGTGGCCCGGAGGGTGTACATTTTCCATTGGAGCTAAAATAGTCTAGCTATATTACCAATAAAGCTAAAATAATTTGTATTGAAAATGATTTAGTTAAAGATAAATAATAAACTAACTAAATCAAAATGACTCATTAAGTTTCTTTTAATATATTTCTTTCGTTCAACAAAATTTTTGAATATAAATTTTTTAGTTTATTATTTAACCCTGATTTTTTCAAAAATTGTACGAATTCTGCCTGAACTTTAAAAATTATGTCATTGGTCCCTAAACTTTTAAAAACGTTGTGTGAATGGTTTCTCTGTGCTTGATTTGGATGTACTTTAATCATTTGCTCGTCTAGTACAAGTATGAATCATTTAAGCTCCATTGATCGACCTGATCAGAGTCTCGATCAAGTTTGATTCCTCATTGTAGACCAAATTGAATCAAGCTAATACAAAGATACACGAGTTATATTTCATTCCGTATAAAGATACAAAAGTTTTAAAGAAAAATAGAATTTCTGTTAATTACTCACTTCGTCCCGAAATGAATTACCCCTTTTGTTTGAACGTGCAAAGTCTTAGAACTTTTAAAATAATTTTATATACAAATTGGCATTAAATAAAAAATAATTATTATATATTCAAAAACTACATAAAAAATTTTACAAAAAAAAAAAATAAGAATATTTTATTTTATCAAATGATTATGAAACCATACAAATAAATAAAAATTATTTAAAGACCATAATAAAAGGAGAGATAAATCATTGTGTACTGAAAGAAATCTCTATGGATATGAGTAAAGAAGTGAAAATACCAAGATAGATGTCCTAAATCTTTTAAGACTAAAATAGGAGTATAATGACAGTGTGGTGTAAGAGTACGCGTTGACAGTGTGATAGGAAAGTAATCACAATGTAATATATTTGCGCGATCTGTAAATCGTCAGCGATCCGCGACGGTACTCTAGTGGTGGGCGACAACGGATGTCAGTGTTTTGTGGCGGCGATAGTGTGACAGTTACAATGTGACAATGTAGTAAGTGTTGCAGTGTAACAATGACAATGTAAAACCCTATTTTGATTTTAAAAGAATTATGATTCTTATTTTAGTATTTTTTATATAGTTTTTTACTTCTTTCTAGAGAGTTCTCCCTTTGTACTAAAGTGATAAATTAAGAATATGTTCTCTTCACCGGATCTGAATGGTTCTGATCTGATTAGAATAAGTTTTAATCAGATTTGTACTGAATAATATTGGAATATATAAACTGTTTCTGATCTGATTCTAATAAAAAATACGCGTAAGTAATAACAATGAGTTGAAAAGAAAATGACTTAGATTTTGATCGACCTCAACGAATTTGGGATCATACTTCTTCCATCCCAAAATGTTTGCCACATTTTCTTTTTCACAATTACGGAAAATTTTATTTATTTGTACGTTTTTATTGATTACGGAGTATTTGATAAAATAAAATATTGTTGACAACTTTTATTTTGAAGATTTTTTATGTAGTTTTTAAATATCCACATTTTATTTTTTATTTCTATGTTAATATTTAAATAAAATAAATTAAAAAACTTGATATTTTGCCCCGTTTTTTTAAAATGTGGTAAACATTTAAGAGCAGAAAGAGTAGTAAAGTTGTTCTTTGTAAGAAAAAAATCACCCATTCTGACTTGAATATTCTTGAATTTAACTTTTCATGATCTCCAATATTACACTTTGAGCATAAGTATATATATATATATATATATACACACACACATAAATACGGAGTATATTTTATAAAAATTTAATATTTCAAAAAAGAACAACTTTTTCATGAAGCCAAAGTTGTAAACAATTTTGGTGTACCCCAAATGTCCCTCACCCCCTTTATAACCACTCATTTTTATTTGCTTTTTATTTACTTATTTTTTTTTTAATTTTCTTATCTATTTTTGTAGGCAAAAAGAGGGTGGGAGACATTTGGGTCCACCTTTGGCGTGGTGTAAGGTGTACCTGGCATTTTCCATGAGATTAACACAAGCTTTCATATAACACGTCGGCTGCCAGCGTTCGGAGCTCCATCGGGCATCGGCCGTCGCATCCTCCGCACTGTCCGCAGTCGATCTGGAGATTGAAGCCGTAGATCGGAAAATTTTTAACTTCTCCGCTGGTATAAATTATGGACAACGGCGGCGAATTCCGATGCGTCGAGTGTGGATTATCGGTTAACTCTCTCTACATCCAGTACTCTCCCGGCAACATACGCCTCATGAAATGCGTACTTTCTTTACTTTCTTGGTCTTCTTTGAGCTTTTAATTTTGGTTCAATCCAACCAACTGGTTGTCGGTTCTTATTCCTCGTCTTTTTTTGAATTGTGATTGTAGGATAACTGTAAAGCTGTCGCGGATGAGTATATCGAATGCGAAATCATGGTACTTCGGAAAGATTGATGATAAAAATCTCAACTTTGAATCATGGTTTCATGTTCTTAACTGAAGTTTCTGGTTTTCTGGGTGCAGATTCTGTTGATTGATTTGATTTTGCATAAACGAAAAGCATATAGGCACTTGTTCTACAATATGTTTCCTCGAGTGAGGCTCAATTTTGAGGTATTTTTTAATTGGATTTTCCTAGTGTGTGCAATTATAAAAAGCAATTTTGTAATGCTGGCTGTCTGTTCGAATATTTGCAGGGATTGCTGTGGAAATTGCTTCTGTTATTTCTTCTCTTGGATTCTTGTATCCATTTTTGTGATGATTCAATTAAATTTTAAAATTTGCAAATTCCTTAAGTTGTAGATACAATAACACATTTTCTCTGAAAACATTTTGCACGCAAACACACAAGTTAATTTCATGGGAAATTATGTTCTGTGTTCTGTTTAATTGCAGAAAAGTATTTTCCTGCTGGTAATATATCTTGAGGAAAACGTATTCAGTGGATAATATTTTCACGATTACAGAAGCTATTTCATATACTCTGTATTATATGATGTTTGAGCTATTCAAATCAATAATGTACAACTGTTTCAAGGAAATCTCTTCCCATTTTCAGGACGGGAAGTAGTTTTCCACAAAAGTTCAAGAAAACAATTTCCATTTCCAAACCTAAGAAACTCTTCCATGAAATATTGAAATCTTTTCCCCGTGCTAGTCACATGAAAATCCAGAAACTCTCCAAGGAAATATTTTGATGTAAAAAAATGGTGTAGGTTGGATATTCAGCTGTCTTTTTCTATTTTTTAGGAAGAATGGTAGTTCTGATGTTGTACCACCCATAAGCCTTAACTATGAAAGACAGAATGATGATCCTAAGCACTACTCCTAAGGAGAGGGTCTTGCCTACAACCTTTGATTCATTAGTGTCCATCTACGGGAAGGTGTGTACCTTCCAAATTTGTGGGTTAATGGTTTTGGGCTTTAATTTATGGTCTGAGCTGTGTAGGTTCTGTATGGAGTCCTCTTTGTGAACCCCGTCTTCCTTGGAACATTACTATTTGGCACAATGAGGTGTCTGAAATCAACTGTTAGAGATTCTGGGTAAATTTTTCTTTAACAGATTACAGATTACAAAAGAACTACTTGTTATATGCTTGAACTGTTGCTTGGTTGGACAGGTTTAGGTCAGTAATGCTTGCAATTCTCATTTCAAGTTACTTAAAGATTTTCCTTGTGGCCATGATGGTATGCTTCATTTGTTTTCTGCATTAATTCTCATCCTAATACAAATTTAAAACCGGTGGGTCCTTTCCAATACAAGTTCTTGGCTAATAATCATCACGGGGATTCATTCCAATTAGAATTTTTGTGATAAAGCTATATTATTTAATTTTGCAGGTATGGGAATTTCCTCGTGCTGTTATTTTTGTTGTTGACATTCTTATCTTCTCATCCAATACACTAGCATTAAAAGGTAAGAACACTGGAACTTAATGTATCGCCTTATAGTTGTATATTAAGAGACCAAGCGATTTGGGTTCCTTCAGTGCTCTGTAGAGCCCGGGTCCTACCACTCCTAAACCACTCCACAATCCCCCCCCCCAAAGCATTTCTCGCCTCCGAAATGATAGGGAGTGGTGGGTGGGTAGGCCTAGTTTCAGTCCCAATGGAGTTCTGTATGTACCCAATGTCAAGCTATGACACACCAAAACTGGGTGTCAAAAGAATCGTGGGGATATAGAATACATTAGTAATACTGTAATAGACATGCTGCTATTAATGTTTAGCCAAAATACGATCTTTTTTCACGAGCTATCATTTTCACCTTTCAAATTCCAAGTTCTTTACCCTTTTGCTCATAAAAGAACGTGCATAAGAATGAGTTTCAAATTTCAGTCTTAAACAAAGTGCTCATTTAGAGCCCCCTATGTTTGGGCCTTTCAGTCTCTATCTTATCAACCATATTCTTTGCAAAACAATTGCATAGCTGTTTATGTGGACAGAATTCATCAATAATGAAACAAAATGGTGCATAATATACTCCTTCGACTAAGATTCATGAAACGACTGGAAATTGCTAATTAACCTTCGTTTTCATATACTACGTAATACTTTCTTTGTTTTGTTAACAAAATGTGCATTTTTATTGCTCTGTAACTGTTTTTTTCCCTGATGAATCAGCCATTTCAGCTACAATTTGAGTTATACTTTATCTTACTCCTTTTCCCATGTTCCAGTCGTTACAGACAAGGACATGATGCAATGCGTATGGGTCTGCTTGGGTGCACACACCTTGAAGCTATTTATGGAGCAAAGCCTCATAGGATTTCCAACTCTCTCCGAATTCTATTAATCTCCCACGAACTTATTTTGAGTTTCAAACTTCACTTCATGCCTATATAATATATAATGCACCAGGTTCAGGCTTCAAAGGTGTGATTTCAGATAGCGGAAACCCACCTTAGAGGGCCTGCCACCACTGCCCCGGAGTCTAATGGATTACAGGTAAAATGCATTTTTAGTCCCTTAGTCCATTTTCCCGTTAGAAATATTCTTTGGCACTTTAGACCCTTTTTTACCAAAATATATGGGACTTATTTTCATTAAGCCACTGGAATTTGCAAAATTTGCCAGAAAGTACCGCTGAAATTGAGGATCTATTGAATTGCTGGTAAAGGTTTAATTTTATTCAAAAAAAAAAAAAGAGGTAAAAAAGGTGTTTTTTCAGCACACAACAACAAACTCAGTAAAATCTCACACCAAAAACTATACGAATCAAGAAACTATAATGTTGGTGTATGTTTACAGATACTCTTGTCTAACAAACAATGAGTGGCAGCAGTGCAGCAAAGAAAAAGGAAACACCACAAACAAACACACAAATTTTGGCCTGATCTGAGTTTGTGTTTCTAGAGACAAAGCCTTCTTCTACATCCATCAAAGGGGAGGGAAAGCTTGCATGGAGAGTGTCCCAAGTCTTTCACAACCTCATGGATCAAGTCTGTGCATATACCATCTTGTAAAGCCACTCCTATCTTTCTAGCCTCTCCATGCTCGCCGCAAGCTATGTCACTGCACGCTTCCTCTACACTCTCGGCCATTTCTCTGCTGCGCCGCATTACCGGAGAAGATGATGATTCAAATCCCCCCTCGCGGTTTGTTTGGAAAGAACATGTTTTGAATTTCTTGATAATGGAGTTCATGCTCTCATCCATGGCTACCTTGTTCCTACTCTGTTGCACAATGTGCCCTGCTAGAGAATATATATAAAAATATAAACCAACATATAATTAAGGTATCATCTTCCTATTAATTAGAGGATCCTATGTGAACTTGTGAAGTTTGATAACAAAAAAAAAAACATCTTTGTCATCATCAGCCAAACACAAGAGTGGATACTAGACAGCTAAACAGATTAGGCACAAATTTATTGGAGATTTGGAAAAGATACTATGTTTGGCTGTACTTCCATAATGTTTTTTTCATTGTTACTACTTTAATCTCATCAAATTTTAGAAAGAAAAAGAAAGGGGAGTGGACCCAAACAAGAAAAAAAGTAATGGTCTGCAACCCAATGAAAGAATCATATACTGTGTGATGATGCTCTGTTTCAGACTTTGGTAGCTTTCATCACCCTTTTTTGACTGCATCATCATCAGTAATTATTTGGGATGCTTAGCAGATGAGAGACACCCCATGCACCCATCATCCTTACACCCCCACCCACCGTTGGATGATGAATCATGTTGTCGGGTCAATGCTATTATAGTGCTTTGGTCGATGTTTGAACCGTTATATCGGGGTCACCCAATGAAACCCGATCTAAGGTTCAAACGCTCTTTGACACACAGAGACTAGAGAGTGGCACAAACTTTGACCAAAACCAAATTATTTTGTTTTGTTTTTTTTTTGGTTATTTACTCACCGTCTTGTATCATTCTTCTCATTTTGTCGGGTGTTCCATATTTCTCTTCCCGTTTTCATAAATGGGAGCTAAATTGTTACTCCGTATTAAATGTCTTCTTTGCCCTTCTTCTCTTCATACCCTTTCTTATGCCCCCTAAATCTAAAATCTAGTAAGGGCAATTAAAAAGAAATTTGGGTGTTTAGCTTGTATTAATTCTACCTGTACCCTATAACTTTAAAAGTTAAAAGGAGTAAAAAAAAAGGACCCTCAACAACGCAAGTGTAGGTCCATTTATAGTTCTTATGTCAACTTCTTACCAAAAGAGATTATATAAAAGAAATAATGTTAGATTGGCCATGTGTTTTTAATCACATAAAGTGATGAAAATTTGTATAATTCGGTATTATTTAAATAAACCCATCGAGCTACTTCGTTGTCCTTGATTTGCTTTGATTAGGTATGAGTATAGTCACTTAATTAGCTTATACCATCCTGCTCCAGATTTGATTGTTTGTTTTTTTTTAAAGAAGAATTATTCTTCAAAAATGAGGTTAAAACATTAATAAAGTCTTTTAAATGAGTTTGTTACTCATTCCTATCAACAATATCTACATCCTATTTTTAGCATATTGTAGACAATTCATCTTTTTTTATTGAATTCAGCCCTTTAATAAAATTTTACTTGTTTTCTTATTGAGTATAGAATATAAACAGTTAATTCGGAACAAACAAAAATGAAAAAATAATTAACACTCCCTCCGTTTGTAAAAATAGTTCTGTTTTGACTTTTAGCAAATTTATTTTAATATTTTTATACTTTAACTTTTTATTTATATTTTTAGCGCTGAAGAAAAAAGAAAGACAAATCACTTAAACAACTTATTTTAACAATGTAAATTGAATAGAGTATATTACAATAATTTTATTTGGATATTTATTTACGGAGTATTTATTTTTTGTAAAAGTGTAAGTGTTTTGAAGAAAAATGAAAAAATGAAAGAGAAACCATTCTAAAAAACAAAAATATATAGTATATATGATACACTTGAATGTAACATTAAGAAGATAGAGATTATATAATGGTAAATGTTTATACACACCTCAAATGCATATAAAAATGTACTACTACGTATTTCATATGAAAAGTAAATTATACGGAGTATGGAATACCGTCCCGTTTAACATCAGCGTTAGAGGTTAGCATAAACTATCTGACGTAGTCTTTAGCGTTAATATTTTTAGAATTAATCTTAACATCATTAACATTTTATAAAAACTTTCACTCTAATTGAAAAAAACTGTTCCGTCAAAATATATAATGATAATCATCGTTATAGTTTCAGACAAAACCCATACTTTGGCATGGAATAATGCAAGAAAATCGGCGTAAAAAAAGGATTTGGGAAATTGGGAACGAACCGTTATTACTGTGAATTCTGCCCAAAGTCGGGGAACGTGTTATCATCGCCCGGTCGTCCAACACGGCGGCCGACGGCGGTTTCGCCGGTGACGATCGCACCGACTTTATAATACTCTTAAGCGCCTCCAAGTCTTGGTTACACTTCTCTATTGCTTGCAGCAGCATCTTTCTCTTCTCCTCCGTCGTTATCAGCCACTCCCCTTCCGCCGCCGCCGGTTTCTCCTCCAACCCCATCAGCCTCTCGACCAATGCCGGCCGGACTTTGGCGTTTTCCCGGCGGATCTCCGGCGGCAGCGCCGGGCTTCTTTCTATTCTCACTTCCCTTTGATCATCTTGTGTCATCACTCTCACCGGGGACGCCGCCGCCGCCGCCGGAGATGACTCCTCACTGCCTTTTCCTCTCTTTTTGCCTGACAAAATAACACTTAATTGGTAAAAATAAAAACCCATTCCAAAAAAGATTTGTTTAGAGGAGACAAATAAGATACATACCAGATGTGATGCGTTTGGTTTTGTTCTGGTATTTGGAGATGAGTTGAAAGATTCCGGACATGCAACCGATAGATTTGGCACGGCGTCGTTTCTCCTGCGGCGGTGTTTGCCGGCGAGATGAAGACGGTAGAGAGTCTTGTCGGTCCATATTATATTTTTTTTTTTCTCCTTTTAGTCGGAAAGAAACTTCTAAATAGGATAAATAAAGTGATAAAGCGATTAGTGTAATAGTAGTGTGTTGTAAAAAGAAAGAAAAAAAGAAGACTGAGAAAAAGGGTCTCATTTGAAGTGCCGTTGTTGGACAGGAAATGGACAAAAGGCCATTGACGGGTGGGCCAGCTACCTATTTTAATACTCCCTCCGCCCCCCTAAGATCTTCCCGTTTTGACTTTTTGCGGCTTTTAAGGAGAGTTAAAAAAAAGTGAAAGTTTATCATAATACCCTTAATGAAAATGGGTGGAGTGTATTAAATGAGGTAGGTGAGGTGTAATAAATAAAGTAAGTAGGGGTAGTTGTGGTATTTTAATTGTAAAAAAAGGTAATGAGAAGATCTATGGTGGACAAATAAAAAGGGCTAATGGGAAGATCTATAGGGGACGGAGGGAGTAACAAAAATGCTACGGAGTAGAAATTTAGCATGATTATTTTCGCAATCACAGATGATTTATATATACATAAATTATAAAATGAGAAATACTAGTCACAAACAATTTGATCACAAAATACATAATTCTACTATTTGTGTACCTCCCCAAGTGAATAAAATGATGCTAAATAATTAAAAAGTAAACATTTAAATACATAAATGGTAAGTTTGAGTATTTTGTGTCAAAGTGTTTGTGACTCTAGCATTGCTTTTATAAAATAGCGTTCACGAAAAAGTAGAGAGCTATTAAATATATTTAGTATATACTCCCTCCGTCCCAGAGTATTTGTCCACTTTCATTTTTACACACCATCCAATGCACTTCTTTAATCCATTTTATCTTGTAATTTGTATATTAAAAAATTATAGAAATTATATATTAATAATCTATATGTTAAGACAAATCAAACAAGATCACACATGACTATATTTAGGCTTACACATTGAGAGAATTTGATGAGTCAAAGTGCTTAGATGAACAGTTCTAAAAGTCAAAAGTAGACAAAAACTGGGGGACGGATCGGAGGGAGTATCTAATAGATATTATGTACTCTCTCCGACTTCTCCGTCCCGGAAAACATAGAAATTTTCATTTTGAAGAGGGATTTAAGGGGAGTGTATTTTGGTATTGAATTTCCAAAAATGTCCTTTTGATGTGATGGGTAAAAGTATGATTTGATGGATAGATTATTAGTAAAAAGGTATGATGTGATAGGTAGGGTATGAAAAAGTAAGGGGTAAAAGTGACTTTTTAATAGAAATGAGAAGTGTTTTTTGGGACGGATGAAAAAAGAAAGGAGAAATGTTTTCAGGGACGGAGAGAGTATATGGTAGTTACCTTTTGTATAGGGTTTCTTTTATTGTTATTCCTAAGATATATAGGATTCTTGTTGTATATAAATGGGGCTTGGCTCACCCTTGTCAATTAATAGAAAATAATTATTTTTCATGATATCGGACCCTTTGGCCTAGCCGCTCCACCTCTTCCCTTGTTCGGCTCCCTCTCCCTTGGCTCTTTCTTCCGGCCGCTCCTTACAACAGCAGCGCCACCTCTCCCCCTGTGTCTCTCTACGGCGAAGTAGGCATCAGAAAAATCCTCTGACATTACCTCTTCCTCATCTGCTTCTCCTCACTTGACTTTTACAACTATCTCGAATGTGAAGTTGAATGTTCCTGTCCTTCTCAGTTTTCCCGCGCCAAACTATGAAAAATGGAGCTCCCTCTTCTTCCTTCTTGTTCGACGACGGTCCTCTCTGGCCAATTTTCTCACCGGCAAATCCATTCCCTCTAATGCTGACGACACAGATTGGTTCCAAATAGATGCTCAACGACGAAGTTTCCGAACGGCCATCTCCTCGGCCAATACTGCCACCGACCTATGGAAATCCATCCATTCCCTCTTTCATGAAAACAAGCATGCACGGGTGATGCAACTTGAGCACCCATTTCGAACCACAACCAAAGGTTCGTTGTCCATAGCTACCTATTGTCAAACCCGGCCTTAAAAACATACCAGATTGGTTGGACGATGTGGATGCCACTGTCTTCGAACAACAACTCGTGCTCCAGGTTCTTCGCAGACTACCAGACGATCTTCGGAGCCAAACTTCGTTTCTTTAGTTTCAAACCCCGTTACCGACGTTCCTCCAAACTCGGTCTGCTTTGCTTCTCATTGATTGAAGCATGCATGTAACGTCCCAAAACATACCCCAAAATTATTAATGAACAATTATTCAATTAATCATATTTGTTTTGATTAAAATAAATTATTGTTGGGCTTTGGGCCAAAATAAAATGTGTTTTGATATCCAATATCACAATTTCGATAAATCTCATAGAGATAAATCTAATATGTTGACTTTATGTGTGATCTTAATTGGGAACCAAAGTACAGACCTAAATTAAGAATAAATGAATAATTTGCTTATAATGTGAACTTTGAAATGATTTATCGAAATAAGTCATGAGAATAAGTAATATAAATTAAATGAGAGAACCTTTATGATAAAGGTCAATTAAACCAATTTTGACTCTGTCAAAGTCAAACACCCAAAAGTATGATGTCGGAAAAAGTATTGCAAGTAAATATAAAAAGTATATCGTTGAATAGAGTTTAACTGTCCGATCGCGACGGTGCAAATGGAATTCAATTCAAAGGAAAGTTGGACCAAAAAGTGTACCCCGATTAAGACCAAAATTAGTCCCAATCGGGGAAGTGTCGTGGAAATATTCAATCAGGGCAGCCTCCTCCACTATCTATCGTGAATCATCAGTGGCTTAGATAATTGGCAGCTTCCTTCTCCGCACTACTATAAAGGGATACCTTCATCCCTCTCAATTCTTCACAAAACTTCCTAAAAATTGTCCCATAAGAATCCTGAGAGTGAGGGGAGCAGTTTGGTATTGTTGGTTGCCGCCGAGGTCGCTAGAGTTGGGAGTTATCGTTGCCGGAAGTTTTGTCGGAAAATTTCCAAAACCTTCGTTCAGCTTCAAGGTAAGCCCGTAGATATATCTAGTGACTAGAATGTTCGTATAGACCGTTTCTACGTTCATAAATGGTCGTTTAGTTGAGTTTTGTGTTTGATATGCTTGAAAAACCAAGAATCATAAACCATGAAATTGTTGTTAAAACTATGAATTAATGATACCAAAATGATCTATGAACCTTGAAGAACATTTCTATATAATTTAATTGAAGTTTGGTAACTAAAAATGGTACTTTTGAAATTGGACTCGAACGGAGAAGAAGATGAACAATGATCGAAAAACACAGGGTATGGATCGATCCAGGGGTGGATGGATCCCCTGGGTGTTGTTTTCTCTAGTCTGGATTGATGTAGCTAGAGTGCTGGATCGATCCCCTGAAATTTTGCTTCGAAAATACTTCTGAAAATGCTATTTTTGAGCTCTAAAATCTTATTTTTGATACCAATTAATTATGAACAATATAAATATGATTTTTCACCATGTAATTAATGTGTTTAACAAATAAAATGTTATGTGATGCATGACGGTAAGCTAGGGTATTAACTCTCGAAACTAGGCCGCTATTTGCTATTGGATGTTATGTTGATTGATGGTTATGATGAATGATTATTATGGATGATTATGAATGATGAACCTATATTAAAATGATTAGTTATGATTGAATCATGAGTAAAATGAATACATTTATAATCATGAAATGATTTGTACTGTTAAGGGTGTCTAAAAAACTCTAAGATATACCCATTTAGATAATTGATGTTAAACTATCTAGAAGACCTCTAGAATAGATCTAGTATTAGAACAGACTTATGAAAATATGAATATTCGGTGATTTGGATAAAAATGTATAAAAGGTGATTTATAGACCAAACTAGAGGGTCACTTGTTTGGGAATACCCCGATCCGACGTTGACTAGCCGTTATATTGTTGTTGCCTTAACTGACTACAGTTAAGAGTCTGAAAACAATTGCCTTAAACTAATGATAGTTTAAGTGTCTGATTAATAATTTCCTTTTTAAGAGTCTAGTTAATGGTCTTAAACTGGCCATAGTTTAAGAGTATGGTTATGAAAATTATGATTTGGCTTTAGACTAAGAATAGCTACGAGCGTTGTTATGATCTGGCCTTAGACTAAGAATAGCTAAGAGCGTTGTTATTATTTGGCCTTAGATTAAGAATAATTTAAGAGCACTGTCGAAATAATATTTGAATTGAATAAAATATGTTGATATGAACTGAACAATATCAAAATTGTGAATGTCTGAATTGAACATTGCGTGCATGATATCAAATGATTTGATTATGAATTTAGATTCAATTTATATATATGTTCAACGCATTAGATATGCTTACTCAGCTTCAACGGTGAGCATGTAGTATGTTTTATTTGCTACAGGTAAACAGAAAGAACAATGTGATCCTGGCGGCAGATGGGACGAGATTGTCGGGATGAGTGTGACAAGTCTTGAAATGATTTATTATGATATGATAATATTTAAATTTGCTTCCGCAATATTGTTGAATACTCCGTACTATATATGTTATGAAAAATATTTTTGTGATAAATAAAAGTGATTGAAAAATTTTAAAATTTTTACGATTACCAAGTTAATACTTTAGCCCGAAAGGGGCTACAGAGCTGAACGGATTAGGGTGTTACAAGGCAGATATGGACTCCAGCAGCAACTCCTTTGGCAGGGCTCTTCTCTCCGTTGGAACTGTTAAATATGTTAAGATTATATTCCATATTTAATATGATTATTATATATATGGTAGATTCCATAATTGTGTATGATTCCATTTAATGTAATTTCCTTATACTACACCCTCCTACATGTATATAAGGGGAGGTAAATATTTTGTAATGATCATTGGAAATATACAATTCTTCATGGTATCAGAGCCATTCCTACGGTAATCCCGAACCACTTCCTCTCTCCCTTTCACGGCGCAGCCCTTCTCCCTCTTGCTGTCGCCGAGTCATCTCCCCTCGCCGGCGAAGGAGTCGCCGGTCCCTTTCCTTCACTAGCCACCTTCTCCCTCTCTTTGTCAACATGTCATCGGAAAAACCTGTCTCTTCTTCCACCACCACTGCAAATACCCCTCATCTTGCTTTTACGACCGTCTCTAATGTCAAACTACAAGTACCCATCACTCTCAGTTTCTCGGAACCAAACTACAAGAAGTGGAGTCGTCTTTTTCTTCTCTTGGTCAGACGGTTCAATCTTGAAGGCTTCGTCACTGGTGAGAAAACCTCCACCGGGAAAGATGATATTGAATGGCTTCAACTAGATGCCCTCATTCAAGGATGGATTCTTTCAACCATCAACGATGAGGTTTCCGATCTCATCATCTCCTCCACCACATCTGCAGCAGATTTATGGAAAGCTATACACAACCTATTTCATGACAACAAAGCGGCCAGAGCTATGCAATTGGAGCACCAATTTTACAACACTGTCAAAGGCACGTCCACCATCACAACTTACTGTCAAACCCTTCGGAATATTGCCGATTGGCTGGACGATGTGGATGCCCTAGTCACCGAAAACCAGCTTGTTCTCCAAACCCTACGTGGTCTCCCGGATGACCTTGGCAAGCAAGCCTCCTTCCTCCAATTCCAAAAACCGCCGCCGACGTTCATGGAAACGAGATCGGCCCTTCTTCTCTTAGAACAACAAAATCGGCCTCTAATCACTGCCGGCGAAGGAGGTTCCGCCCTCGCAGCCACCATCTCTGCCGCAGGGTTTCGGCGGTGGAGCGAGCCGGGTGCAGGGTTTCGGCGGCGGCGGAGGTCAGCAGCTCGGCTACAGCAGCGGCGGCGGGCAGTCGCAGGGCAGCGGCGGCGGCCGTGGACAGACGGCTGGTGGTCGCGGAGGTCGCCTGGCGCGCGGTCGCGGTCGAGGTCGAAACAACGGCAGGAGCGTGCGGCAATCCTTCGGGCAATTGGATAACTGGCAGATCCCCAACTCTTATCCCAACCCAAGCCAAGGAATATTGGGCCCACGGCCCAATTCCTTTTCTCACCCAGCCCATGCTTATTTAACTCAGCCCACTTACCCCAATTACCCCACCTACACCAATTACCCAACTCAACACCCTCCCTATTCTACCCAAAATCCCCCCTACCCGAATTACCCCAACCCCAGC